ATTTTAATTTCTGTTCCAAAGATGAACGAAAGTCTTAGAGGTTTGGAATGACATGAGGGTGAACTAACCGTTTATTTCACACTGGTTATTTTTGTTCACAGCAGTTCAGACCACAGTATGTGAGCATTGCGAATAGAACACTGTACTATTAGGTTGCTAGTAAGCTTGCATATTTCTATTTACCAAAGTACTGGTTTTGGATGTCACTACTGCTATAATATTAGTGTTCATGCTGCTAAAAATTAACATTGTGATTTGTATATTTGTTGCGTTAGTACATAATACATTTTATCAAATAAAGTAAGATTGGGCTTTATGCCACTGCAGCCAATCACAACAGACTGGGCCGTCTGGCCAATCAGAGCACAGTCAGCTCGAACGGTGGAACGGAGGGGTTTGGGAATCGTTTCAGACTCTTTGAGAAATGAGGTGATGTGCAATATACATTATGAGAAAATTAAAGTGTTTGGAGTCATGTAATTCTATTTTAGGAGACCTTCAAAATCAAAATAGCATTAGGACACTTTAATAATAGGCTACTTTTTTTCATAAACAGTTATTGTTAATACAATTATTTAAAATTATATCATCAGATTTCCAAATGCAGTTCAAAATGTATTTCAAAATGCAGTTGTTGACATGGATCATTTGTACATGTATTTATATATTCCAGAATCCAGATCCTGGTTTATATTTGTTTATATATTCTATCTCCCACTTTTCTTTGATTTTATGTAAATGTACACCATTCATTTCCTCCAGTTTTATATATTTGTCCAATTACATCTTCAAATTCATGATTTTTATTTACGTTTGTTTTGGTTTGAATATTGCTTAAAACATTTGGGTTCACTTTATTTAAACACTCTTGCTATTATCACCTGCAGAGCCAAGGCTAAATTCATTTTCGTTTCAGAGCATTATTATCCGTCTGTTTAAGAAATGATAATTGTCACAACCAGGGAAAAACAACTATTATGGGCTTTTGATTGCACATTATGACAGGAGGACGTCAAGCGAGGAGTTTAACACCTTTATTTGTTGACAGACGTTTGTTCGCACTCTTTTGCATAAAACTAATTCATTGAGAACGCTCTATGAAAGATGATATGTCAGGTAGTGCTAACTAAACATGCTTTTAAATTGGTGACATCTAAATGAACCTAAATATTCTGCCATTATTTACTCACCCTCAAGTCTTTAGAAACCCATTTCTTTCTTCCCCGGAAGACAAAGGGAGTTATTTATAGCAAAATGTCCTTCTGCTTTCTTCCATATAATGAAAGTAAACTTTAGCCACAGCTGTTTCTAAAATAAAATTATTGTATGGCTTTAGAAGACTTGAAAAATAGCATGCCATAATTTTAATGCTATTTTAAAGGTTTATAATCCTATTTTGTTTTGGAGGTCTCCTAAAATCAATTTATATGCATCAAAGGAAAAAAAAAAAAACACTTACATTTTCTGATGATATACATTGATCCTCATTTCTCAGAGTCTGAAACTGGTTTGTTTGAATATTCAGTCTCTCCAAACCCCTCCCCCTTTCTGAGAGCCTACTTTGCTCTGATTGGTCAAATGGCCCAGTCCATTGTGCTTTGTTGACCGTTATCTGAATTTCGGCTCTGGAAGCTTCCTCTGCGTTTGTTACACAGTGAAATTAATGATATAAATGATGATATAAATTCAAGTCCTAATCCTTTGGAAATACATGCAAAGTGGATTTGGAGCGTTGAAAACAGTTCGTTCACAAGCAGGCGTTGATTTTGCAAATTTGTAACGTTTCATAGGTATTTTACAGGAAGTGGGACTAAACTCGTTTCGGCAGTTCAGAATCAATTCTTTACTTTATTTGTTGTGCTCTTTTATCTTTAAAACTTTGCCGACCCTTTACCTTCACAAACAGCCAGCCGTATTAAACACTGCATTAAAGGGGCCTTTTTAAAATTACTGGCTTTTTAAATTGTATTATATTGTTGTCTGAGGTCAACTCATGACGTTCGCTTGGTTTTTGCATTCAAAAACATCAAAATGAATAGGTAATAGGCTATTTTCTACCCTAGTTTTGAGCCTAGCTGAAAAACGCTCGGTTTTTATGGATGTCTCACACTCAAGACTTGGAAGTAAATGCCCACTGCTGTGAGTGGATAACAGTTTTGCATATTATAATGAGTTTCAACTCACTCGTCGGTTCACGTGGGGGAAATTGTTTTGAAAACGTCCAATGTTGTAAAATGGCAACCGGAATGATTCGCCCATACATGTTCGACCCAGAGTCCGTGTGTTGCACCATTCCTGTTGGATCCAATATAGACGGCACAGCACTGTTCTTTAATCTTAATCGGTCTGCAAATCCAATCTTGTTTACAAAACAATCCTCAGTGAAATGAAGCAAACAGATGGACAATATTTTACCTCATCAGCTGGAACGTCATTAAAAATAGTTTATCCATGCAGTCCTATTGGAATCCAGAGGAAGCTTATGCAGCGACTGTCTTCTTCACAGCCAGGCACTGCACAATATTCTGTATTGCTCGGTAGCTTGATCTGGTTTGTCATCACGAGGTAGGCCTATGTTATTTAGATATGCGCAAATCCGTGGGCGGGGCTAAACCGGCCTCATTGCGGGGGTGGTGTTTTATCCTCTTTGACGTCATAGTTGCCCACTTTGAAAAACGAGTCGTTTGCCGAGCCTGGTGTCAATGAAAGCTTTTATTGGACTAACAATGACGTTTTCGGTTCTGAAACTTAGGATATTCTTATAATATATGATGACCTCTTAGATGTCAAAAGCTCAAGGAAAATTTGATTTCTCAGTTCATCACCCCTTTAATTTTGGAGTGAATTAACGCATTAGTGTAACGACTGCACATTTTCACTTTTTAAGTTTTTGTTTAGCAAATGAGTCATCCGACCAACTAAAATGCTTTCTTTCAATGCGTCAAAATGAATTGTGTCTTAAAGTTTTGGCAGTTTGTGAATGGACACTGCGGGAAGTCGTCTACCCTGTTCCGTTTCTGAACCTGAAGAAGGCTGAAATATAATTTCCCTGTCAAATCCGGAGCTTTTAAAAGCAGCTCATTTAGAGCTTTCTAGATCAATAGCAGTAATCCTGTAAGATAATGTGAAGGTTCCCTCAGCAACAAAATGCTTACAATAATCAGCTTTCCCTTTGTGTGGTGCTGCTGTATTCTGTGGACTTTGTCAAGGGGTTGACAGTATAATTGAAGCGGATTGTGTTAATCAAGTAAAAGAATGACTTTTGCCATTATGGAACGTTAAGAGATATCTGATTTGCTGCAGAAATTATTGATCTGTGATAAGAATAGTTCTTGATTGCTGCTGTTAAGATGACTTATACTGCGAAGAACTCAAATTAGCCTTGGTATATGGCAGTGCTTTCAAGAACCTAAGTTTGTGGTCTAACTTATGCTTTTATATAGTTATAATAGTGTGTGTGGGGTGGGGTTGTGTGCTATTTTAGTAGCTGATTAGATTATAAAATGTTGTTTTAATAAAAATGTATGATATTCTATTTTAGCAAAGTTGTAAGAGAATGTAACTGTAAAACATATTAACATTTTATGCTTTATTTTATATTTATATAATTTATTTGAGTTCTTTACAACTGATTCAATCTTATTCAGTGTTTGATCATTATCATTGCCTTTAGTCTTCTGTCATATTACAGCAAAACCGTGCGAGTGTGTGTGTGTTATTGCGATTATAAGCATGACATGGTGCAGTCAGGCTTGAAACGAATCTGAGCCATGCTACTGTGATTATACCTTCAGCTGAAGTGTAGGCTGACCAATGGGAACAATGAACTGAAACTACCCATTTCATGATGATTACTGCGATGGTGGAAAAAACAACTGGAAGCTTAAAATCAATTATGCATGAAAATGCTGTCATCCACCAGCTTGTGATTCACCACCTAGTGCTTTATAAGGAAACATCCAAACAATTCTTAATCAACCCTATCGATTCTAAAAGGTTTTGTAGATGATGGGATAATTCTGCTGAATCTGTATGACTTTCTTTCTTGCATGGAGCACAAAAGGAGATATTTAGCAGAATGTCAAAGCTGCACTTTTCCAATAAATGTAGATGCAGAACAGGGACCGCGCTTTGGCTAGATAATTCCTTTTGTGCCCTATGCGAGGAAGAGGAAAGATGGCAGGATTTTCATTATAGAAGTGAACTCTAGCTTTAATATGATCTGGGCCCCTAGATAAGAATTACGCTGTAATCAATCTCAAACCAAAGCAAGCCGAGAGGGTAGAGCACAGAGATCTGAATCAAAGCAATTGGAGAATATTAGAGCAGGGAACAACACAAGCTTTTAATGTGAAATGAAAGCTAAATGTTCTTTGTACTGATTGATTTTTAATGTTCCCAACCAACACCCAACATTTTCTTCACTTTCTGGCATTTTATGAACCGTTTTTATACGTGGGCAAGACTTTTTTGTCAGTCTATCCCGATATTGTCAATTGCTTGTTTGAAATTTCATATCGCCGATCTGTGTATTAAATGTTTTAGAAGTGAACAGCAGGAATTACTAAGCAAGTTCTTTGGCTTTTCTTCTCAATCTTTCACTTTACTCAGTCATTGTGTTTGTAAGGGTTGCCCGATCTACACCCTCAGTCTCTCAGAACTAATCTTCTTTTGAATGCCAGCTGGCCATTGATCTGTATATACCCTCAAATCTATATCTCAGGTCTTTCGGGGGCTTTTTTCTCAGTCTCTTTGTATTTAACCTGCCTTATTTCAAATGCCTCAACAAAGTGAATAATGCTCATTGACCACAGAGGTTTTTTTTTTTTTGTATTCTTATGAAGATCTATGCTGTTATGTAGTTGTACAGCTTGACATTTTCTTCACATTTCACATTAAATTAGTAAGATTTGTTTGAATTTAAGCTTTTTGTGTGTGTGTGTGCTAACTTGTAAGAGTTGAACCTTAACTGGACTGACTGTGATCTCTCTCGTTTTCAGATGAAAGAGAAGATGTTCAAAAGAAAACCTTCACGAAATGGATAAACTCACAGTTTGCTAAGGTAATGTGACTTGAGTCTTGTTTTTATCATGTGTTGAAATAACACTGAATCACCTTTAACGGCGAGTAAAAATGCTTCTATCAATTGTTTTTAACTGACCGATTTTACACGATCTTTATATTGTGATTTTCTGAGAAATCTTCATTGTTTTCTGTTGTTGCAGTCTGGAAAAGTGTGTTATAGCTGTATAAACTGAAATGCTGCTATTCATCCACCTACTATATGGTGGGTGGGTGGATGAGGAGACATACGGTTGACAAGCTTGATATCAAGGTTAAAAGTTAAGATCCACACTTGCACATAGTCTTGATCTTAAGGTTAAATTTTAAGATTCACACGCGCATTAAGTCTTGTCACTAACCTTCATCTGTCAGGATGTGAACGCTTTAGATTTGTTTGTTTGACGTTTCACGCTTCCAGAAAGGCATTTCAAAACAGAAGAGGTTTTTGCATTCTCTTTGTAACTCTGTTAGCATCGTTTTACAGTATGTTAACAGAGGAAGGACATCAGCTCTTTGTCCTTCAAACTAAGAGAGAAGTGTTTGCTTCAAGGCAGAGCTGTGTTTTTCCACTCAAATAACCAAAACTAAAGGTCTTATCTTGTCATTCTCCTTTATTTTGGATAATATACACTCACAGATACTCCACTTTAAATACTTTTAGATAAATGTGAACATATCCCAATCCCATAGCCTTATATTTTATATTTGTCTTATTCAATGCCAATGTGAATGCTAAGCGGACCAGGGCTAAATGTTTTTTTTTTTTTTTGGCCCGGACCAATCAAACCAAGTATAATCACATCCTAAAGGCTTAAATACATGTTCCCAAAGACCCTTAGCCTTCATTTTCTACACTTTCTGTTTATTCTCTAGACAAGACGACCCCCTGTTGATGACCTCTTTACCGATCTGTGTGATGGCCGACGTCTTCTTGAACTCCTGGAGGTTCTGGTTGGCCATGAACTAGTAGGTCCAAGATACATTGTCCTTACAGGAATAGTTCATGCTAAAAGAACACTTTTCTGTCATAATTTACTCATGAATGCAAAAGGAGAAATTTTGAGGATCGTCGTGGTAGTTCTTTTTCCCATGCAATTGCAATGAATGGGCAATGTAGCATTGACTAAAAGATAATTTGTCTAATTTTTATGTGTAATATAGAACATTTTGGGGATGATTGAAATCGGCATGACTCAAAAGTTGGGATAGGCTTTTCTTCCCTATTGCGATGTACTATATCCGAGTGAAACTGCTTCTTGAACAAGAAAAAATGTAGGGCAGGACTTGATTTCGTCTGTCTGGAATTGATTGGATTGGTGTGGTTTGCTATATAGGGAATGCATTGACGTCACTTTCCCGCCGGAACAAGAACAAACCCCTCAGCCTGATTGAGTGGCAAAAGATCTGCTTCGTGACTGGATTTAATAGGGGAAACTGCGAAAATGCGACTAAAACGAACAATTTTATCAATTTAAACTAAATATTGGACTCAATATAGTGTTCCTTACAACTCACTAAAGATCCAGTGATCCATGGATATTGACATGCAGCCAGGAATCGTGTTGCCTGACATAATTATGTTTGCCTGATTTCGATACCGGGGAAATAAAAGCAATATAGACCTAAACACAAAGCGAATTTGCCTGTGAACACTTTATATAAATACAATATAGGTAGATCTAAATCTGGGTGATCACTTATATCAGCGTTATATATACAGTATATAGCCTATATATATATGTCATATCGTCCAGCCCTAAAACGTTATCGTTTTTTTTTTTGTCAGTGTTTATTAAAAAACATCCAATAATGCAGAAAATGCAATGATGAATATTTAATTGATGAGTTGTTAATATACAGTATATATATAACAATAGAAAATATATGGGTATGGTTTTACACCTAAATTCAGCATACTGACACAAAATGATTCTGTGAATTGCAGCGATCTATTTGCTCCTCTTTCTATAGCAGTCTGTAAAAATACACCTCAGATTTTTTGTCAAATCTTGTTGTACAGTCAATCGCAAAGCTCTTTCCCACTTTATATGTGTTTTTTTTGTGTGTGGAATTCACGCTGAAAACATACAAACAGATGAAGTTTGGTCCGACGAAAAGAGGTAGTCTCGATCTGGATCAAACTGAACAAGGTTTGGTTCGTTTCTGGTGTGTAAGCATTTCTGTATGGTTCGGACTTTCAGACCTTTTACAGGAAGTTCTGGTGGTTCTCAAAAAGCCGGGAAAAAAAACAGAAGGTGGCAGGAGAAATGAGCCGTGGTAGCACATGGGGAGATGAGGAGATGAGGTTTTTAATTGAAGTATGGTCTGATGACATAATGAGAAGTCAACTTGCAATCTTCTCCTCCTTTCTTGCCGACGACGATAAAATGTTCGCACGACAAGGACGTTCATTTGGCGAATTTGAACTAGCCTTGTGTATAGTTGGTGCTGCTGCAGATAATTATGGCATAAAAATAACAACATAGTTGCAACAATACATTGAAACACGCTGACGTCAGACGCACGTCCATTTACTAAACCAATCAATGTCATTATAGATGATGATGACAGGACGTGAGTATGTGGCGTAAAGTTCTCTAGTGCGCTCGCGTTATTGCAGTGTGAAACCAAACCAAAACTTTCTGAAAGTATAAAATGTATCAAAACATGAACTTTGGTTTGGACCTTGGTGCAGACTTTCTGGTGTGAAAACGCCCTTTAAAACAACTTTTATAGGACAGTTCATTCCAGGTTTTGTTGTTCATTTGAAATATGTTATTTAAGGCGAGACACTACAGTTGAATAGGGTATTTTTTAACTAGCAGATATCACCATGAAACTTTCCCAGTTGATTACCTTCATTAAGAGGAGAAAAAGTTTTCTGTAATTTAAATATGCAAATGAAGCATTATCTAATTAAATATGCACTAATTTGCATGTATTTTAAAAAACAAAATCTGAGTATTGGATAAAGCCAGGTTCAAAATTATTTTTTCATTGTGTTCACATATTGGATACATACAGAGGGATTTATGGATATCTATTTTTGTTATCCTGTAAATCAGAATATACTGCCAATTGCCTTAAAAAATGATTTTCGCCATGTTTTTTGGAATAAAATGTTATATAAATCAGGCTATGAATAATATATTTACAAATCCCTCTGTAAATGTTTTCATAATATAACTAGGTACAAGACTGGAAAGTTTGGTGTATATAGGCTCTACTGAAGTGGAGATTTCGGACTTGGCGTATGAGAGAAAAGTCATTTTGAGAAAACTGGCATTTAGTTTTACCATCAGCCAATGAGATCGCACATTTAGAGTTGAACCCCCTATTTACTTTAACGATTGGTTGAACTGATAAAAAGGAAATGACCATATTTGGATCTGACAGCGTTGTACAGGAGAAAGACGGCTTTCTAACTGTGTGTGAGCAGCAGGATGATTTATAACAACAACTTTTGAATTTTAAATTTATGAAAAATAAAGACCTGAATGTGTATTTCTGACTTTTTTTCACCACAAGTCTGAAAGAAGACATGTTATTGAAGAGAAATATCACAAAATCTCAAAATTGACCAGTGAAAAAACACACACAAAAAAATCGTGTCTCGACTTAATTGTGAGTTCAGCAAGCAGTTTTTGAGATTTCAGGATTTATAGATATTCCATTTAATCCTTGAAAGGGACTTTGCTTTAAGAACATTTTTTTTGTTGGTTATGCGTGTATGTGTTGTATGCAATTACCGTGACATTGACTGTTCTGGGCATAACGACCACCCCTTCATTAGGGAGAAAATGATGACAGAACTTTCATATTTGGGTGAGCTATCCCTTTAATAGTCTCTACTGGGTTATATTCTGAGACACGTTTCATTTGTTCTATTTTTATCAAAGAAAAATTCTGCTGGTTTCAAAGCATTTGGACAAGGATGAGTGCGTAACTGGTTGAATTCATTTGCAATGGATGCTCTAAGTTCAGTTCTGATATATTCCCCATTTGCAGGTTAAAGAACGTGGTTTCACTCGAGTGCACTCCCTCAACAATGTTAACAGGGCCCTGCAGATCCTTCAGAAGAACAATGTGAGTTAATTGGTTCAACTGGCTGTTTTACCATTCACAGCTCTTGGAATTGTTTCGCTTGAGCTTTTTCAATAAATGCGAGACCAAATTATGCAGAAGCAAAATTTACAGTTGCATAAGTTAATGGCAATTATCCATTTCTCTGATACAAAAGCTGCTTTGCTCGATAAAACTTAGTGAAACATCCAGGCAGCTTGAAAATGGGTTTGAAGAACCAAATAAAAGCCAAGATTGCAAATTATAAGGTCTGGTTGAAGTATTTTCCAGCAAATATCAAACTGTTGATATCTAAAACTATCTCTGATCCTTATCTTGTTTAAAATCCACATAAAATCAAAAGTGACCCTGTTTACTTTCTTAATACATGCTCCTGGTGGAATTATGTGCAGTCTTGAATTCGTATTTCTCCATTTCTAGGTTGATCTTGTGAACATCGGAGGAGCTGATATTGTAGATGGGAATCATAAACTGACCCTGGGACTCATCTGGAGCATCATTCTCCACTGGCAGGTATGAGAGTTCAATACAGTGAAATCAGACCCACAATCTTTCTGGTTAGCCTTCAAGGGCAGTAGCAAGGGTCTTTATCATCCGTTATGTTGGTCTATCAAAGATTTTATATGTAGCACATTTGCAATGGACTGTCATGTGGCTTATCTGTACAGGAACTCGTTTCCTCTGTGTTTTTTCTGTTCATCTGATAAGGTGGCACTACTGTGGTTTATGTTCAGAGCTATTGATGTCCTCTTCCCTAGGCTTATGTTGGCAGTGGTTATTGCCATAAAGGCCTTTAAGACTCATTAATGTTTCAGCATTGATATTGATTTAAATGGCAGTATCGCTGTACAGTGATAAAATTACAGTGCTAAATGATTACAATATATATGTATATATTATGGTGTTGACTGATTACCATATTCATGTACCTTCAAATTTACATCAGATTACCGTGGTGTTATAATAGTACATCTCCAAAAACGTGCTAATCTTAGATTTACAAGACCGTTCAAAATGTTGCAGCCATTAAGGTTTTTTTGTTGTTGCAAGGTGTTTTACATTGATCAAAAGTGACAGTAAAGTAGTAAAAAATAGGGTTGTCAAAAGATTAATTACGATTAATCGCATCCAAAATAAAATTTTCTGTTTACATAATATATGTGGGTGCACTGTGTATAATTATTTTATATATGTTAGTATATATTTAAGAAATATTGTCATGTATATACTGTCTATAGATTTATATATATAAAAATAAATATTTTATATGTAAATAGTATTTTTTTCTTAAATATACATGCATATGTGTGTGTGTGTTTATATATATTCAAAATAATTATACACGGTGCACCCACATATATTATGTAAACACAACCTTTTATTTTGGATGCGATTAATCACGATTAATCGTTTGACAGCCCTAGTAAAAAATCATTTATTTTCCACATTGATAATAATAAGAAATCCGATCAGCATATTAGCATGATTTCTGAGGGATCATGTGATGTGACACTGTAAAATTCAGCTTTGCCATCACAGGAATAAATTACATTTGAAAAAATAGTGTAAAGTAGAAAAAGTTTATTTTAAATTTACTATATTAAATTTACCATTTCATAATATTACTGTTTTGACTATTTTTGATCAAGTAAATTCTGCCTTGCTGAGCGAGAGACTTTTCAAAATTGTACAGACCGCAAACTTTTAAATCGTAGTTTATACCATGGTATTTTTACTCCTAGGCATTTCAAATAATCACATGATATTACCGTGGGACACATCCAACCATGATATAACAATCATTCTTTGATATGTATCATGATACTGACTGATATATACCATATTCATACTATCTACTACTGTTGGGTGTTTGGAAATGTAATGAAATGTTATTACCAAGGTACAGTAGATGTCCAAAGTCCATGGTTTTACTAAACATCACCATGTTACCATGTCCAAATAACATATTTTTTCAGTGTTATCACATCCTGTTAATAAAATTGTAATTATGAAGTCTGTTTCTAAATATCAGCTTTATCGTGTCATGTTTGCTATATTTGTCACTGCTCTGATAAATATGTATACATACTCTCCTTTTACCGCTCAGGTTAAGGATGTGATGAAAGATGTCATGGCAGACTTACAGCAGACCAACAGTGAAAAGATTCTGTTAAGTTGGGTCAGGCAGTCCACTAAAAACTACAGAGACATCGATGTGGTCAACTTCTCCAGCAGCTGGACAGATGGCTTTGCCTTCAATGCTCTCATCCACAGCCACAGGTGCTGTTATATTTTGAAAATCACAGAAATCACTGCTTTCTTGTCTAATGAAAATTAATGTTTTATATTCATTGGTCATAAACTGCATGGTTGAATACTAGCTTGGCCTGAAGCCATTTTTGAAGCTTATTGTTTTTCTATTTTTCCGTGTAATTCATTTGGGTAATGAGCCAGCTGTTTTGATCTGCTTTAAGCTATTTCAAGCATGTGCTCAGAAAAGTAAGTTATTAACTATCATTTTGTCAGGCCGGAGCTGTTTAACTGGAGTGTGGTGGAGCAAGAGGATAATGCCATTGAGAGACTGGATCACGCCTTCAACGTTGCGGAGAAGAGTTTGGGCATCGACCGACTGCTGGACCCTGAGGGTATGACCTCCTCCTTTCTTCTTCTTGTTCACATTAGCCTTTGAAGTTGTTCTGAGTAATACAGACAGGGTTTTTTTTTAGATGAGAGGAAATGTCTTGTTACATCAACATCTAAAACAGAATTTCATCACATAATTTATGCCATGGGGGTTTAACTCATAGTTGAGGTTGTACCACTTATATCTTGTTCTCTATTACAGGAGTAGTTCACTTTAAAAAAAAAAAAAAAAAAAAAAATTATTTTGCTGATAATTTACTCACCCCCATGTCATCCAAGATGTTCATGTCTGTCTGTCTTCAGTTGAAAAGAAATTAAGGTTTTTGATGAAAAAAATACCAGGATTTTTCTCCATATAATGTACTTCAATGGGAACCAAATGGTTCAAGGTCCAAAAGACAGTTTCAGGGCAAACTGTTCAAAGGGCTTTAAACGATTCCAGACGATGAATAAGGGTCTTATCAAGCGAAACGATCGCTCATTTAAAAAAAAAAAAAAAACAAAGTTTAAGTTTTATAAGCTCAAATGCTCCTCTTGCTCTGTTCTGTGATGTTTGTTCGTGACTCTCCTGTTCGAACTCGTTCATCAAAATGAACAAATCTTTTTCCAAGTCAATTCGTTCATTTCGTCCGTTGAATCAACCAAATGACATGAAACCTTTGGTGAGGCTATACAAGAACATTTAAAAAATTGTATCAACCCAAAACTTAAAAAAAAAAAATAGTATACATACAATCTATTTACACACATTATTTTAATTGGAAAGCAAATTTTTGCGCTGGTCTTCAACGTCTCACCTTTTTCTAATGAGTTTTTTCTAAGAAATTTGCATGGGAAACTTAAATTTCTTTTCTCCTTCACAGATGTTGCTACAACTCATCCTGATAAGAAATCCATCATTATGTATGTCACCTCCCTGTTCCAAGTGCTGCCCCATGGCGTGAGTATGGAGGCTATAAAAGAGGTGGAGACCCTCCCTCGAGCTACAGTAACCAAGGAGGAGCACATACTCTTTCAGACCCAACAGCGTTACTCCCAGCAGGTCAGAGGAACACACACTCATAAATACACAGAGTTTAGAACGGTGTGTTGTAATCATAATGCATGGACCCATTATCTCTGGCGCCACATACGTCTAATATGAAAGCATTAGACTCTGGTTTCAAAAAGGTTTTTAGACGTTCCCAGGATGTAGAATGCACATTTAGCTTGTCAACACACTTTGCCAGCTGACATTGAATTATGTTTTGCAATTTGTGATCTAATTTTGCCGCTCTGCATTCCAACGTCCTCATCGTCCTTCTCACTGCCATATCCAGCTCATCGCTCCATCACTCAACTCTGTTTCCATCCATCTCTGTGGCTTTTGTTTTGCTTTTTTCAGTCGTTCTTGTCTTCTGTTCCTCTCTTAGATCACAGTCAGTGTGGCTCAGAGTCATGTTCGCAGCCCGTCTCCCTCATATAAGCCTCGATTCAAAAGCTATGCCTTCACTCAAGCTGCCTACGTCAAGACGCCTGAACAGCAGAGGAAGTTTCTCACCGCACAGGTTTGTTCCTGTTGCCTGCTGTCTCCTCCTTGTTGCCGGGCATTGCAGCTGTGTCTACAACAACCTCCGACTGATATCAGTGGTGTCGCACTTCACTTCCTAAAGCTTGTCCCAAGTTATTGATTTGAATTTATGATTTTTGCCTTCCAGCCAATAAAACTGACAAAAAATTACATAGATTTGCAATGAGGAAGGGACCTGAGGGAGTCTTGTTGGTGGGCTCTTTTGACTAAGTAAAGGAACAAGCCAAACTCAATGGCATAGCATTATGAACACCACTGTAAAAATTTAGTTTATTGTGCAGTGTTAAAAAAAAATACAAGCATTGTATGTGTGAATTTGTGTGTTCCTGAGACTTATCTACAAACAGAGTCTCTGTTTGACTAACTTCATGTTTCAACTCCCTGCTTTCAGATTTATCATAAATAATTGAACATGCACATGTATTTTAAGTTCCGTTAAAGAGGGGTAGAGGTAGGGTCACATTTGAGCATTTAAAATTTAATTTTACTTGAAAGTAACGCAATGGTTACTTTAAAGGCATACTCCACTTTTTTTTTTTTTTTTGGGAAAAAGGCTCATTTTACCACTCCCCCAGAGTTAAACAGTTAGGTTTTACCGTTTTCGAATGAATTTAGCTTGTTTTTTGATATTTAGAAGAAAATCAGTAACCAGACATTTTCTGGTCTCATTGACTTCCATAGTATATTTTTTTTCCTACTATGGAAATCAATGAGACCAGAAACTGTCTGGTTACTGATATTCTTCTAAATATCAAAAAATCGGCTGAATACATCCGAAAACAGTAAAACCTAACTGTTTAACTCTGGGGTAGTGGTAAAATGAGCCTATTTGCAAAAAAAAGTGGAGTATCCCTTTAAGTAACTAGTTACTTTTAAAATTTGTAACTAAGTAACTAATTTAGTTACTTTTTGGAAGAAGTAACTAGTAACTGTAACTAATTACTTGTTAAAAGTAACTTGCCCAACACTGCATTTTGAATATGGAATTCTTACGAATTTCATTGGAAAATGTGAGTCATTCTTGTCTGTGCAAAAACAGTGTTATTCAGTGTTGTTATTGTTAACTAAAAGTCAAAAAAAATAATTTTTGGTATTTGTAATACATTGGAAATAAAATATAAGTATTACATGAAAAACTTAATTAATGGCATATTAAGATGATTTTAAGAGAAGAATTTTGTTGAGTTAGGTGACCATGACACGCAAGCTTGATGTCGAAATGCCAAATCATTGCAGATATACGGCCTCAGAGTTTGGGCATCATGTGATTAACTTTGTTGATGCGGTATACGAAAGCATATGTTTTATGTTTTGTCTATCGACATAAAATCCATACGTTTTTGCTGGCATTGTCTGATGATTAGACTAGAATTTTATAAAAATCTGACAAACTCGAGGAAGAGTTAAAAAAAGTAGGTTTTAAGTAGTAAGAAAATAAAAACTGCGAACAGGAATTTCGTCCGACTATGGTAAAATTGGTATCTATGTTCTCGGCATGACCCATTAAATCTGTACAATAGGCTAGTTTAATCAAAAAGTTATTAGCCTTTTTGGAAAATTCATTATTACTTTGGACCACAAGGTGGCGCTATCTTGACTTGAATACCTTCAGGGCAACTTGCCAGTGACCGTTTCGTAACGATTTGCCAATGAGTTCGGCTAAACCATTCAAAAGTGTTTAAGCTTACATTTTTAACATCTCCTGACCACTAGATGGCAGGAAAATTTCAAAATGGCAGGAAATTTTTCTTGATTGAAAATGATGTTGGGATCAAATCTTCAAGGAATTGCCAAGGACTCATTGGAATCATATGTATACTGGTGCAAAACTCTCTGGTATTATGGATTGCTTCCAAAGCATTGCTATGTGGTTGCTAATATCTTCTTTAGGTTATCACTGTGGTGGTCTGGGTAGATGCTAGGTAGTTAGTCACCCCAAAGATATTTTGGTCACCAAGATATGACTCAAGTCTCTCAGTCTATGAGTCTGTCAGTCTGTTTCATGGTCCATTAGGTGAAAACTGTAGGTTAAACATTGTTTAGAAAAGTAGTAGCACACCTCTTCTCAACAAGCTTTGTGATTTGAGGTTTTTATCATCCACAGCGCAAATTGTGCAAAATGATGCACCAAAACTGAATTCTTGTTTAGGAATTTGTTTGAATATGAGCAACACCACAAGCACCCCTAAAAAAAACAAGTTCTAACTCATTACTCAACACCATGAGGCCTCTCACAATCTTCAAATTCAATCTGAAACCACCCTGATATTATCAGTCAGCTAGTGCATTTCATTCGAATACACACCAGGGCAGAGGGTATTTCCCAAAGCAGGAAAAGAAAATTAGAAGGCTAACTTTCAAGACCCAGCTTTTGGGGATGAAACAGCCAGAAGTACTCTAGGGGCTTTAGCTACAAGCGTGTACTGTGTACCCATGATTAGCCAACCACTCCTACAGCCTCATTGCCAATACGCTCTTTAGGCAAGTCTTGATTTAAAGACGAAAAACTCAATATCTTTATTATTTTTAAATCCATTCCATCATCTAACCCATTTGTCTCCCATCTATCTGCCTGCAGTCTCCAGACAAGCCAGATGAACTGCGACCGTCCCCCAGTCCCCTGCCACAGGGGCTAAATGAGCTGGAAAGCTACCAAAGTGCCCTGGAGGAGGTCCTGACCTGGCTGCTCTCCGCGGAGGACGGCTTGCAAGCACAGCCACCCATCTCCTCTTTTGTCGATGAAGTCAAAGAGCAGTTTCACACCCATGAGGTAATTCGCTGGCTTGTTGGTTTTTTTTTGTTTTTTTTTTTTTGAGGTGAAAGTAGACAAGCATGTTGATGATTCTGCCGACCTCAGGTGAGATATTTCACGGCTGGTGATGTATTGTTTGAGAAATTTAGCATTAACTTTCACATTTCAATGTACCTATCATACTTAAAAAAAAAGTTACAGTTTGATTAGTGTACTTGAATATCTACACTCTAAAAAATGCTGGGTTGTTTTAACTCAATTTTGGATCAAATATGGACAAACTTAAACATTGGGTTAAAAATGTCATTTAAAAATGTAACCCAATGGCTGGGTTTGTCCATATTTGACCCAAAATTGGGTTAAAACAGAGTGTAATGGGATTTAGGTTGAAATGTCAATGCTGAACATTAAATTAAAGCTTTAAATTTGATCAAAATGTCATTACTATACTTCCAGTGAAATAACCAACGCTATCTCATGACCAATTTGTACAAATTCATACGAGTGATTAAAAGGTGGCAAATTTTCAAAACCCACGTGATAGGGGTGAGGTCATGGGTAGGTCATTTGTACGAATTCATATGAATTGGGCAACTCGTAAAAAATGTACGAATTGCCGTCAGATCTGTTTGAAATAAAATATTTTTCCAATAATTTAGTCCACTTAAACTGCACCCCTTAATTAAAATCAACCAAGTCCCTGTCCTACATGAACAACCGTTTACAATGTTGAAAGGATCATTTTGAAAGATATGGGCACATGGACATAAACACAATGGTGGGAAACTGTTTGGGCTCTCTGAAGGCTTCCAAATTTCCAACTGTAATTTAAGGGGTGATGAACTGAGAAATCAAATCAACGGCGAAGAAGATCAACGCCTACTTAACACAGCCGTCAGCCCCGCCCACCGATTCGCACATTACAAGCATAGCTAAATAATATTTGCCTACCTCGTGATGACAAACCGGATCGAGTTACCGGGCAATAAGATACATTAGAAGTAGCATAAACAATTAACAATATCTTACCACGCTATCACGGTCTGAAATATCCGTTGTGTTTGAGGTGTATTTGGTTCATTGTCCTGCGATTCGGGATCGGACTCTGGGTCGAACATGTATGGGTGAATCATTCCGGTTGCCATTTTACAGCTCTGAAAGTTTTCAAAACAATTTCCTTTCGTGCACTGACGAGTGAATTAACTCATTATAATATGCAAAACTGTTATCCACTCACAGCAGTGGGCGTTTACTTCTAAGTCTTTAATGCGAGACCACCTAAAAACCGAGCTAGGGTAGAAAATAGCCTATTACTTATTCATTTTGATGAATAAGTTGACCTCAGACAACAATATAAAAAAAAATTCAAAAGCCAGTTCATGACCCCGAAAGAAATCATAGCGGACGTTAGTGCTGCACTAGCTATAGTTGGTGGTAAATTGATATCGGTCCGCATTCAAATAATTGTAAATGTTGACACTACAAAGTTTAGCATTTTAGTGTTTACCATTTTGTGCTATTGACACAAAGTATCACATAATAACTGTTTCCACTGACCGAGTAAATAGATAAAGTAGTTTTGTTGCTGCATTAAAAAAAAGGTTCAACTATTATTGGTAGTTGAATAAGAGAAGCAAACATAAATCTTTCTGAAAGGGCAAGTGTACGGCTACTTTATTATGTTAGTCTATTAGTTCAGAGCAAAAAAGTTGGAGGACTACACACTAAAAAAGGCAGAGTTGAAGATGTTCCAGGAAAGGCTCAAGCTAGCTGTATTTTATTTGATGTGATTTCATAAGCTTTAGCTGCTATTTGGCAGCTTTGGATTCCCACATAAGCTCGGAGTCTTATATACAACCTTTGCACAAGATTGAAGGGCATGGAGAGAAACACAAGTCCAGACTAACCATTTACACCTCTTATTGAGGTATTGGTGTCTTTAAACGTTAGGATTATTCAAAAATTAAACATTTAGTTTCGTCTAATTAAAAAAGTAAACAGTGTTTGGTAAGTTACTCTAAAAACTTTAATTCCTAGCTTCTAATTTCATCTTCAACAGTGTAATTAGATTACTGCACTAATTGCTCTCTCTAAAAAGTATTGCATTCCTTATTACTAATTCTAATTACTTTCTAAATCCAATATCAATCTTAACCAATTGAACAATACAGGGATAGACATGAAACATATTTAAAGGAAGATGGTTAAATTAAAAACATTTTATCATTACACTTCAAGTTTTGATATTAACAATAGATGTTTTAATATAGAATTGTTCTATACGCCATTTAATACAATTACTTTAGAAGTTACTTTAATTAAATAACAGCATATTCAGTATTCCTTTAATTTAATTACTTTTCCCTTGAAAAAGTAGAGTTAATATTACTTAGTAATGCATTCCACCCTGCACAGCAAATAAATACTAATTTTGTCCAAAATATACTGTTGTTCTTCATGCATTTCTCATGTTTGCTCTAAAAACTACTTATCAATTTTATTTGTCTATTTTTTTGTTCTACTGTAAGTTTATATTATCTAAGAAATACACTTGAGACTTCCATGGTACGTTTGTTCCATATCTGGCATCTTGTCAATATAAGATACTTGTGTGTGAGACGTATAGAAATGGCTCTAAATTCGGACAGGTGATTAATTTCTTCAAACTAACTTTGAACCCAAGGGGTGAAGGATACTGTCTGAAAGTTTTAAGACTAAGATATATTATCCATGAAGTTGTGGGCTGTTATTATTATCCAGATCTGCCTATGCCCCCTGTGTTTAGAGTCTCTGAATAAATCCGATTTCTCCATTCATGACAGATGGTATTATGAGTGTTTACCCTCAGGTTTATATTCCTACATCTTTTAGAATGGTTGGTCTGGGAGTCTAAGGATCAAACTGTGCCTTGCGTGGGTGTGAATTGAAAAGTTATCTGGAGACATTTAATGACTGAAAGAATGGCAGGATATAATGAGTGAAAAAAAAACTCATTGCGAGAAGGTGTCAAAGCAGACACGCAAAGAGTTTTTTCTAGTTGACAGTGCAAAGAAACAATGAGACGTTACGAGTTCTTAAAGCAATTTATTGCTTTGAGCACATTTTTGCTTCTTGACAGTTCTGCTTTGAATGTTGTTGCTATTGTTAAAACAATAACTTGTGTTAAATAGTAGGGCTGGGTAATAAATATCGATTTCTCGATATTAATCGATTCTCATTTTTACAAACCGATATCGATTCTTAAATCTCAAGAATCGATTAGTCATCCTGTTACATTTGAATGAATGAGACATTGTATCGCGGCTGCACACATCCAACAAATCGCACTATTCTTTGTCCTGCTTTGTTACTATTGATATGAAACAAAGTCTCAATTTTCAAATTACGTCCATTTTCTTTAGAAATTCAAAAACATAAATAGAGTTTTGCCGTTTTGGCGCTGTGGCGTGAGATCGCTCTGGCGCAGCTCCAGAGAAGCAGCAGCGCTGATCTCTCTTCCGGCTTAATAATACCAGTCACAGCGCGAAATAAACATGAATGAGCATCTGAAAGTGTGTCAAAAGATAGAGTACAACTTATCTAAATCCGTATCATGTCACACTGATTCGCTCAATCTGCGTTTCAAGCGTGGAAAGACGTCAATTAAACAGCTTGTAATCAATGTCATGTATCGTCATATTTACCTCAAAAAAACCCACATAAACTCGTTAGTCCACACTCGTTAGTGTTCTTTTAATATTTAATGCATATTTGAATAAATCTGGCAAGTTTTTATGACTGCCACCATTTAAATGTTTATATTTCATATAATCTTCTTATTATAAAAATAAATAAAAGTGTAATTTAAGTGTTTGTATAGCTACAAAACAGTTAATTATTAGCTTCATATTAGGTTAATGAAGCCTAGTAGGCTACAACTAGAATATAGAGACCATAGTTTACAGCATTTAAGAGATTTGATTCCCTTGAGAAAAATTGCCATTTATTGTAACTGATATCCAAAATAATCGATATTGAATCGAATCGAATCGAAATCGAATCGAATTGCAAGCTTGTGAATCGAAATCGAATCGAATTGTGAAATTTGTCTCAATACCCAGCCCTATTAAATAGTATTGCAACTTTTTCTATTTTAAAGGTGCTCTAAGCGATGTCACACGTTTTTTAGGCCCAAACATTTTTTGTCACATAAAGCGAACATCTCCTCACTATCCGCTAGCTGCCTGTCCCCTAAATACGCTGTAAAAAAACGCGGTCTATGCAGACAACCTAGGCTCAACTAATAGCAACAAAAACAAACTGCGGCAACCCGCTCCACGAAACATAACAAACTGTTCCAGCCAATAACTGACAAGAAGGCCCTGGGGGTGGGGTTTGAGGGGTCAATGCGCGGATGAGGAGGAGGGAAGGTCTATCTAGCCGCTGTTTTGTTTGAAAATACTTTAAACGTCCAAAATATATATTTAATATATTTTTAAATTGAATTTATTCCTGTGATGGCAAAGCTGAATTTTCAGCATCATTACTCCAGTCTTCAGTGTCCTTCATGAATGATTCTGATTTGCTGCTCAAGAAACATTTCTACTTATTATCAATGTTGAAATCCATGGTGCTTGCTTAATATTTTTGTGATACATTTTGTTTTGTAACAATATAAAAGTCTTTGTCACTTTTGATTAATTGAATGCATCCTTTAGCCTGGCAAGCCAGACCTATCAAGATGTTAGGTCTGGGAACTCACAATTGGCACACCTCAATCCGAGGGGCGGGATAAAAGGTTGTCTTTCAATATCCCTCTGCACGCAATAGGATAACGCCACAACCAACCAGAGCAACGAACGGCTGTGGATGAATGAGTCCAATGCGTTTTCCCTCCAGCGGAGCAAGGTGATATATTAAACTTTTGCCGTATCCGGTCGTCAAAAATGACTTAAGTGACGTTCTCTTAACTCCAAGTCATCCAGAGTCGCGGCCAAAGCCGAATCGAAAGACCGCTGTTCGCCAGCAGCATCTTGTTTGTTTTTAAGTAGCAGGGAAATCACCTATGGAAAATCACGGCGCAGAACCGTCACAACTCTGCCGTCATTGTGTTGAGCCCGCCCACCAATTCTATACACGATGTGATTGGCCTGACCAGAGTTTGCTTTTTCCACTTCAAAAGCCAACGGAGAGTTGCTAGACCACACTTTGTTGCAAAATAATTTTTGCTGCCGCTAGGGTGTTTCTAGATTTCTAGGCTATGCATCCTTGCCAAATGTATACACGTTTTTATTTAGTATATATTGTTGAATTTTACAATTTGCATATCAAAAATTGTGCTAGTTTGGTTTCTTCCAAAGCTTAATGGGATCATTGCCTTTTGTTTTTTGTTTTATTTACATGTTATACCTCCTCAGGATACGTCATCTTATTTTTCTTGCAACAAAAGAATTACTCTAATTCTATACTTTGCCAATTAAAGATGGGAAATGTTTAAATGTAAATGTTTTACCATTGCACTCTACTTCACCGTAACATTGCCCTGGATTTGTCCAGGGCTACATGGTGGAGTTAACGTCACATCAGGGCAGCGTGGGCCGGGTTCTGAAAGCAGGAAGTGTGTTATTGTCTGGAGGGCAGCTGACTGATGATGAAGAGAGGGAGGTACGGGAACAGATGAATCTGCTCAACTCTCGCTGGGAACATCTGCGTGTGGCCAGCATGGAGCGACAGAGCAGGTAGTCACATGTTTGCATGATGAGCCTTTATTTAGCCAGAAATATTAACAGAGAGACTTAAAGCTACACTGTGTAACTCTTTTAGTTTATTCTTAGCTAAAAACACTTAGTTCTTTCAAAAATATATGTGCTCATTAATGTATATTTACTTCGTTGAAGTAATAAAGTATTCTCGTGAGTGTATAATATGCCATTGCCATTCGGTCGCCATGTTGCCCCTCCATCTTGAAAGTACATTAGCCAAAGAGGGACATACCCGTTAATTCGAGGTCGAACTGGAAGCCATATTAATCTTGGACTACATTGGCCACCGTAGGAGTTAAAACGAAATCGGAATTGAGAGGAAAAGAAACTAATATTCACTGGATGGTCATATACGTTTTCACCACTAGATGGGGGTGAAAATCACACAGTGTAGCTTTAAACCTATGCTATTCACAAATCCTTATATAAGTGTGGTTTTTGAACATTTCTAGGCTTCATGAAGTTTTGATGGGCCTGCAGCACCAGCAGCTAAAGCAGCTCTCTGATTGGCTGGACACGACCGAAACTCGGATTAAAAGAATGGGAGCACAGCCTTTAGGGCCTGAACTTGATGACATAAAGCGTCAAATTGAAGAGCAGAAAGTATGTCCTGGAATTTTTTTTGTGGTTGGTTTTAATGCCCCCCCCCCCCCCAAAAAAAAAACAACAACAAAAAAAACAAGTAAAGACATAATTGTCCCTACAGCTCTTACAGGAAGATCTGGAGTTGGAGCAAGTGAGAGTGAACTCTCTGACTCATATGGTGGTGGTTGTAGATGAGAACAGTGGTGATGGTGCCACCGCGGCCTTGGAGGAAAAACTACTGGTAAATGTTGTTTTATTTATATGCACAACTTGATTTCCCCAGTCTTAGGATCAATATTCTATCGGTAACGCTGCCTTTTACAGTCCAGTTACCCATGTAAATACTATGTACTTATTTTAGTAACTACAATTACTGGGTAATAACTAGTACTAACCCTAAACCTACCCCTCTTCCATGTACTTACCTCATCTTAGCCAGTACTTTCTAGGTAAGTACACTGTAAGTACTGTACTGTAAAAGGAAGCGGTACCACTCTATCAAACTATGAAAAACCAAACACTTTCTGAAACTGTAAATACAGCCCTAAAGTCTGCCTGGTTGATTGGACTCAATAACTGTGGTATAATGTTTTTTTTTTTTAGTTTATTCAGCCTTCCATAACACCCCTATGTTACCTACACAGATCCTTGGGGAACGCTGGGCAGCGATCTGCAAATGGACCGAAGAGCGTTGGATCCTCCTTCAAAAGATCCTACTGTGCTGGCAACATTTCTCTGAGGAGCAGGTAGTGAATCCTTCTGGAAAATCCTAGCTGGAAAAGGCTTTTACAATGTATTTAGCAGCTCTGAAAACGCCTTTTGAATCCTGCCTGTTAAATGACTATAATGAGAGCATGTCTGGGGAAACATAAAGGCTTTGAAGACCTCTTTTCTCAAGAGAATCAGCACGATAACATCACCAGTGCTCAAAAGAAACAGGAAAATAAGCAGTGCAGAACACATCTCACAATCTCCCTTTAATCCGCTGTGGTTGTTTTATAGCTGCTGTTTGATTCTTGGCTGACTCAAAAGGAGGATTTAGTTCAGTCTATCCAAAGAAGTGGCACAAATGACCCAAATGAAGTAGCCGCCAACCTAAGGAAGCTTGCTGTAAGTGGCCACACTCACTGAAACATTAAGGCAACCCTATTCTGCTTGATTTCATCCATCAGGACTTGATGTTTAATCATGCATTTTGATTTTTCATGATTGAAAATTATGATACATGACATGCAAAAATCACATTATAAAGTTAAATAGGTTTCAAATGCCATTTCCCTTTTAAAGGGTTTGAAATCAGGGCTTTTTACTAATGCAACACATTAAATGGCTGTTAGATTATTGTTGTCTAGTTGTGTTTTTCTTTTTAAGATTCTGACTTTAAAACCGGGATGCTTAAAGATTGTTCGTTCCTCAGATTTTAAAAGCAGACCTGGAGTTGAAGAGGCAGACCATGGACAAGCTTTGCTCCCTCGTTCAAGATCTGCTGACCAACATTAAGAGCAAAGAGGCCGCTGGGAAACTAGAGGCGAAGCTGGAAAGGTTTGCTCAGCGCTGGGACAAATTGGTACAGTCGCTTCAGCTCGCCAGCACCAAGGTGGTTATGCTAATGCCATTCCATTTACTGTCTCATCTTTTCCGCAATACGGTTCCATCTATTTCTATTTCGCTCAAAATTTGATATGGCTTCCCTGCATGTCCCTGCCATCACTCTGAATAAATAAAGCGCTCTCACTGTATTTCACCCTCTCTCTTTCATGTGCACTCAAGAATCAGACTTCTGAACACTTACACACACATGTTTTACAACTTTTGTCCCTCTTAGTTTTCAACTATTGTCACCACATCCCAGTCGGAGCACACGCACACGACCATGGCAACTGTCACCAAGGTGACCACGCACCAGAAAAAGATGGTAAAGCATACTAAGGAGGGCATGTCTACCCCTCCACCTCAGAAGAAGCGGATTGTCGTTGATTCAGAACTGAGGAAAAGGTGAGCCCTGCATACTTTCATTTCATAACAGGTCACTAAATGTGAAGGACCCAATTGAAATAGGAGACTTAGTGTGTTTTTTTTTTCTTTCTTCTTAATAACATTGATAGTTAAAAGTATTTTTATCTTGATTATCACTATTTCAAGATTTAGAAAATTAGAAGGTATTGCTTTTTATGTGGTTTATGCTTAAAAGACACCATGACCTTTTGAAAAAAGGTTGAGGTAGAACATTTAAGGGCATGTCCATTTTTTTAAAAGAGGTCATAAGGATTGAATTACGTACATCACAACTATGAACATGATTTGCTACTTGTTATCTGCCAGTAAGAATTAGAGGGAGGGACATTTGAGTATTCGTTTGGACAGAACTAAGTGCAGTGCGTGTGTGTTGTAAATGTACAAATCACACAATAGATGTGTGAAAGCTTATACACAACAAATATGCACGCACAAAACAAAAAATTTGATTTTTGGGAAATACATTTCAGAATAATGAACTTTTATCTATCCATTCGCTTGTCCCTATGTAGGGTCGTGGAATAAACATCCGTTTAGTTATAATTATTTTTAATTTTATAGGACTAAATTTAAGGTCAAAGAATAGCTGATTAAAGTCAAACTGACAAACACATCATTCTGCACAAGTTTGTTGTCATAAAACCATGTGTCATAAAACCAAAAATCCACTTTTTTGTATGATACAAACACTTAGTATCTATCTGTGTATCTATCTAAATAAGATATTGCATGAAAGTCAAGTGAAATTTAGCTTTAGGCTTTTCCATCAAAATAAGTGTGGGGGGAAATGCTAATCGCTGCTAATCAATGCCAACAACATTCAAATGACTATCAAACAAACACGAATAACTAATTTGTTTTGCTGTTCTCCCATCGATTTCCCTGCAGATTTGATGTGGACTTCACTGAAATTCACAGTTTTATGACTCGGTCAGAGGCTGTTTTGCAAAATCCAGAGTTCTCAGTTTCCCGTAAGGAGGGCAGTGTGGCAGACCTTTATGAGAAAGTGCTGGTAGGTTTGCATAAGAAATTAATATTAGACTGCAAAGTGTATTATATTACATTAGAATAGTTTTGAACTTAATTGTGATTGTACGCAAAGAAGTGTTTTCTTATGAAAATAATGCTATAATTAAATAAAATAGTATTAAATAACTAGTAAAATCTATAATAGGTATATTAAACTGTCACGTCCCACAGATAGGACGCTTGCCATTATATTTTTAAAACGATAATATCTCAGAAAAGTCCTTAAGTAATATTGAGAAACTATATATCATTTGAAAGCTTACAATCTCTAGTTTCTATATTTGTTAATTTTCAAAATAAATTACACAGGTGCTGTAATTTATCAATTTGCAACAAGAATATTTTCATACTCATAAACCGTGTTCAGACCTTTATTTTGAAATAGCAATGAACATGAAAAATCATGAAAATAGGTAGAAACCTCAGTTTGTTTTCATGCCAAGAATTCAAAAGATTGCATCCATTCAATTATTTTAGAAAAAAAGGTCTGAAAATGTTTTAAGTATTTAGAAAAAATATAATAAATTCACCATTTGTAATGTGGCAGGAAGCTATGACTTACATGCATGTTCTTTGTATGTGTTTCTTAGAGGTTGAATTCATATCAAAATCTGCCAAACTTTGCATACAACTTTTGAATAGGATGTCTACTTCATCAATTGTATGAAAATTGTGTAAATGATGGTTCAGATCACTCAAAACACATATGGAAATTGAGACGCCCTTATATGGGCAGTAATGGAGTCTGGTTGTGCCCTAGTGAAAAAGTTTGGTACTGCGCCCAAACTAAATCTCACAGAAAGCTCATTTTTTGAGATATCAACCTAAAATTTTAAACACAACTTGTTCAGATTTTTTTGCCTTTGATTTTTCTGCAGTTTTAGAGTAGCCCAGGTTTTGAAAATATATATTTTACATAAAATATGAATATTTCTTTTCTTTTTTTTTTGTTGCTTTGTACATTTCCATAAACTCAAACTTCTGTAACTTTTTTTCTGTTTCTCTTTCTTAATTTTTCACTTGGACAAAAAGCTGCCAAAAGTCTTCTTTAAAACAAGACCAATTTTATGACTATATTCCAACGCGTTCTTGAATTACATTTAAGTTCAAAATGTTCATTTCCATGTCTATTCAAAAAAGAAGGGTGACAGTTAACAGGTTAAAATGGTTTAAATTAAGTGTAATAGTTATATTTTAAAAGGTGTATAAAAATGCAATTACTAAAACACTTAAAGCAATGCTTTTTAAAATGTTTAATTGGTGTTTATTGTGTGATTCTTTCTACCATTTTTGAGGCAATCGACAGGGAAAAACCAGAAAAGTTCAGGAAGTTGCAAGAAGCCACTCGTTCAGCCCAGGCTTTGGTGGATCAACTCACTAACGGTAAAAGGGATTATTTTTTATATGCACATTAATTCAGTCAATTTTCGCCCCTTGATTTTTAATCAGTCTTGTATAATTTCAAAACTTGCCCTTGTTTTCCTGTAAAAAATAAAAAATCATGAATATCTCCCATTTTATTTGGAAAGCATTTTGCTGCTAATTAAAGTAATAAAACCCTGCATAATGCCAGCTTTATTAATAATAGATGGAGATGTACATCAAGCTATTTTGAAAGTCTAAAGCCTTTGGCAGCTTAATTACCTCAGCAAATGCTGTTTCAATATGCATGAGTCTCATTTGTCCTAATGGATCTCTTCTCTAAAGATGGTCAGAATTCGGAGGACATCGAGCAAGCGGCTCAGCAGTTACGTGCCCGATGGGTTGATTTCTGCGCTCTCCTAGCCGAAAGGCTGGCGTGGTTGGCCTACCAGACCAAAGTCTTGGCTTTCTACAATCTCTTCCAGCAACTTGAGCAGGCTGTGGCGACCGCTGAGAACTGGCTCAAGGTCCAATCGCCGCCCGCGTGCGAGCCGGAGCCTCTGAGGATTCAGCTTGAGCGTTGCAGGGTAACCACCAGTGTCTGTCCTCGTGCATGGGGTCTCTGTTCCTCTGTAGATTTGTCTTTCAATGTGTGTCTGTTCTGTGTCCATATACAGGGCACAGTCTGTCTTTTCCTGTGTCTGGCCAGGTAATGCCCTTTACCTGCTGCATGTGTTCATTTGATCTCATGCAAAAAAAAAAACAAAGGGAAAAAAACCTGCAATGGTGCAGTCATGCAGGATATTTTTTATAATGCCAGACAAGTCAAATGACCTTCAGATTTTGCTTGAAGTTTTGAGATAAAAGAGCTTGATTTACTTGGTAAAAATGCTATAAATTTCAGAACTTCCTTCACAATCCTATCAGTATGTCCTTCCAAAGATCCCCAAAATTAGAAACGAGCAGATGTTTGTTTTTTACTTTATTTTTAGCCAGATCCCTGAAGTTTAGACTGCTTTTGGCACAAGAACATAACATTATATGTGGCTGAAAATGTATGATATGAAAACTCCAATCTTATGTTTTCACAAATAATTAAGATATGCAAACAGTTTTTTTAAAATGTGGATTTGATTTAAAGGGTCCTATTTTTAATAACTTTTTAATAAATTATTTATTTATTTATTTTTAAAGGAGCATTTCACCCATTTCAATTGAAAGTGGATTATATATGTAGTCGAAATGTAAAATAATTTTTGAATTTGATGCCCTCTTGACCGAGAAAAGACAGAAAATAACTGAAGGCCGCATTTGTATATAAGACAACAACTCCCACAATGCACCACATTGCACAGCTCCGCAAGCCACACCCACTAATCCAGAACTGCGCGCACATCAGAGAAATCATTCTTTCGTCAACAAGGCTAACGTTAGCTGCCACCAGAGATAGTTGGCTGTGGCGAGCAGGACGAGGGACGTGAGAGCGGCGCGAGAGGACTGCGCGAGGCCGGTGGCGTGAGTGATAATGAAAGACAGAGGTCTCGTATCTCTCACAGAGGAGCGGGAAACTAAACAGCAGATAGAGAAACAGGCCTGATTTTAGGTTGTGTTTTGTTTCTGTTGTGTGTAGACAACAGTCGTCAATGAGGGACTGCTGGCTTTTACTTTTGTTTTGTATCTGTTCATTTAACTATTAAAATGTTTAAATGTTCGCCGATTCCCGCCTCCTCCTTTCCACAACAACAAACCCCGTTAACGTTACATTGACAAACTCATTATACTTTTGAAATATCGTTTGTATTTCTTTCTATATGGTGTATTACTGCATGATACCTGGATGTTCAGTCAGGCGAAACTAGGATTCACACAAACGTCCGTGTGCTTGTTGGATTCAGAGATTTCGTCCAGGAGAAATTGCCATCGTTGAAAATCTCTGCAGCAAATGGACTCTATCTGTGTCAGTAGCATGCAGCGAGAGCACAGACACCAGCAGTCCGCCCAGCTCGAACCAGTCCGGGCTCCTCGACCGTGACAGGCAGCCGCCTCCTGTCCCTCCATCAGCCTCAGCTGCTATTCACTATTCTGCGACTCGTAAAGACACCCACGAACATCGAATTCAAGCAGCAGAATTTCAAAATCCTCTTCTTCCATATCATATTTAGTTTCTTCCGTTATTGTCATAACTTCCTATCTCCACAGCACTTGTTAGCTTAGCTTCCAAAACACGATGGCTTATATTGGTTTCAGTTTCTGCAAGTGAAGTCCCACCCACTGATCTGTAATAGGCCTGTAGGTGAGTGGGTCCCACATTCTTGAATAATGAGGATCTAAGTTTGTAGTCTCTACACTTTTCAATGAAATGTGACTTCCTGCTTATTATGACGCAAAATGACGATTTTTACGTCATAATAAGCTTGAAGTAAAACACTCAAATCCTTATTTCTCCCATCTCAGGGGAAAATAAGGGAATAAACCATGACCATTCAAAAATATGACTGGGTTTCTAAAGATACAAAGCTTAATGCGAATGGGTGAAGTGTCTCTTTAAGTGCTTGAGATGTTGAACGCTTAGTTATGGCTTCTTAGTTTTGCTGACAGATTCAATATAGTTTTGCATTACGTTGTGACAGGTTCACAAAACAGTTCTGTCATTTATGTCAAAACATCAAGGAAAATCAATCTCAATCAACAATCCGTTTGTGAAATTGCCCTTTTAAAGGGGACTCTGGCGACTGGTGAATTTTAACTGCAGTTACAGTTTGTCCAATTTTACTGTGATTTTGGTACTTGTAGAGGAGGATTTAATTGAAAAAAAAAAAAAAAAACGAGTGCATTTCCACTGTCTGAAGGCTGTGGACTAATTTCAGTGGCGTAGACGTGGCCTGTTAGATTAATGAATAAGATATAACAGGGAGAGAGACAAGTTGTGTGATTAAACCGGCAGAGCGTTGATAACTCAAACTTTTTTTTTTTTAAAGTCTCTCTTTTTTCATCTGTTCTTACCTCTTTTATCCACGAGTATATCTATCCTTGACAGCTTTCTATACGAACATCTTTCTTTCTTCTGTCTCTTTACCAGATCCTAGTTTCTGTAATGTGTCTTTCAGAAGAGACATGTCTCGCTAAAGACCTTGAGTGTCCGATGATTTAATCATTTGATGTGATTAACCAATTTGTTGTTTTACTATTCCCCAGCCCGGGTTTACTCATTTAATAACACACACACTCACAGGGTTTCAATATTTCATGTCTATGTATCTGGAAAAACTGAAAATCTTATATGGCACAAGACAACGAATGTGATTTATAAGATCGATTTATTAGATGTAATGTGTTTTATCAGAGCTATTTCATTGGCAATTGGGATTTCTGAACAACATACCATAAATAAGCTATATGTGCGCTTTATTAAAGGAAAGAAGGTGCAATGAAAGAGTTGTGGAGAGAAAACTCAAAGCTAAAGATGAGATTTTATGAAGTTTTGATTGAATTTGTGAAGTCTTTAAAAACATTTGCCTCACAACAAAACAATATTCTCTGCATTTGAATCAGCATAGACACTTAGAAGTTATGAGTAAAGTTATCATTTCTAAATAATCATGTTTAATCCCACTTCAGGAGACGAGGGCGGACCGGAAAAAAGATGGGGCCATTTTCCTGCCGGTATTGCTATTATGTGACTTAGATTAGAATGTTTACAAGACCAGTGCTTTATTTCATTTCACAGGATGAGATCGCTCGCCTCGCCGCTCTACAACCACAAGTGGACAAGCTGCATGATCAACTTCAGGAGCTGCGGCAGAAAGAAGAGACGCCTGTTCTATTTGATGCTGACATCTCTGCCTTCCAAGAGCACTACCACCAAGTCCTCGAGGACCTGAGGGCCAGGGAACGACAGCTTGTTCTGGGTGAGGGATGTCTTGTGCTATGCTATTTGGGTTAACGTTGAGGGAGTTTAAAAGTGGATCACTCAGATACTGTACTATGACAGCACTTGTATGTAGGATTCAGACTGCAGTGTGGTGTGGTTTGATCACGTTAGCTTCTGAGCTGGCAGCATTTTCGTAAATCTTTGAAATCAGCGAGTGTCTCTACCCTATTATGATACACAAGCGTCTGAAAGTTTCATGGTCTTGTTCTAATCTTTGCATAATCTCTGGCTGAAAGCTAAGTCGTGTCTAATGAGTTTCTACACGATCCGAAAAGATTCTTAAAACTTCAATCAATTCAAGACACCAGGATGTATCCACCATATTTTTTTTGTGCTGAATGTGTGGGCAAAGTTATGCAGAATGGTCCAATTTAAAGGGGTCATGAACTGGCTTTTTAAATTTTATTATATTGTTGTCTGAGGTCAACTCATGACGTTCACTTGGTTTTTGCATTCAAAAACATCAAAATGAATAAGTAATAGGCTATTTTCTACCCTAGTTTTGAGCCTAGTTCAAAAACTCTCGGTTTTTATGGGCGTCTCGTACTGAAGACTTGGAAGTAAACGCGCACTGCTGTGAGTGGATAACAGTTTTGCATATTATAATGAGTTTCAACTCGCTCGTCGGTTCACGTGGGGGAAATTGTTTTGAAAACGTCCAATGTTGTAAAATGGCAACCGGAATGATTCGACCCAGAGTCCGTGTGTTGCACCATTCCTGTCGGATCCAATATAGACGGCACAGCACTGTTCTTTAATCTTAATCGGTCTGCAAATCCAGTCTTGTTGACAAAACAATCCTCAGTGAAAGGAAGGGAACAGACGGACAATGTTTTACCTCATCAGCTGGAACGTCATGAAAAATAAAGTTTAAACATGCCTCCCTATTGGAATCCAGAGGAAGCTTATGCAGTGACTGTCTTCTTCCACAGCCAGGCACTGCACAATATTTAGTATTGCTTGGTAGCTTGATCCGGTTTGTCATCACGAGGTAGGCCTATGTTATTTAGCAATGCGTGTAATGGGCGAATCGGTGGGCGGGGCTAAACCGGCCGTGTTGAAGTAGGAGTTGATCTTCTTCTGCGGTTGTGGTGTTTTATCCTCTTTGACGTCATAGTTCCCCACTTTGAAAAACGAGTCGTTTGCCGAGCCTGGTGTCAATAAAAGCTTTTATTGGACTAACAATGATGTTTTCAGTTCTGAAACTTACAGTATATTCTTATAATATGATGACCTCTTAGATGTCAAAAGCTCAAGGAAAATTTGATTTCTCAGTTCATCACCCCTTTAAATAACAGCTGAGAGTACTTCACTATTAATAGTAGCTGAAAGTATAATCAAACTATTTAAAGGGGTTAAATGTAAGAATTTTCATGTATTAACCACTTTTTTAATGCCAATGTGTGAACGGCTTGTAATGAAACTTAAAAAAACGCCTTAGTTTGTCTATGAAAGCCTGTAGACTGATTTTTATGTGAAGAACGTTTTTGCTGGGAAAGTCAAAAAGATGTTCATCTGTTCAATGACGCATGAAATGAAAGTACAATGTTTAGGATAATGCTGAAAGAGCTATTCTGTACTGTAATGTCAATGCATTTTGGAAAGAAAATAGATTTTTTGCGAACTATCGTCAGATATAGACTGTAGTCTCAAATAAACTTTATAATCAAATCATCATAATGGTGGGCGATTACCTCATCTGTTGACATGTTGCCGGTGAATGGCAAAGATAGTGCAGACATATACACATCAGATGCTTTCTTAAGCGCTGTTTTCTCACCATTGTCATTTTTGTTGTGTGTTTAATTTGTTAATGAGAAAAAAGCTTGCGGCATATATTTTCATACTCATCTAAACATCTATCACAGCGTGGACAGTGTCAGGATTTTCGTTAATGGTATATTGCTTGCTGAAAATGTATTTATAACTTTTTACAACAATGGAAAAATAAAACGTAGCCTAGAGTAATATCGTGACCTTGAATCACATTCAGTCTCTTGTACGTGTGCACAAGTGCGAGCACTGAATTCTACATATACCCCCTTTAATAGTATATTATTTGTGAAAAACAAACATGCAGACAATGGGACATTCGTTGAACTTTGTTGAAAACTGCAGGACTTTGCTAGCAGATATTTTATAGGTGACTGTGTATTTAGACTTGTTTTGTCTTCTTTTCTCTTGCAATAGTCCAGTCTAGTCTTCCACCAGCGCGTTACAAGGATGTGATGGCGGCGCTGCTGGCCTGGCTGCAGCAGTGTGAGAATAAACTAGCCATCCCGTCCACAGCAGTGACCGAGTATCCTGTCATGGAGCAGAGGCTCAAAGACATCATGGTTTGATCATAAGATACTTGAAAAACATTTACAAAACTTCCAAACCATAAACTATTAAACCATAGTGTATGCATGATTTTAAGTGTGATCCTGCACATCAAACTGGGATCCAAGAAAGTATCTGATCCTCAAACAATTACACACTTCACTCTTAACTGCAATCTTTAGTAGGATCATAGTAAAAACGTAAAGCCATAAACATAATTGTAGTCATACATTCTATGTAAATATTACTTTGGCTTCTAAAAAAGCAATGGTGATAGCCAAGACATTTCGAAAATACAAAATTGCATAAAATACAATGTTTAATTGACATATTTACCAGGGGATAGGAACATTTCATAAGGAATGTGTGCATTTTTATTTTTATTTTAATAATAAAAGATTATTTTTATTTTATTTTAATAAAAGATTATTATTATTTTATTTAATAATAAGAGATTATTTGTTTTCTGTTAATATTATTGGTTTTATTTGTTAAACCTTCATTGTGAATGCTTAATAGTAATATTGGTAATATTAACAGACTGAATGAGTGCCAAAATATTTTTTGCAGGCAATTCAGGCAGCACAGAAGGAGCATCAGGGTGACGTGGATGACCTCAATAAGATGGCCGAGCAGGTGTTCCAGAAAGCACCTCCTGAGATCTGTCAGAAGTACCGAACTGAGCTGGACAACGTGATGGTGCGCTGGCGTCGTGTGTCTGAACAGCTGGAGGAGAACATCCAGAAGCTGCAGGATCACATGACCAAATTACAGCAGTTCCAGGCACGTGCTGAAACAATATGCTGATGAGGCTTTTCCCCAAATTACACTGGCTCTAGTGTCTCTGTAGCAGAAACACTTCACCTACACCACGCTGGGTGCTTTCCAAGTCGAATGCACTTGAATGCAAGCACCTGGAGATGTTGGCTGTGTCTCAACACCTTGTCAGCTGCCTACTCAGAGAGCTTACTAGGTTTTGAAAAGTATTTTGTTTAAAGGTTGCTCTTTTTTTCCCTCAGGTGAATATTCTGGGTTCAATATAAAATAAGCTCAATTGATAGCATTTGTAAATTGTAGTAATTTGTCGCTTGTTTTTTTTTAAAGCAAAAATCAAGGTTACCGTGAGGCACTTTTCAGAGGATTTAAAAGCAAAAATGTGATGCTTGAGATTTTAACACTTTCATTTGTTAACTTATGCATTATTTGAGTTGTTAAAAATGATTTATTTAAGGGTATAAGGTGTTGTCATGGCAACAAAGTTGCTAAATTGGTTATACTGTAACTTTTTTTTACACACATACTGTTTACACCTTTTGGCTCTAATTCTGAAAATCAGTATTTTAACATTTAAAGATTTACATGCCTTTCCTTTAGCCCAGACAGTAGAGCATATAGCGCTAGCAACACCAAGGTCATGGGTTTGATTACCAGGCAAAAGAAGACCTTAAAGAATGTAAATGTGTACCTTGAATAAAAGTCTCGGCGAAATCGATAAATGTATACCGCAAGTGCTTTCGGTTGAGCTTAACTTGTTTTGAACCCTCAGTGTTCAACAAATAAACCATTAGTTTATATTCAAAATGTAAAGAAGTGGAGTTTGTTATATTGAATTAAAGTTGCAACTTTAACTCAGAAAATAAATCCCTATGGGGTTGTGTATGATAAAAACATGCATTTTCTGATAGAGCATCATTTTATCCTATGGTAGAATGATACGAAGACTCTGCAGAAGTGGATGGCTGAGGTCGATGTTTTCCTGAATGAGGAATGGCCAGCTCTGGGAGACGCAGAGGCTTTGGAGAAACAGTTGGAACAGTGCACGGTGAGGACAGTCTTTATTTATTTAGCAATAAAAACTAAGTTTGTGTTCCCAAACTTGGAATAAAGCTCTAGAGCAAGATGTGCTAGAAAAAAAAAAAAAAAAAGATCCATAAAACTCACCATAAAACTGTGTTTCACGAACATGGCCCAAAAATTTAAATTCATCTGAGAGTGTTTTTTTATGCAGAGGCAAAGCATAGCCTAAATGAAAGCATTGGTCTGGGAGAGGAAGAACTGTTTCTCATTAAGATGAAATCTGCAAAAATATGTTGTTGGGAGACTTGCTAATATAGCCGCAGTGGTGGTTGAATAAGCCGTAAAGCCATTGGGACCTGACTCATTAAAGACCCTGTCTTCTCTTTTCAGGCAATGGCAGGAAATGATTTTTCATATTACCAGTCGTTAGAACTGTAGCTTAAACATGAAATTACATTCCTCAAATTGCAGTTCAATATTTCTCTGCCCTATGGTAAGTTAGCTGTAATGATGGTGATAGCTTTGCTTCTCTTTAGTAGAATTGGGTCAACGCATTGCCGTGACCTGTTTTCCAAGATGGCCAAGACCGACTATTTCAAAAATTCTGTTATGATTTGCCAGGCTCTGGTGAATGACATCCACACCGTCCAACCAAGCCTGAACGGGATCAATGAGGTGGGACTGGCCTTGAAGAAGGAAGCTGAGACACCGTTTGCCATCAAAATACAGAAGATGCTTGATGAGCTCAATGCTCAGTGGGAGCTCATTTGCAAACAGGTAATTAACATGCCACATGGGCTTATGGTGCATTATACTAATTAATTACGAAGTGAGGTGCAATTTAGTCATCTTAAAAAGCCCACGCATACCATTTTCGCACCTAGGCAATTTCTAAGTGAAACTTTTTGATGTTATTTTAGAGCATTGCCTGCAGTTTCAGGTAGACGTTGAAGCAAAAAATAACTGTGTTGTGGTTGGTCCCTTAGGCTTATGCAAAGAAATCAGCCCTGAAAGGAGGGCTGGACATGACGGTGAGTTTGAGGAAGGAGATGCAGGAAATGCAGGAGTGGATCACCCAGGCGGAGGAAGAGTACCTGGAACGAGACTTCCAGTACAAAACACCCGAGGAGCTTTTTAAGGCCGTGGAAGAGCTGAAGGTTTGAACATTTCGTTGAAAACATAATGGAGTTGTCCGTAAAGGATAAAGTATAATAATCTGGAAATAAAACCGAAAAACAATTAACATGAAAATTATTCACTGAACATTAAAATGGATATCATAGCTTAGATAATTTGGTCTTGTCAGAATTTGATAAATAGATATGTCAGCTAAGGGTAATTTTGCTTAGGAGAAAATTCGGTAACACTTTACTTGAAGGAATGTGCATAAGACTGACATGACACCTTCATAACCATGACATGACTCATTAAGTGTCTTTCGCTCAATAATGACATTTTGAATGCAAATATGACATTGTTTAAGATGTCTTTGTTATGACACCTTGACATCATAACCTGTCAGTGTCTTTGTCATGACAACTTGACTTAAAATTAAGTTAAACTGGCATGTGGTTGGTTTTGACATTGGCTGTCATGAGGCCATTATAACTGTGTCATGAATATTTTTCGTGACCTTAACTACAGTGGTACACATTGAATTTGTCATTAAAAAGTTATAATGGCTTCATGACAGCCAATGTCAAAACCAACCACCTGACAGTTTAATGTAATGTTAACCAATAAAGCTATAGGTGGTTTCTTAAGTTTGATAATTAATCTGCTATGTCATGTTTATGACAGGTTGTGTTGTCTTAGTAATGTCGAGGTGTCATAACAAAGACATCTCAAACAATGTCATATTTGCATTAAAAATGTCATAACTGAGCGAATGACACTTAATGACTGTCACAGTCCGTCGTCTGCACCAGTCTGTCTTGTCATCTGCACTACACTTCCCAGGATCCTCTTGTCTCTACTCCCGAACTCACTCCCTCATCAGCCACCTGTTCCTCGTCTGTTCATCATTTTCACCTGTTTGCACCTCATTATGTTTGATTCCCCTGTGTATTTAGTTCCCTCAGTTTCATTCAGTCTTTGTCGGTCGTTGTGTATGTTACAACGTGTTGCGAGTGATTTCCTGCCTGTTCCTGTTAATTGTTTAAAGTTTAAGTAAAGTAAAGTAATTGAATTGGAGCTTTGCCTCTTCGGTCTCCTTCGTCTGTCTGCACTCCACCACACCCCGTGACAATGACAGTTGTCACAACATTCATAAAACTTCCTTCATATTCATAACATATGTCATGTCATGGTTATGAAGGTGTCATGTTAGTCTTATGCACACCCCTTCAAGTAAATTGTTACCGAAAAATCTGAGAAGAAAACAAGCAAATGTCTCTCTTTGTACATTTTTCTTGTTACTCTCCTAGAGAAACCAATCGTGATCTCTTTTATGATATTTCTTGTCTATGGGTGTGTTTTGAAGCATTTTCAAAAAACAAAACTTTTCATATTTAATCAATTTCAGCAAAAGGTCACTTAAAAAGTATATATTTAACTGTCAGAAAGTAAGTTTTGTATGGACTGTTTTATAGTAGATTTTCACTTTTTGCAACCCAAACTATGTATACATATACTGTGATTATATAGTTTACGTGATATATAATAAACTATGTATAAAATTGACACAAACAGGGCTACATATTACATTTATGGTCAATTAAATTCACTAAAACATTTTGTTTCTATGAAGTACTGAACATGAGTTGAATAAATTGTCATAATTTTCACATTTTTAATTGTTGGATACTGTCGGACCATTGAGGTGGAACAAGCCAAAATCAACATTTTAAGGGGAAGATAAACTGTGTGTTTCTACTTTTCATGCCGTGTTAATTTTATGTTTGATAATAGCTTATCTAACACATCTAATCTCACTAGAGAACATGGAATCTGTGCCTTTATTTCTTTTAAGAACAGTCTAGGGACTATTTGTACCCCATTCATTGAAAGTTTCAAGACCCCAAAGTTTAAAGAAAAGCATGTTGCACTGAGAAGAAAGTGTCGGAAAAGCTCCCGGGACATGTATCTAGCCGTCAGTGTGCTATCATGATAACTGAGATATATTTATTTCCCAACAAGTGCCGTCTCGGTGCACGGATGCATCTCACCTCCATGTGATCCTGTTGCTTTGTGCTTTTTATGAAGTAAATGGGGCAACTTCTCAAGTTCAACAGTGAACAGCAGGGATCTTTCTGTCTTGTATTCTCTCTGCTCCAGTGCCAAGCTTAGCTTAACATTGAAAACAGAGGCTTAAGAGAATGCTGATGTACACTAACCTAGGTTGAAACATCTGAATGCTCACATAATCTCCTCTCCTCTCTCCCACTCAGCGGGCTCAAGAGGAAGTCCATCAAAAGGAAACAAAGGTGAAGCTACTGACGGATAAAGTCACCAATTTCATTTCAAAGGCTCCTCCCGTGGCGCATGATGCCCTGAAGGCAGAATTGGATGTTTTGACTTCTAACTACCAGCGACTGTGCAGCCGACTCGATGGAAAGTGCAAGACTTTAGAGGTGAGCTTGATATTGTGCCAGTGATGGGGTTGCGCTCTGGAGCCTGATAGTGTCTAGTTCATTGGCATTCATTCATTTGGCTGATTCTTTCATCCAAAGTCCTTTTAAGGTTTACATTTTGTGTGTGTGTGTCAGGTTCTTCTAACATTTGATCAAATTCTGAGGACACTGGCCCAATGTGATATGTTTGATTAACCACACGCATCTCTCCATTTCTGTTGGCTGTTGTAGGAGGTGTGGGCATGCTGGTGTGAGTTGCTATCTTATTTGGAGTTGGAGAATGCCTGGATGGACCTACTGGAGAAGAAACTTGATGAAACAGAAAGCCTTCAAGGAGGTGTAGAGGAATTAGAAGAAGCTTTGACTGTGAGTGCTTCAAATCTTTGAGATGAACTTCAGAATTCAAATGAGACTGTTTGCTAAAACAAGAAGCATTTTGAAATCCAGTTTACTATATTAACCCACATTTTTTCTTGCAACTTGAGTACATGCATTTTACTCCTTAGACCTCCCTAACACTCAAACCTTATGCTTTTTTGATTTTATGTTGGTTAATTTAGTGAAATATTAGGTTTTATACTCGGTCACAATAGTGACCGGTGGGAAACAACATAGTCAGAATTCATTTAAAATTCTTCACTTAGACCTATTGACACAATTCATTCCAAGACATCCAATATCTCGTGTTGTCATTTCGTGAAGAAGGCTTTGTGAGGTGAAAAGGTTGACATGTACAGAGTTACATCCTTTGTAGATAGCTAGACCTGTATGGGCTAGACGATGTCTACAGGCCAGTTTCAGGGAGATGTGTGTTCACTCATTCAGTGCACTGAAGATGGGCCGTACGTTGTAGAAAGGGTTGTTTGTGGTCATGTGTGGGGCACACCAATTGGTTCTCATGAACATCTACCCAATCCTCCAGATAGTTCATCTCTGCATCTGCATCCTATCTGAGCCATCACTATCACAGTCACTTTCAATTTGGGGTGGGGGGGGGAGGGTGTCGCGTACCGGTACGTCAAGAAGGTCCAACACATGAATATTTCTGGGATACTGATAACTACACTGAACAAAATTATTAACGCAATACTTTTGTTTTTGCCCCCATTTTTTATGAGCTAAACCCAAAGATCGAAGACCTTTTCTATGTACACAAAAGGCATATTTCTCTCAAATACTGTTCACAAATCTGTCTAAATCTGTGTTAGTGAGGTCTTCTCCTTTGCCAAGATCATCTATCCCCCTCACAGGTGTGTCATAATCAGTGTAGGATTGCCAAAACCTGCCATTAGCAGCCAATACCTGTGTTTTCAATTGAAGCACTGTGTAATACCACCGGTCACAATTGTGACCATAAACAAATTTACAAGTCTTACAGGCAAAATATATATGCAGAAGTATAATTCTCAAAATATATCAGTAGTAGACCCTTTAATATGATAGTTCTATCTATAAATTAACATGTTTTTATAGTAGTCTGAGGAAGACATCATCTTCTAGATGTGCAAGCAGGAAGTGAACTGATCTGGTCATGTGACCTTTCACGCTAGTCACATGATATTAATTGATTTTTATGAAGACAATCTATTTTGTCATTTAAAAGTTGAATTTCTTGCCCTAAGTCAATAACATTTTTAGAGCTCCCAGAAATAAGAAAAAAGCTGCGACCGGTGGGATTAAAGCAACACTAAGTAAGATTTTTTAACGTAAAATAATGTTTCCAAAATCGTTTCAGTGGTTCATTAAGTCGTAACCGGGTGAAAGACACTTCTGGATTCACTTTGCGGTCCTATATCTGCTTTAACCACACTATGTAAGATTGCCAAATCAGGTTGCGTTTCTGTAGTTCTAATGATGCCTAAGAAAACTACAAATTTGCGTTACAATTGTCAATTATTTCATTTTTCTACATTTCTGATGTCGCAATACATCATACTTTCATGAAATCATGCAACATACTCTAACTTGTCTGTAGACACTGTTCATTCCAAAGTGTGTGTGACAGTAGGCTGCGGTAGGCTAAATTATTTACGACAGCGGTAATGGACAATTCCGCTTCCAGCCTGTAGGGCGACTGCAGGAGAAAAGTTACTTGGTGTTGCTTTAAACTGGTATATAGTTTTATATCTGGTTCTCACTCGAGAATATCATGTGGCTTCATAAACTTGAAATACTGTGCATGAATCATATCGCCTGTTTGTCCTTTTTATTACTTGACGAACTGTGGTCGCTGATCCCGTTTTTGTTAAAAGAACTGCAAAAATAAATTTCCTTTAGTGTCACAGTGGAAAATAAGAGCATATAGGTTTAGAATGACACAAAGGTGAGTAAATGATGACTTTATTTTCATTTTGGGTTAGAGATTGACTTGGAAAGGTCACTCTGTCCCAGAGGTTGTTCTTTTTTATTGCAGGAGACTGACTTAAATGCCATTTTCATTGGAGTTTCCACTTTGTCTCCAGACATTTCTCAGATCATTATTGAGATCTCGTCTTAAATTCTAGTGCAGGGTTTCCCAAATGGGGATTTGTGAGGGAACTGCAGAGGGTTTGTGAGTTGATGAAAAGCTAATAAATAATTGACTGGAAAAGCGACTGCACAATTCATTAAAATAAAACTGAAATCACTATATAGAGTTAAATATAGATAGTTTTCATATGAGATGAAATGTCAAACCTCAGTTCAAATTGCAATCACAATAGCTTATATGACAAAGTGAACACTTGAATTTAAAAAAGATTAAAATAAAGAAATGTGACTGCACAATTAATCGAAATAAAACCGAAATCACTATATAGGTTAAATATAGTTTTACGTATAGATATATTGTTTTCATATAAGATGAAATGTCAAATCGCAGTTCAAAATGCAATCGAAATATATGACAAAATAAACGCAATATTCATTTTTTGGGCCAAGATGTTCAGCCCTATTTATAAATAATTCTACAAATTTATATTTAAATTTATAATTTAAATTTATATAATTCTACATTTATAAATCATTGTACAAATATATCCTACATGGTTTGTAAAGAGACTGCAGGGGGTTTGTCAGTTGATGAAAAGCTAATAATGAATTAAATCAAATGGAAAATTTAAATAAAAAAGTGGGGCCACACAATTAATAGAAATAAAGCTGAAATTTTGATATAGTTTATATGTAGTTTTAGATAAATATTTTAGCGATTAAATGTCACATCGCAGTTCAAATTTCAGTCACATAATATGAAAAAATAAACACGTTAAACATTTTTGGCCAAGTTGTGGAGCCCTGTATATAAATAATTTTGAAATTGAAACAATAAAAATAAAACACTTAAAAAAATAATGAAATATTTTATCTCTTACTTGAATGTCATGACCATTAAAAGACATCAGAGAACCCGTAAACATGCAAATGTTTGTTAAATTGTTAAAATATAAACCTAAATTCTCAGGGAAAGACTAGGGTTTGGCTTACAAAAAAGTTTGGGAACCCCTGCTCTAGACATGCATGATTACCAAGGGGTCTTTTACTCGGGAGACAGAAAAATAAAAATTGAGAAACAGGAGACTTTAGCACAAAATTTAGTGTTGTGTACATTTAGAGTAGCAGACACTTCTATAAAGCTTCTTGAAAAATGAGGAATGCTACAAGAACAGACTCCATTTGCTTCCTAGGAGAATGTTTGAGATATTAAATAGATCTCATTTGTGATTTTTCTTTTCTACGAGCTAATACATGCATTAATGATGATAAAATAGTCCTACCAAAAGTTTAATCTTGCGTCATCACCGTGGAAAGCATCTTTTATTGAGTTTTGTGTTGAAAATAACATCTAAATCATTGGTATTAAAGTGGTTTCTCATTCCCTCCAGTCCTTAGACACAATGATTAGAGAGCATCCTGAATATAACCGCAACCAGATCCGTGAATTAGCCCAGACCCTTATGGATGGCAGAGTCCTTGATGAGCTCTTACACAAAAAAGTGGAGGACTACAACACACGCTGGGATGAACTAATGCAAAGGGTAGGAACTTGATTCCTGATTCAGTTGTATTGCTGCAGCTGAAAACGTAAGTATATTCATTGGATTTTCTCATTCACTTCCGCTTTCTGATGTCAACGACAGGCTTTACAAAGGCGACAGCAGCTGGAGAAGAGCCTGCAGTGGGCCCAGGAGAACGACAAAACCCTGCGCCTTATTCAGGACTCTCTGAACACCACAGACCGACATTTGACTGCTTACATAGCAGATGGCATAGATGCTGCACAGATTCCTCAGGAGGCACAGGTACTCATAATGTCTCACATATGGGACAAATAAACATTATTTACGTATTTATCCATCTGTCCGTCCATCCATCCAACGTGCAGTAAAAATGTAAGGACTTCAGTGATTAAAATATGAATGTCTTATTCAACAGAAAATTCAGACTGAGTTGAATGGTCATGAGACGACTCTTGATGACATGAAGAAAAAGGCTGTTGAGGTTGACGCATCAGAGAAAGTGATTGGAGAAATTGATGCAACATACGTAAGAGTCACAGATCATTTAATTTCATAGTAGCTGAGTTTTTGTCACTTTGCTGGATCCTTTCTTCATAAAATGCATTCATCAAATAATAATAAGTCATCAAATACCTATTAACAAACGCCTGTTTTTTGTGCGTCTGTTCAGGATAAACTATTTCAAGTGAAAGGCAAGTTCCGGCTTTTCCAAAAGCCAGCCAACTTTGATCAGCGGTTGAGGGAGTGTGAGCGAGTGTTAGAGGAGGTGAAAGTGAAGCTGGGAGTGCTGAGTATTCGGAGTGTGGAGCAGGAGGTTGTACAGTCACAGTTGGAGCAGTGCATGGTGGGTAATGTAGGGTGCTTAGTGTTTTAATAGCATTTATCCCTATTTTTTTATGAATACATCAATTGTTTTACTTTTTACATCAATTATTTGAACAGATTCACTGATTATTTTATAATGTATGAAATGTAGAGTAGTTCACTTTAAAAAAAAAAAAAAAACTTTTGCTGATAATTTACTTACCCCCATGTCATCCAAGATATCCATGTCATTCTTTCTTCAGTCGAAAAGAAATTAAGGTTTTTAATGAAAACATTCCAGGATTTTTCTCCATATACAAGACAGTTTCAGTGCAAAGTGTTCAAAGGTCTTTAAATGATTCCAGACGATAAATAAGTTTCTTATCAAGTGAAACGATCGCTCATTTAAAAAATAAATAAATAAAGTTTAAGTTTTATAAGCTCAAATGGTCGTATTGCTCTGTTCTGTGATGCGTGTTCGTGACTTTCCTGTTCGAACTCGTTCTTCAAAATGAACAAATCTTTTTCCGAGTCAATTTATTCATTTCATTCGTTGAATGAACCAAATGACACGAAAAAAGATTCGTCTGGACACATCGTCTGGAATGGTTTAAAGCCCTTTGAACAGTTTGCACTGAAACTGTCTTTTGGACCTTGAACCGTTTGGTTCCCAGTAAAGTGCATTATATGGAGAAAAATCCTGGAATGTTTTCATCAAAAACCTTAATTTTATTTCGACTAAAGAAAGAATGACATGGACATCTTGGATGACATTGGAGTGAGTAAATTATCAGCAAAAGTTTTTTTTTTGTTTGTTTTTTTTTTTTAAATTGAACTACTCCTTTAATAACAGTTTTTGTTTAGTCGTAAGTTGCTGTTTATTTTTTGTCGTGCTGCAATATCTTATATATGGGGAGTTTTAACACGTTTTCTATTTCCCCCATTTAGAAGCTGTATAAGAATCTGAGTGAAGTGAAATCGGAGGTGGAGACGGTGATAAAGACGGGAAGACAGATTGTGCAGAAGCAGCAGACAGAGCAACCCAAGGAGCTGGACGACAGGCTGACGGCTCTCAAACTTGCATACAATGTTTTGGGTTCACAGGTAAGGAATGCTAAATGTAAGACATCTACAGTACCAATTTGAACACCTATGGATTGGATATTCTTGGTATTTTCCATTTTAGAATAATAGTAATGTCATCAAAACCATTACACATTACACAAATTAAAAGTATGGGAGATGTACAAATAATTGAAAAGTATCTTTTGTAGATTAAACTGTTTGGTGTCAGTACGATTTTGTTTTTTAAAGGTCCCGTTCTTCGCGATTCCATTTTTCAAACTTTAGTTAGTGTGTAATGTTGCTGTTAGAGCATAAATAATACGTGTAAAATAATAAATGCCTAGCGAGATATTTTATTTAACACAAGTCCCCTTTCAAAGCCTACAGCGAACGTCCGGTTTGGACAACATCCCTCTACTTCCTTTTTAATGTCGTAATTAGAACAGTTTTTTGACGAATCTCCGCCCACAGGAATACCTATAAAACATATATTACTAATCATATTACTACTTGTGCACACATGTAACTAAGGTAGGAATCAACAACAGACTTATTTTAAAAATAAAAAAACACCGTCGTTAATTCGACAGACGGGAAAAAAACATATACCACAAGATTGTATAACAGTTAGTAACATTTATCATTACAATTTAACCAAATAAAAGTACAACAACTACTAAATAAACAGCTTACCCAGCTCATGAGGGAATGAAATACAACTCATCCATTTAGAAAACATATTACATTGTGGATTAAAATGTCAGAAATGTCTTCCATCAAACTTTTGACCATTTGAGTTGTCAATGATTGGTCAGATCATCCCATTTGTCTGTGTGCAGGTAACGGAAGGAAAGCAGGAACTGGAGAAGATTTTAAAGTTATTAAGGAAGTTTAGGAAGGAGGTCAACAGTCTGACAGAATGGCTGGCAACTACTGATGAGGAACTGACGCGCCGGTCTTCGGTGGAAGGGATGCCAAGCGATTTGGATGCAGAGTTGGCTTGGGCCAAGGTGAATGAATACACAACATTGTTTACTTCTAAAAGAGTTCACTACTCATTAAAGGTATAGTTCATCCAAAAAAAATGACAGTTCTGTTATCATTTACTCCCCTCAAAGTGCTTCCTAACCCATTAGCCTTTCTTTTCTTAGTGGAACACAAAATTAGATGTTTTGAAATATGTTTATGTTGCATACAATGAAAGCATACAGTAAATAAATTGTATTTGTCATTTTTGAGTGAACCATTCCTTTTAACATGGTGAAAAATGTTTAACCAAACCTAAATTGTTAGTTTATTAGTAATGCTGCTTTGTTTTCAAGAAGGTGTGTGTTTTAAAGACGTATTACTCCATATTTCAAATGGAAAAACAACCAATTAAAACATCATCTTTACCACCCAGGCGACGCAGGAGGACACTGAGCGTCATAAGCCACAGCTGAAACTAGTAAGGGAGTTGGCACAAACCCTGAAGGGTTTACTTCGTAGCCAGGAGAACCTGATTGATGACAAGGTCAGTCTGCTCAACTGCAACTGGATCGCGGTGACGTCACGGAGCGAGCAGTGGCTGAACCTCCTGCTGGTGAGCAACCATTCATAGCAACCATCTCACCCTGTTCTGAGTCATTTCATTCAAATATTTCTTGTGCTAAATATGCCCTGCAAGGCTAAATTCATTTCCTTTCAATTTCACATCTCCATATTGTTCCGTTAAATCCAGACGGCGATTTCTGGAGGCGGCAATAATGTTATGACACTGTTAAGCACATTTATCTCCTGCTCTTCTTTATTACCTTCTCCACTTCTTGCTTTCTCCCATCGTTTATCTCATCTTTTATGTTTTTGACTACATTTTCTTCTTGTTCTACTTTGTAAATAACTATAAATATCTGAGGGACAATACATCAACAGATGAGGCTTGGCCTCAAAGGTATAATGAAACCATTAAAGAAATTGTTCACCTAAAAATTGACATTCTAACCCGCATTTCATTCTAAACCTGTATGACTTGCTTTCTTCCATGTAACACAAAAGAAGAAATTTTGCTCTTTCACATGCAGGTGAAGAGAAACTAATGTTTTTCAAACTATACTCTAAGTTTTATGAAGACATGGATCGTTTTTGTGAGAAACAAGGATGCAAAAGCATCATAAACGTGGTCCATGCTCTGTATTTCACTGTAGTTTTTACTGAGAAATGTCCAGGGTTAGAAAGAAAGTCATATAGGCTTGGAATAACCCAACAGTGAGTATACAATTGCAGAATGTTTATTTTTTTTGGGTGAACTATTCATTTTTAACCTGTTCCTGAACATATTTCCTTGTGCTATCCACTGAATCCAAATGTACGCTAAGTTGTTTTAACCCAAATTTGGGTCAAATATGGACAAACCCAAATGTTGGGTTGAAAATGTAATTTAAAATTTTAACCCAACTTCAACTTTCACTTTCAACTGTAATTTTTTAAATACATTTTTAACCCAACTTTTGGGTTTGTCTATATTTTACCCAAATTTGGGTTGAAACAACCCAGCATTTTTTTGGAGTGTAATCGCAACTTTTTATCTGTAATTCAGGATTATCAGAGTCAAATCAAAACACTTGAGCAGAACATTTCTCAGATCAACGCGTGGATGGATCGTGCTGAAGAAAAGCTGGACGAGATGGACAGCCAGGGCTGCATTGAGCATGTCATCAAGGTCTTCAGTTGCACATGACACACACTCACAATGAGCTGTTCTCCATTATTGAGGACTAGAGATTGTTTTATGCAGCCATCCCCTTTTGCATCAAATTAAATCAACAGTTATCCATTTTTGTATGGTAGCAATGTTTTGATGGCTCATTATTTGGAAGCAATTTGCAGCAAAAAACCCTCTAAATTTAGGCACTAGGGAGAACAAAACATACAGACAAAAAAAAGTATTTTAATTTTATAAAATGTATCATTTCTTCTGTCCTCTATAAAGTAAATATAATTATCTTTTATGCCATACTACCAAAATATAAATCTGTACTTTCGGGTTTTGTGCATTTTAAAGTTTTAGAAAGTTTACATTTACACATGAATTATAACTTCAATAACACCAAAAACAGAAAAATGTAGGTTTTTTTTTTTTTTTTTTTTTTTTCCAACAGTTGGAATTGATTGAATATATACTATATGTATTCAAAATGTAGCACACATAATTGATGTGTTGTTATTTTGGGCGTTTTATTTCAGGGTTTGCGGATAGAGCTGGAGGAGATGAAGGGGAAGGTTGAAGCGGTGCAGGTTCTGGCGGAGGAACTTATAAAGAACACAGGGGAACACTGTAAAGCTCAGGTGAAACCCAAGCTAGAACAGCTCAACCAGCGCTTTGACATCGTCGCAAAGAGGATTCTAATGGGACAGGTAGTCTTATGAAAAGCTGTATGTCTCATACTTGTATACCTATAGAACACATGGTGGATTTTAATCTGATTTCTCTCCCTCTGTTGATCCTTAAATCATCAGTGACATTGTCTTATTAAACCACTTGAAGTAGATAGATTTTTTTTTTTTACTTTTTGTATATTGTTAATCTTTTTTTTCTTTCCCAGGCCTCCTCTCAAGAGTTAGACGAGTACCACAGACAGGCTAATAAATGGCTCCAGGTGCTGGACGAGGAGATTAAATTAGGTGAAACTCTAAAAGAGGACGATTTCCTGGAGGATGCGGTAAGAAAATACTCTCAGCTGTTTCTTTGGCTAAAATTAATTTCTGTCACTGGAACCGCACGGGCAACGAAAGCCTGAAACAGCCTCCGAGCTTTCGCGTAAAGATCTCAAGAAAGACAATGAGTTATAGATAAATAGATAGATAGATAGATAGATAGATAGATAGATAGATAGATAGATAGATAGATAGATAGATAGATAGATAGATGATAAATAGATAGATAGATTCATTCATTCAATTCAGTTCAATTAATTTGATATATTTCTGTGCTTGTTCTTTTACAGGCCATAGATGAGGATGCGCTAAATGAAGTTTTCTTAAAAGGAGAAAGTCTCCTCAAGAGAACTCCTTCTGGGGATAAAAGAGAGGCTGTCCGTGAGAAACACAACCTTCTTCATGACAAATATGACACTCTAAAGGTAATTATTGAGCGTGTTTGCATGTCAAGTACACAGTTTATTTGGAAATAAGGCCATGAGAATGCATTCACAAGCTTATGACATTAAACTCATGGCATTTCATTGAATTTAAATGTTTGTTCTATAAGGACAAACCAAGGACAACTGCATCAAATATAATATAACTGGCCATACTACCAGTATGTAATATTGCAGTAATGCAAAAGCTTTTAATGTCTGGTTGATTTATACATGACAAAAAAATAATTTGTTTTTCAGTAAAGCTTTCTTAAAACAAGACAAATTTACTTAAAAGTTAAATAAATGTATTATGTAATTTTATTTTACCCATTTAAAAATAAATCTTGTTTTAAGCAAAAAACTAACTCAATTTTGGGAGTTTTATGCTTAAACCAATTTGATTGGCTTATTTTAGATATATATTCTGTGACAAGTGTATTTTGGATTCTATATGATTTTATGTAGGATTAAAGATGTGTTCCTGGATCAGTCCTTTATTGGTCCTGAAACAACATTAATACCGTCACCCAATCAGATTTTGGGCTTAGGTATTTGACATATTTCCAAAATGAAATACTGCACTAGTGAATTCTTGTAAAAATGAATAAATTAGTTGGTATTAAAGATAATTGTATGGTCGGTGTAAGATTGAACTCCTGTATTATTATTCAAGCCAGAGACCAGGTCAAAACTGGAATAAGAATGAGGTCACGCTCTTACAGTAGGTGTGACACTTAGTCAAAACTTAAGGTTAAAAAATGGAGGGTTTGGGCTAAGGTTGGTGTGTAAAACTTTGGTAAAAGTTTTGCTTTATAATTTGACGTATTTAATAAGTCTTGATATGTTCATTCTGCGTTCCTAGAATCTGAGAGCCCTGAGAAAGAAGAAGGCTCTTGCTCTTGCCCCGCAGTGGTATCAGTTCTGTAAAAAAACCGATGACATGATGCAGTGGCTGGACAAAATCGAGAAGACCCTTGCAGAGCTTCCAGATCCTCCCGAGGAGCCGAGAGTGAAAGTGAGAGCCAACGTTTCTTTACTGTAAACACTATGGGTCTTTAATTAATATTTATGTTCTTATATTTTAGCTCCTTGGATGTTTTAAACAGTATAGAGGTCCCTTTCCTTCCATCAAGTTTAAGAATATTGAACTGAAGTTTAAGTGATGTCAGGTGACGTGACTTCTTGTTGACGTTTAAAGTATTTTCAAACAAAACGGAGGCTAGATAGACTCTCCCTCCTCCTCATCCGCACACTGACCTCCCAAACCCCACCCCCAGGGCCTTCTTGTCAGTTATTGGCTGGAGCAGTGTGTTATGTTTCGTGGAGCGAGTTGCCGCAGTTTGTTTTTGTTGCCATTTGTTGAGCCCGGGTGACCGCGTTTTTTTTACAGTGTGTTTAGGGGACAGGCAGCTACCGGATAGTGAGGAGGTGTTTGCTGTATGTGACAAAAAATGTTTGTGACATCGCTTAGAGCACCTTTAAGTTCAATTTTAAGAATATTGGACTGTGCACTAAAGGAATTGGATGTTTTCCATCAGGCAATCGGTTCTGAGATTGAACAACAACGTCCAAAGTTGGAGGACTTGCGTGGACTGGGCCGAGTGCTTTCAGAGGGCGGAGCTGGCAAGCTAGTGGAGCCCCGCCTCCTCCCGGTCAATAAACGCTGGGCAGGGCTGGACGTTAAATTCAATCAAGTGCGCCACAAAAGTGTAAGTCTGCTCTTAGTAGTTCTTACTAGGAAAAAGAAAGTAAATTTCAAAAATGCATCTTTTAAATATTAAAAATATTGGAGAAAATTGCCTGTGGTAAAATCACTGTAATGTGTCTTAAAGGGACATAAAGGTAAAAATTAGAGATGGGAGGAAAAGTTATTTTGTGTTCTTTCGCGAATGTTTTTCGTTCCCCTGAGAAACTTTGCGTTACCTCTCAAAATGTTTTGGTTTACCACAAGAAACTTTGTGTTTGCTCAAAAAAGAACAAAGCTTTGTGAGCAAAGCAGCGAACACAGCAAAGTTTTCGGGGGAATGCAAAAGTTTTGCGAAGAGAACGCAAAGGTTGTATGAGTAAACGCAAAAGCATTGAAATATTTGAAATATATAACGCAAAAGCATTGAAAATCTCATATTTTTTTCGTTACCATGTCCCTTTAGGGGCCCCGTAATAATTGACAGTCTTTAATGATGGATTTTTTTTTTTTTTTTTTTTTTTTACGTGTTTTTTTTTTTTTTTCTTAAACATTATTTTTTTTGTATTGCTCTTCATTGCACAATAACCTGTTTTTTCCATCAGAGTAAAATAGTCCAATTGAACGAGACGCATTGTTCTCCATCCTTGTATGTGCAGGAGCTGCAGTTTTTGCTGCAGTGTATCGCTGACAACGAGGCTCTGCTGAACTCTCCTGACCGCTGGTCTGCAGCATTCATCAACGTTTCTCAACAAGAAAAGTGCCTTAAGGTTCTATCATAATCCGTCTCATTTCTTTGAATGATTTTTATTAGCCAATGCATTTTTGTGTCCATGAGCTGATTCAGTCTATTATTGTACAGATATGTATGAACATGAACAATTCGTTTTACCCACACCACTGAAACAGCAGTTACAATAGTCAAGTAAAGTCACCTTCATTTATATAACACTTTCAATACAGATTGTTTCAAAGCAGCTTTACAGTGATTATATGAAATGAATGGAACAGAGATTGTTGTGGCTTTACAGCAGTTCTTGAAAAAAGGTATAGACCCCTTTTGCGCCGACGTCACAGTTACGTCACGGCGCTAGCTGGAGGCAAAACAAAGTGAAAACTGGAGGCGGCCAAAATAAACCAGCACAGATTCGGCTACATAATAAGGAGCTTAAATAATTGTTACTATTATTAAATGTCATCTTGTTGTGTTGTTTGGTGCAAGAATTGATGAAAAATGAATATGCTGTGTCTGGAACTTTTATTTCCAGAAAATATTCACGTGATTAAAATCGCACTGTAATGTCACTCTTTACATTGTCGTGGTCTCGGCGCTGGCTTGGCAGAACTGCGGATCATACACACAAGTCTTGTACAGGACCATATAGGCATCTAAAGATTTATATGCCTCAGTTTCTCTTTCAGTTAGGTTTCTCTATAAGGTAGGTGTAGAAGTCAAGCCACTCAACCGAGGTAACGTACGTTAATCCTGTCAGATCATCCATGCATTGAGTGAGCGTGTAGACGGCTACGGGTCGGCCAATCTGGTTCCGTCCGTTAAAAATAACTTTTGAAAATAACAATCGCGGTCCTGGACACTGAGTGACCTTACACATTAAGATAATATCGGATTTTCTCCAGTCATTGTTAAAAAACAAGCTAACAATCCTTGCTAACTCGCGTTAGTGAAGTGGCCAGATGGATCTTTCTGCCTCCACCTAAGCTCCGCCCACAAAAAAACGTCACCATGTTTACCAACTGTAAAAGGGTCTATTGTCCAGCTATACTTTTAACTTCATAGCCGTTCATTTGCACGTCAACGGTGTTTGGTCGCTCGAGAACGCAAACTTTGAAATTCTAATTCCAATTCCTCCAATTCTGTGAAAACTGTGATGGCGTGCACATGCATATTACAGTACGTGTTTAGTCTATAGATATGCATGTTTGAATATAAATGTGCGCAGGCATGTAGTCTTTCTTTACCAAGTGGCATCGCCAAATTTCTTGTCTGGCCTGCATAATACAGATTTTTTTAGTACAGAAATAATGTAAATGCTTTAATCTTTTGTGTCATGTGATTCAGGAGGTTAAAGTGAATCTGGATAAACTGGAGAGTCCAGTGACAGAGGCTTTGGGAAAGGGAGCCTCTCTTCCTGAGGAGAGTTTACTGGTCCAACTGCTCCGAGCCAACTGGGAAAACCTTAAAAAGCTCTATCATGACAGACTCACGTAAGGGTGCATATAGAAAAATAGTGTGTGTCATTAAGTCAGTGAATTGTTCAGAAGAGTTTGTCTTTGTATAAACTTGAAGGATTTTCTAAGGTTATATTACTTGTAAGCTTACCATATTACTTGTATATCTATTACATAAATATGAATGGAATACTGTATGTGCTGGCATAAGCATATATTTTCTTTTATATTTTTATGTGCTTTTTTCATTTCATTTCTATTTAGATTTTTTTTATTTTTGCACTTGCAGAGCTCTTATTTTTTACTTATTTTATTTCAGTTAGTTGAAAAGATCTATATTAGCATTTTTGGGTTTTTTTTATCTAATATTTATATTTTATTTCAGCTTCATTTCAATTAACAAAATCAATTTTTTTTTTTATTTTCATAAAAAAAATGACAGATTAAGTATAGAATACTACTGACTGGTCATAAGTAGAGAATTCATGCTAAATAAGCTGTAAAATAGTCCATACTAAGTAAAGAAACCACAAAAGTGAGATTGTTTTTATGCTTTTTTTTAAAGCTAAACAATATGTGGACATTAACTTTTTAAGCTAATAATCTGTTTAAATCATAATATTGATCTAACATACTCTACCTTTACTCTCTGACTCGTAATGTTTTTTTTTTTGTCTACTGTCCAGACGCCTTGAGAAATCGAAGAAATTCAGCGAAGAGTTCAAAGCGCTTGACGATTGGCTCACACATGCTGAGAGGACGATTATGAAGTATGAACAAGACCCCATTAATAATAGAGACCACCTCAAGGTAAACATAAATATTACAATTTTATAATTTAATTATGAGAATATATACAAATGAACAAATTACATCGGATATAATACTATATTAAATAACTAGTTCATCAAAAGATTAGCTGATTATTACTGACCCCATGGCCGTCTAATATGTAATTGCTTCCTTTCCTCACCCGAAGAGAAATGTTTTGGAGGAAAACAAATAATAACTTTCCAGGACTTTTCTCCATCGAATGCAAGTGAATGGTGCCCAATGTAGACCTTATTTGACAGTACAAAATCCATATTTTGGCAGCTTCAAAGGTATTTTTAACCACAAATGCTTGCCTTAGTGCATCTCTGCAAAGTGTGTTCACGAGACATGCATGTTGGGCACCATTCACTTGCATTAGATGGAGAAAAAAGCCTGGAATCTTCGGCTGAGGAAAGAAAGTCATATACATCTTAGATGGCCTTGGGGTGAGTTTTATTTTTGGGTGAACTATTAAGCAGAAAGTATTAGCAGATTCTTAGGCAATACAGTAAGTGCGTTACATTAATGTTAGATTAGTTTTCAGACCATCTACACTAAGGCTTTCTGCTTTCCCAGGAGCTCCAGGGAGAGTTTGAGAAACAGGAAGCAGCAGTGAAGGGGCTCAATGCTCTTGGGACAGATCTGACTCCACAGTGCAGTAAGGACGACAGGGACCACATTAAACAGCAGCTCGCCTCTATCAACTCCCGCTGGGCCAAAGTGTCCAACCAGCTGGCTAAGATCAAGAGACGGTTAGTAAAAATTCAGGACATATTAATGCAGGCAGACACGTTTGAATATCTTAGCATAATTCAATTTTGGCAGCAAACACCTACATAATTGCCCTCTTTTGTCCTTATTTTGAAGGAACGCATTAATATGGCTGCTGTGTGTTTTAGGTCTGCCGGGGCAAAAATTGTTCTTGCCGAGTTAAATGAAGACATGGGGGAGTTTCAGTCCTGGCTGGATGCTGCAGATGCTGTAGCTTCACTTCCTGTAGAAGCAGGTCACAAGGAGCAGCTCAGTGCAACGTTAGAAAAAGTGAAGGTAAAAAATCAGTTGCTTAAAAAGATGCAATTAGCTCACACATGGGGGGGAAAACATAGCTTTTAGCTCCATTTTTTAAAAATTAAAATTCTCCCATGAGGCAGATCACCAAAAATGAGTCACAAAGAGAAGCAGATAATTAATATGTGTGTGTGTGAAAATCTTCAGGCCCGGGTGGTGGAACTGCCGAGCAGAAAGCAAACTCTTCATCAGATCAACAGCAAAGGCTCATCTCTCCCAGCTGATAAAGTCAAACCGTTGGAGAAACGTTTGAAGGTTATTAACATGCAATGGGCCAAGGTAATTCTAATCATTTCTGTCCTTCTCTAATACTGATCTTACTGGAAACTTAAATTCAATGATTTTATGACCTTAGCATGATTAATGCAAGCATAATTTCTGTTAACAGCCTAGAATAATAGCATACTTATAATACACTAAGGTGAGTCTCTATATATATATTTATATTTGCTAAACATATATTTATACTATATATTTGCTAAACAAATTAAATCAACAAATGAGATATGATCTAACATATTTAAAAATTACAAATGCAGTGAAAATACAGGTATTGGCAGCGACTGCCAAAAATGAAAGTATTTTATTTTATTTTTGATGAGACTTGGGGTCCTTAACTGTTAGGATAGCCATGCAATTTAGGGTTAAATCCCTAAATTATATAAGGTATTTATACAACATTAGATTTCTTTTTTTCCTTCTGTTCTAATATTATTTTTTACATCCCAATATCTCTTTTGATTTTTGGGTAAACATGACCTGGACATGTTGTAAACTTTAGAACATTTTTGTGTAGGTTTTGTGAGTGATTTATTGAAAAGAACTCTTTCTCTCCTTCAAAGGTGTCCACTGATCTTCCTGAGAAGCAGCGACAAATCGAGGATCTCCTGAGGGATTTGTCTTTGTACCAGGAACAGCTCTCCAAGCTCTCAATTTGGGCTTCCACTACTAAGAATCAGCTTGAGCAGTCCCCTACTGCAGTAGACCCAAAGGTAATCTCACAGATGTGAGCAAGCACATATGTAGAACACACTGACCACAGTCTTGATGTTTCAGAATATTGTTGTCTGTCTTATTTCGACTTTATGCTGTAATAGCTATGGGTGGTGTAGTGGTAAAAGTTCAGGGCTGGCAACCATCATGTTGCTGATTTGACCCCTACTAGAAGCAAGAATGTTGGTAATTCAGTCATTCAGTTCAAAGATTAAGGAAACTTTTTATTTTTATTTTTTTTTTTATCTGATGTGACCTTTTAATGAAGTCTTTGGTCTAATTTTGCTCAAATTTGTACAAAGAGTCTTTCAGATTGCAAAGCTAACCTTTCATCGGATCCCAGCATCTGCTTCATAGTTTTATCTGCTCCCATCAAGGCAAAGGTTTCGCTTCCCTAGACATGGAACTAATAGGTTCAGGAAATCATTTGTTCTTTCAGTTATTGAACTTGTGAAAAAATCGGTACATATGTTCTTATTTGATTTTGATTTTTGCTCTCATTCTGTTTAACTCAACTGATTATTTTCACACTGCTGCATGTTGTCTCTTTATATTGTTCTCAAAACCCATTCTTTGTTTCTTGTTAATGGTGCTTGTCAAGGCAAGTATAACTATTACTATAGCTCCTTTTCAGGTTTAAGGGTATTTCAAAACCATATTTCAGCCCAAAATCAAAAGAAACAATATAAAGGATGAACATAAATAACAAAGAATACTTTTTACTTTTTACAATTTAGTGGTAAATGTGGCTGTCATGGTCATTTGACATTTTACTGTGCAAAAATAAAAAGGTTTAATTTCTTTATTCAAAATTACATTTTGTTGCTGTTGTTGTGAAATGTGCCCTGGACATGTAGCCCTCAAACCGTATTCACTTTATAGCCCTTAATCCTGTAATTGTGGACAAATGTGGGCACAGAGGACTCAGGTGTGATCCTAATTTTTATTTATTATAAATGTTATATCACTGTCTTCGATAAAGTTTTGTCTATCCATTTATTGTGTGTGTTTTTTTTTTTTTTAATTTTGGGGGTATTTTATTTATTTACTTCAAAAAGTACCATATTTTCTATGCAAATTATGCTTATTTTTTATGTTTTATTATTATTTTTTTTTTAACTACATTAAAATATCATTCCAATAAGTTCTTAGAGCTAAAACCTAAAGATGAAGTGACTTTGCTGTCACCTGGTGTCTTATTTTGTCTTATTTTAGAATGCTCTAAATTACAGTTTTTCCCATTCATTTCTATGGGTGCCCATTTTTGACCCAAATACAAGATTACAGAGGTTTTTTTTTTTCACCCACTTAACATTGTAGAATTGTGTCAAAAAAGTCTTGTACTGCTCAGATCAAGGGAAGTATTTTTTTTTTTAAATAAATCAAAATTATTTTGCCCATATTTGTCCAGAATACGGTTTTGGGGTTAAAAAATAAATAAAAATATATATACTTAGAGCTAGATCACTCCTTTATTGAGGGTTTGTTGTCTTATTTTAATTTTGTGTAGATTGAGGATGATGTAAAGGAAAAGAAACCAGCAGTGGAAGCCATTTTGGCAAAGGAGAGACCTCCATGTCAACCAGAAAAGGTGTGTGTAATCGACCACAGTATCTTTATGATCTCAGAAACACTATGACTATGATATTAGATTACTCTGCACACTTCCCAGTGGTATCTACCATAACTGTACTATAATGCAATATATCAGACTATATCAGTCTACCAGCTTCAAGGCATGCAACTTTATTAAATATAATTTTCCTGGATTGATGTATTCCAGGGGCAGTTTGATGGCCTCAGTGCAGATTGGACATCCATTCAAGTTCTCCTCAAAGAGTGGCGAGACAAAAGTCAGCTCGCAGGTGTGATATCCTGTAATGCATGATGATTGAAGCTACAATAATAAGCTATTAAAATTGATCTCATGTAAGTCGTGACGTGACGTTAGACATCTGGAAGTCTGAACAAAAGATACTTTTTTACTTTTCCAGCCGTAACATTGACTGGTAGTGCAGCAGGAGATGCAGCCCTCGATAAATTCAATAAATCCTGGACGGAGCTTGATGATTGGCTCGCTCTTTTGGATCACATGGTCCAGACTCAGAGAGTAATGGTCGGAGATCTTGACGAGATCAACGACGTGACGGTGAAACTCAAGGTCAGTTTATGTCCTCATCTTGCAGCTCCTGTAGTGGATATATTGTATACTATTGTATAACATTTTTATCTTTTCCCTAAAGTCTACATAAAATGTTAGTTAGCATCGACTGTACAGTAAATGTTAATGACCTCTTTTATGCCTCATTGCATTTGAAATGTACAGCAGAACTTTATCATTTTTAGTTATAAGGGAAGGTGATGGTATTGGAAGTATATAATTGTATTAAGCTATTTTATAAAAATACATCGAATTGGATGTAATTGGATATTTGTATATATTCATATTTTTCAATTAAATAAATGTATTAAATACTTGAATTAATTAAATTGTAACATAAATTAATAATATTATAAGTGGATATAATAAGATATTATGTGGACTAACATGTATATACAATATGTCTGACATGAGACTAGAAGATGCCACACAACCCTGTAGTAAAGACTTCTGTGTTGTTACTATCTAACAGTCAACACTGCAAGACATGGAGCAAAGATGCCCACAGCTGAACAAACAAATCACTGCGGCGCAGAACCTGAAGAACAAAACCAATAACCCTGAGACACGGGCAACCATTACAGAGCGCAGTAAGTCAGATTTGCCTCGTCCATATCCATATCCTCTTTCAGTGATGCATTTTTGTGTTGATATGGGGGTTTCAACATTGTAGCAGCTTGGTCTCTGAAAAAAAAATGCAGAAAAACAATGACTGGTGCCGAGGATTGAGTCTTACCGGGCTTCTCAAGGTCATATAATTGTAAAACAGCACTACTGAACACCAACTACAGTATGTTGTAAGGCAATCGTGCATATAAAACTGTATTTGGTTAACAGAATCAACCAGCCAATAGATTATCGCTTGATTGATTTGATTTATTATGTCCGTTACGTCAGAAATTTGCCTTAGAAATGTTCTCTTTTATTTCAAGTTGAAAAATTACAGGCACATTGGGAGGATTCCCACACCAAGCTGATGGACAGGGTCATTCAGCTGCAGAACATGTATAAGGACTCCAGTGATTGGTTGGAGGCCAGAAAAAGGGTGGAGCCCCTCATTAAGAAAGCCAATGAAAAACTAGAAAGCGGGAAGAAAATGTCGCACAGTGTTGATGATTTAAAAGGCCAAAATGCAGATGTCAAGGTAATGTATGACTTAGAAGCTGAAATAAACTGATTCGGTGTGCTTGCATTCCTTTAAAAATCTTTTGATGAATGCATGTGATTTGATTAACACAAATAAATGCTATATTATTTTATTGCAGCAACTTTCTAAGGATATACAGCAGTGGCAAGCTCAAGTAAATGTCACCAATGAACTGGCAAACAAACTATTGACCCTGTATGCAGATGACGACACAAGCAAAGTTAAACAAATGACTGAGAGCATGAATCTGGCTTGGGCCAACATCAATAAGCGGTGAGCTTCTGTTTGAATCTGTAATTTTTCAGTATCACCAACCAGTGTTTTTTTATGGCTTGATGATAATGCACTGCTGACACAGTAAGGGTACATATAGAACCCCTTACCCGTATGTATTTTCAATGGCATATTATACACTCACGAGAATACTTTTGAAATATATTTTTGTAAGAACTAAGTGTAAACTAAAAGACTTACACGGTGTAGCTTTAAAAATCCTACAATGTGATTTCCTGGATTTTTTTTTTTCTTCTCATTTTGTCTCTAATACTTGAAGTGTACCTATGATGAAAATGACAGACCTCTCTCATTATTCTAAGTAGAAGAACTTGCACAATCAGTGGCTGACTAAATATGTTTTGGCCCCACTGTAAAAGGTTATTTCAAATGCTTTTCACGGTTTGATTGCTTTCAGGAGAATACTGCGATTTGATGTTTGAAGCATTTAGCAAATATAACAATCCAATCCAAGTATATTGAGGTACTAATTTAACAACTTTATTTCTGTATAACGATGAAGTCATTACCCTTTTCAGTGTAGGGGACAAGGAGGCAGATCTGGAAGCTGGACTACGGCAATTGCAGCATTTCTACTTGGACCTGGAAAAATTCCTTAATTGGCTCACTGAGGCAGAAACCACAGCCAATGTCTTACAAGATGCCACATTTAAGGAGGGACTTCTGGAAAACCCTGCCACAGTGCGGCATTTATTCGGGCAATGGCAGGTATATGAGCAGTACTGTACGTAACAGAAGTTGCCCCTCCTCTTTTAAAGCATGTAGTCACTCGGCTCCGGTCCGGGTTTTCCCCTTTTGAGAGAAACCCTGCTCCACAAGTTACCAATCTGAAGTTCTTCACAAACATCTGTGCACAATATATACTCTTTTTTTTTTTTTTTTTTTTAAAGTAAGCTACTATTTACTTGTTAATTTTTATAAAACATTGTGTGCTGAATTTTTTTTGTGTGTGTGTTGAAACTATTTTATTTTGAAAATTGACCAAAAATTACACAGATATAGCAAGTAACACATGGCATTTTGAAGTAGAAAGACTTAATAGTAATATTTTGTTTGATTTACAACTTCAAAAATGAAATTTCAACATGTAATGTTATCCACCTGCAACTTTTCTATTGCATTCAAATACAGATTTTATTTTGAGATATAAATATGGCACTCCTCCTTAGATAGTTTGCGGTTTTATTTTTCAGAGGTTTTAGGACTTAAACATTATAATGAGATTACTGGTGGTGGGGGGGGGGGGGGGGGCGGAGAGTGAAACTCCATTCTTATTATTAGCCCTTTGGAGTTAAAGTGATATTTATCAGGAAAGCTGATGAAACTGACGGGTCCATTGTCCAGGTCGCCCGCTGCTCGCTGGAATGGGAGATATGTGCGTTTGGCAACGGTGCAGAGACGCAGTTAAATATGAAGAGGCAGACAAAGACGTGGGCTATAAAGAGAAGCCTCTGTTCTCCCAGAAAACCATCTCTGACCCAGTCCTCGCTCGCAGTGCCCACTCTCGCCTCAAACAACAGGGCCAGTGTGCCTCCGCCACTGGCATTCTGCAGCTCGTTTCACATCGCATGTAGACACATGGTCGCAGAATACATTTCCTCGCTCTCAGCCTCGCGATGTCCCTTTCTCCCTGCTTTTTGCCTCGCGTCAGACACGTCCACATGGTTGGGAATTAAAGGATTGTCGGTGTCAACAGTTTTCGATTCATTTGATGTCGCTCATTCACTGGATATGTTGCACAGGAAGACATATCATGTTAAGGTTTGATCTTCACTGTCAGCTTCACAGTTGCTTCGTGACTTTGGATTTGTTTGGCTTGCATCATGACTTTGAATGAAATTAGTTTATGCCTTCTCAAACTATGGGAACAAGCACTTCAAATTTTGCCGGGAGACGATATGAAAATGTTTGGCTTGTTAATAGTATTGTTAGTATCTATTCAAAACTAATGCAAAAGCTTATTTTTTATTAATATTTTTGTTTTGTTTTTGTATTTGAATATATCATTACAGTTATAGTGATTTGTGAAATATGGTGAGAAAAAAATATTTCTAGTTAAATCTTGAATTTTTAAATATTGCTATAAAATAAAAATGCTGAAATATAAAAATATCTTGTATACATTATTAAAAATTTAACATTAAAACTCCAAATTTCTGTAGAAAAAACATAAAGACAATTGCCTGTTTAAAATATTTGTTTATTGGCATCTTTTTTTCTTTTTCTTTTTTGAAAGAAGGCCAGTATGACTATACCAATACTGCTACTGATATCTATGAAATAGATATTTTTCTCAGTTTTAGAATTAACAATATGCAATCAATTTTAACATTTTATTATGCTTTAGAAATCGTTATTGTTTTATTGTTTTTGACCTACAGTATGTAACCTTCTAAACAGTGCTTTAAGATTTTCAGGTATTGAAAAATTGAGACATTTTTTCAGTTTAATTTTGACAGCAATTTATCATTTTATATATTGTGCAAGTGTACCTGTTTAAAATAAACTGAGAAAACATGTTCCAAAAGTATGTCATGTCACCATGTAACAAGTATCCGTGGAAGTATAACTCTTTCTTGATCTGTAATCGCATAGTGAACTGTTATTTGGATCTCTTTTAATCCTTGTAGGATCTCCAAGCAGAGATTGATGCGCACGGGGAGATGTACCATTCGTTGGATGAAAACGGACAGCGTATTGTGTCATCCCTGGAGGGGACGGACAATGCTGTGGTGCTACAAAAGCGGCTTGATGACATGGGGCAGCGGTGGCATGAGTTGTGTAACAAAGTTATGAGTATAAGGTAAGACCAATTAATCATCTATATTTAACCTGGGGAAAATTCAAGCAGAGGAGAAATGGGCTTTGAAAAAATAATGCCATCATATACAAGCCCCAGGCCTGTGTAATGCTGCTATATGCAAATCACTGCAATTATTTGACTTTATATTTCAAGTATAAGCCTGCTAGAACATTGCTCAAACTTAGGATTTAGATATCTAACTATCTATCTATCCATCTATCCATCCATCCATCCATCTATCCATCTATTTGTCTGTCTGTCTGTCTTCTATCAACCTATCTGTGTCTGTCTGTTCGTTCGTCTATCTGTCTATCTATCTATCTATCTGTCTGTCTGTCTGTCTGTCTCTCCGTCTATCTATCCATCCGTCTGTCTGTCTGTCGCTGTCCATCCATCTTATCTATCCATCTGTCCATCTATCCATCTACCCATCTATCCATCTATGAACACCTTACCACATAGTAACACCCTGGCAACTACCTAGAAACAGGTTTGCGTCTCTTGCACCACTCACATTTTCAGAAAATGTAAAAAATAATACTTTCAAATGATGTCTTAATTCATACAGCCACATTTCACTCGGTACGGGAAAAAGCTGGTAAAAGCTTTTTTTTAATGTTCATGCATATTCAAATAGAAGATGTGAAGATTTCTCAATTGTCAACCTTTATCTAGCACTTTCTTTGTTAAATTCAACGGTGGTTTGACAGTATGGTGTCCTCTGGTGGTCTCTGTGATTTAACACTGGGCATTATCACACATCTTACCATCCATATGACTCTTTAGGCCGTATCTGGATACAGGTGTGGATCAGTGGAAACACTTGCACATGTCCTTGCAAGAGCTGCTCAACTGGCTGCAGTTGAAGAGGGAGGAGCTAGAACAGGAGAAACCAGTAGGGGGCGACGTGCCGACCGTGCACCAACAACTCCTTACGCACAAGGTGAGTCTAGGACGCGTCCTCTTCGCCCCTCACTGAAAGCATGAAGAGTGAGGTTCAAGATGTGATTTATGCATTCTGTCTTTCGTTGCGCCAAAGTGTGATCATTATCGGAGTCTGTTCTTGTTAAATATTTAAACAGATGGAGATTGTATCTTGCGTAGGAGAGGTGTAAAGTCCCTTGTCTCTTTGCATGGTTGTGTGGACCAATTAACATCTGCTGATGGCCATCAGCTGTCAGGGGCCGCAGTAAACAGGATGTGGTCATGAAGTAGTTATTGTTGGGGAGCACAGAGAGCGTGAGTCACTCTGTCGCACTTTACAGGTGCAGTTTACTGGAAAGTAAACTGGCATGTGTGTAGGAGCTGCAAAGTAAGTCTCAGCAGAAACGTAATTGAACAAGTTTTTGCAAACTGCTAAATAAAGTGGCATTGCTGTGCTGTACTTGTCTGAGAAAACATCAGATTTCTTTTTCACTCAGTCCTGGAAATATTTGAGGAGTCTTAAAACGGAAAAAGTTATGATCTAAATGTTGCTTATCAAATATAATTCAGTTCACATTGATGTGTATTGTGCTTTTACAATCCATATCGTTTCAAAGCAGCTTTACAGAAAATGCATGTTTCTATGTTATAATTAAGAGTGATCTGTTATCAGGTGATTGTTTCAAAGTAATGGCCTAATTGCAGAAATGCACCGTTCTCATGCAGATAGCTAATGTCATGTATTCATTTAAGCAATGACAATGAGCATGTTAAAGCAATCATTACATGTTGCGATAATGATTACAATATATGGAAAAGTTGGCAGTTTTGCATATAAGCAAATGTTTTGCACTGAACACGTGAACTCGGTGTCACAGAAGGTCATGTGTCCATTGAAGCAAATGATACCTTTTGGATCATTCTCAAAATCATGCTGGACAATGTGATTATTAGGATTTTTCACAAACTCGTGGAATTCATGTGTATTTTATTAAAATTGGAAAAATGTATAACAGAAACATTTTCACTAATAGTAAATTTAAATTAAAAAAAAATAGAAAATTCAATGCTCAGCTTGCTTTAATATCTTGCAATTGGCTTTGTAATACTTTTGGTTGCACTTTATTTTACAGTACGTTTACTTACCTAACAAAGTACTGGTTAATATAAGGTAACTACATGTGTTATGTTTAGGGGTTAGTTATTTTACCCAGTTATTGCAATTACTATAATAAGTACATAGTATGTTCATAGGGAACAGTGCTGTAAAATAAAGTGCTGCAATACTTTTTAGTTTAATGGTTTAGACAATGTTTTAGTGTTTGTTTTGCTCATAAAAACATAATTGAATGAATAAAATGTGCGCACTGATTGAATAAAATGTGCCCAGTGTCATTATGTTTGCAGTGTTTATAGTATTTATTAATAGATTGAGTTGGCCTTTTATTTGTTTTCAGTTTAATTTAAATAATTATTTAGTAATTACTAAAACTTTTGTAATGTGATTGACATTTTATTAGTTTTTGATTTTAGTACCTCAACTTAAAATTATTTCAGTTGAACACTTCTAAAGTCTAACTATTTAGTATTTTAGATATTAGTATTTTTAGGGATGCACCGATATGAACATTTTGCCCGATAACCGATAATTCTTTATATTTGAAAGCCGGTAACCGATATATCGGCCGATAAACCTAAATCCAATTTTTATATAATTTTTGAAATCCTGATTGCAAAAACAAAAGTCTCACAATTAAAATCCGTCCCCTAACACAATTGTAATGTTCTCATTTTAATTTCATATAGCTGATATGACAGCACATTTTGCACTTAACTATATTTTCCTTTTTTATTCCAATCATAGTTCAAGCAATTAAGATCAATCATGTTGAACAGTGCGCATCTTAAGTGTCTCAGGTGTCAAGTGTTGAAGGAATTAATTCATTATTTATCAGCTTTAATATATCAGCCAAATTTTATTGTCGGGCCGATAACGATAACATAAAAATGAGCGAATATCGGCCGATACCGATATGGTGGCCGATATATCGTGACGTGCACCCCTAAGTATTTTATTTGATTTCAGCTTTAAGTCAAGTACCAAAATTGATTTTAGTTTAAGGCATGAGGTGTCTGTGTTGTTTTAGTAAAGGAATTCTGCAGTCCATGTAATGATGTGAAAAAAAGATGTTCCCTGAAAAATGGCTGAAAGACCGTGAGCAGTAAAACTCTCCGACCAGGATCACTAGAAAATGAACACAAACATTGTAACAGCATTGTGTTAATTGGATTAGGTTGCACTGATATTTGTGTATCCAGTGCATTGTATGATGAGCCTTATTTGCATAGGAAGGAGGCATGTTTACCCAGGAAATAATGACAACGGCTTGATTTAAATATGCATGAGAAAACACTATACGCGAACACCTGGTTAAGTTTGACTGGAGGGGGGCACACAGTATGTGAACAAAATGCAGGTTTTTGATGGATTTAGTGCTAAAGGTGTACAAATGTTCACCCCTCATTGTGCCATTTAGTACTTTTGGTAACAAGTCATTGGTCTTTCACAGGGATTCAGAAGAGAGTTGGGTGCCAAAGAACCTGCAATCAGTGGAACACTCGACAATGCTAAAGCCTTCCTTGCCGAGATGCCTCGTGAGGGTCTGAAACAGAGGCCTGGACAAAAGGGTATGAAGTCTTCTGCACCTACACATATGCCCACTACAATAGCTTAAATAGGCTCTAACCTGTATTTCACTTTGTGTGCTGCCCAGATGTAAGTCCTGAGGAGAGGGTTCAAAATGTGGGCCGCATATTGCGTAAAGAAGTGGAGGATGTAACGGTGCGCTGGAAGAATCTGGGTGCAGCTGCTGTTGACTGGCAGCAACAGCTGGAATTGGCCATGGAGAGGCTGATGGAGCTGCAGGACGCACAGGATCAGCTGGACTTCAAGCTACGGCAGGCTGAGACTGTGAAGAATTCTTGGAAGCCTGTTGGGGAGCTGCTTGTAGATGATTTGCAAAACCACATAGACCGAGTAAAGGTCAGTGTCCTCTTATGAAAAAGCTTTTGTGGACATGTACAATGGCAATACCATGGTATACTCTGAAGCAACTTGGATTAGCATGGTTCTACTGTGGTATGTACTGTATGTTTATTATTTTAATATTTAAGCCTTTGGGCCAAAAGGCATTCAAGTTTTATGTATTTTTCCAGGTATTCCAGGAGGAGATCGCTCCCATTCAGGATAATGTAAATCAGGTCAACCAACTGGCCTCCACATTTAGACCACCTGACATTCAGCTCTCTCCAGACAACCTGAGCAGAATCGATGACCTCAACATGAGATGGAGGCTTCTGCAGGTATCCGTTCATGTTCTTTCACTTGAAGTCAACGTGAATTTCCTTTTGCAACCTTGACTTGTGATGTTTAAAGGTACATTGCGCATGTTAAAAATACCCATTTTTCTAACCCATACATGCTTACAGGGTTAGTTCACCCAAAAATGAAAATTCTGTCAGTATTTACTCACCCTCATGTTGTTCCAAACCTCTATGTGTTTATTTGTTCTGCTGAACACAAAGGAAGATATTTGGAAGAATGTTTTAATCAAACAGATCTCATTCCCCATTGACTACCATAGTATGTATTTTTTCCTACTATGGTAGTCAATGGGGAATGAAATCTGTTTGATTTAAACATTCTTCCAAATATCTTCCTTTGTGTTCAGCAGAACAAATAAACACATAGAGGTTTGGAACAACATGAGGGTGAGTAAATACTGACAGAATTTTCATTTTTGGGTGAACTAACCCTTTAAACAATTGCCTGATGGGCTGAATGAGCCCTTCTCTGATCACTGCGACTGCCTCTATAATCCTGTACAGTAAAATAAATAAGAGGGATTCGGGATGGAATTTGAGACTGGGCGTGACGTCATGCGCGTTCACACTCACCTGGCTATGTCTGGCAGGTTTGTGTATTCACCGCCATTCTCCGTAGCAGCGAAGAAAACTCGAGCGACAAAACTTTCGTCAACTGGATTCAAAGGACCGGCTTGTAGTTCATTCCAAACCCCAACGCAAACTCCACGTAAGACAAAAAAAAAAAAAAAACTTTTGTCAGATTAAGACGAGAGTCAACATCGTGAAGCTTTCAACAAATGGAGAGATCTCCAGTCTGCTCTAGGGCTCAAACGGGATCCTATACAAAATAATAACTTATATTGTTCATGAACGTGTTTCCATAATAATACAATCATAAGTGGATTCAGTAAGCACATAAAACAGTTCAACATGGAGATAGATGGATATAAAAACCGAAGTTTTCTACTACCGCCATTTTCCCCTCACAGATAAGTGTGTAATTTACTCAAATGCCTTTCCTTTCATATATTTAAATGACTTTTACTATTACTATTTAAACTATTACCTCTGTTGACATTATTACTGTAACAAAATATTTGTGTGGCTGATGTTCCTTTGGATATGAGCAAGTGTGCGTGTGGTCCATGAGAGTGCACACCACTGGTTGCAGTTTTGCTTGTCGCCAGAGGGGGCATAGTTCTGCAAAAACTCAGAAATTTGCGCTATGCACCTTTAATTGAGAAGTGTGGAACTTGATTTGATTCGTTGGGAACTGATTGGCCATTCCATACCAGAATGGAGCGAGTACCCAAAACAATTGCTAAATGGCTATTTGGCTGCTGGTTAACATTAGACTACATTGGCTGTTAGTTCAGCCAAAAATGTAAATTCTGTCATCATTTACTCACCCTCATGTCGTGCCAAGCTGTAAGACTTTTGTTTATCTTCAGTGAATAAAAACCTAAATTCAATCTGTTCATTGAATTGGTCTAGTCTCTTCAGAAAATTTGGACTAAACCTTTCAATTATGGATTAGTTTTGCGATCTCTTTTATGAACTTTTTTGAAGCGTCAAAGTGGTGGTTGCACAGTTGCCAATGGAGGGACAGAAATCTATTAGATATCATTAAAAATATCTTCATTTGTGTTCCAAAGATGAACGAAAGTCTTTCAAATTTGGATGGAACGACATGAGGGCGAGTAATTAATGACAGAATTTTCATTTTTGGGTGAACTATCCCTTTAATGACATCAGCGAAAAGAACAGTTGTTTTAATTAAAGATTACAAAGAAAAATGTACACTAATGAATTGTTCAAAATACATTGTTGGAATTAATTATTTATAAATCAAGTCAGGTGACGGCTTTAGCTCCTGACACAAAAAGAGAAGGAAAAAATACAGTTCAATCTTTGAGAAGTTGTAGAAAAGTGTACATGTCAGCAATAGATGCAACAAGCAGATCACAGAAATGATCTGTCCTTCAGAGATTTGACACAAGGACACAGAAAGGCATTATTTAATAAAAAGAGGTTGGGCAGAAACATAAAAACAATCGTGATGAAACATTCTGCGCATTTACAGAATATGTTTCTTTGAAATTGTTTTATTAACCATTACTGGCCATAGACTGTAAAAAATATGGACAAAGCGTCTGTGACGTCACCTATAGACTTTCTGAAGAACAGTTTTGAGGCTGTTTATGGGGGTATGGGCGGCGCCATATTGGAAGATCTTGAGAATTCAAAATGCAAATGTTCAGAAAGGATACAGAGGTGGTATGATGTGTTGTGTCAGATCATGGCCGAGACGTCAAATTCCACTCAGCGCAGCCCGTTATCATCAGCTGTCAATCAAAGTTAACCACCCTTATTTGTCATACATTTTATATCTAAATATGATCTAAACTAACGAGTTAGGAAAAAAATCACCCCCCTCACAGTTGTCAGGCACTCGGAACCTATCTGAAAATACAATAAAAGTCCATGGGACCAACCTGTAAAAGCATGAATTTATGCTGTGAAAACGGACATTTTAACATGGGATCTATGGATATTTGTTCCCTTTTGGGACCTCCCTCTAGCGGATTTTAGATGTATTGCAGTTTTTTGCACTTCCGGGTAGGCTTTATTTTTCAGATTAGAATGTTGCCGCTTGTTACTGGCATGTGTTTCCTCCTTCTCCAGTGTTCTTGTGAACTAAAACTTTTTAAAATTGTTTTCGTTAATTGAAATAAAGCTAAAGTGTGTGTGTGGTAGATGAAAAAAATTGTAAAAAGAGAAATGTTGCCCATGTTACTGAAATAATAAAAAATAATTTTAAGTCGAAGTACTACCATTACTAAACTGCAGACAAAAAAAATAAAGCCATTAAAAAATATGACAAAAAATGACAAAAGCTGATATAATTAATTATATTAAACTAAAATTAAAATGAAAACTGAAAATATAAATAAAAGCTGATTCAAAACGTTAGTTAATACTTAAATAACTCTATTCTTTACAGCAATTCATTCCTGTTCCCTCCGCCTCTTGTGTGCTTTTTTTTTTAGGTCTCCATTGAGGAGCATCTGACCCAGCTGACCACAGCCTACAAGGACTTGGGACCCCAGACTCAGAAATTCCTTCATGGTGAGTGTGTATTTGTGGTTCTGTTTAGCAGTATTGTAATGACAGCACATTGTACTTATGTGAACCACTAATCTTACTTAACTGTTAAGTTGCTTACTGTACATAAAATGTCTCTTGAACCAAATGAAGAAGCGAATGGTGAATAGAAACTGAGGTAACATGAATGGGTTTTCTTTTCTGCACACAGCGTCTGTTGAAAGCCCTCTTGAACGCTCTATTTCGCCCAACAATGTCCCCTACTATATCAAGTAAGTCTTCCCAAACTCAACCCACATGTTGATGTCAGGCACATTCAAGGTCCACACTGAATTAACAAATTGAGTTTCAACACTATGAAAGCTCTCAGACTAAGAAATACATCATAGCTGGCAGCAGACTACCAAAGAAAAGTGATTTTGCGTGACCTTTTTCCAAACAGAGATATCACCCTGGAAAATTTGTGCAGAATAATCTGAGATGATAAATTAGGCTCTGCCAATGCATGTAGCAGCATGCATCACATAAACGGGGAACTTCTGCACACAGATGACTGAGTGAGCGAGTTTCAGAAGTTCTTATCTTCATATTAAACTGGGAAGTTTGCCATTGTCCATATAAAAATTCCATGCAGATAAAAATGTCGTCTTTGTAACAAGAGATGTACAAATGTGTGTAGTTACAAAACAGTACAATAGACTCAACAATTTAAGGATAGAGTGAGCCCTTAAATAAATTTTCAGCCCTTCTTATGCAACTTGCTATGATTACTTTTTTTTTTTCAATAGTTCAAAATGGAAAGTATAATGAATTTCCTGTCAAAGCAATCTTCAGAAAAATACACCCATTTTAAAATGCCAATGTATAATAAACCATGTAAATGATTTGGAGGTTAGCTGTTGAGTTATTCAATTGAGAAAGTGTGTCAGATTCTTTGGGGTAAACTGTGCCATTGGCTCAACTATAGTCATTTAAAAAAAAAAAAAAATTATTATTATATATTTATCTCTTGAAACGTACACAGCTTAGCATCTTTTTAAGTCATATTTATGTATGATATCAATTTATATAGTTTTTATTTCCTGTGAATATGAATATTACATTCACCTCTATATAAGTTTTTCTTTGCCAAGAAGACAATTTAAAGTAGTCTGGAAACATTAAAAACATAAAGACACTGAAAACTTTTTTTTTTAATATAAAAATAAAACCGGGATTATTGGATATTTAAAAACACAAAACATACTATTTAATTGTAAAATCAGTGTTTTAGTTGCTGTTTCTTTGTAATTATTTGTGAAATTGCACTTTCTGAGTGAAAACAGTCACTGACACCAAAAAACCTACACATTTTTTTTGCCAGTGATGTATACGGTATATTGTAATAGTCATTCAATTGTTGTTGTTTCATCGTTTTTGTGGCTCAAAATCAATATCATCCTCAAAAATCATTCATTTAATCTCTAAAGTATATGCACAAGCTTCATATACAGTCAGAGCTGCATTTGTGCTCATGGCAGTGCATTAATCTGACTTCATAGGAGAGAACTGACTCTTAATGATGCTGTCATAGGTTATGAATGTCATTAATGCTGGTCAAGCAGAGCAGTACTTTCCGTCAGATGGCACTAAAATTTGTTATTTCCAGCCTATTGCATATCGTAAGCTGCAGGACAATAAAGGATATCGCTTTATAATAACTTTCATTAATAAGTTATCAACAAATATTAATGCTTAACAGACCAGTAGTTCATTTACTAATTTTTATGAAATATACTGTATGATTCCAAGTCTCATGACATTTATACACTAGTGATCTAAATTTTTGTTCATGTCAGTAATGAAGGTTATTATAAAAGTTTTATACACTTTCATACACTTTTTATGGGATTTTTAGTCATTAACTTCAGCCCATCTAATACATTAAGCAAACTAAGCAAATTATTGCATATTATGTTGATCATGGTTTTTTAAATTTATGCAAAATGTAAGCCTGGTAAAATGAGATTCCTGCACAGTGGCAGCATGCAGCTTTTGTTCTAGCCCTCCCCAACAAAACAGTAAATAGCCTACTGGTCATTTTCACACTAATTGGCTGTGCCTCAAACCTAGTGAGCTGCCTAGCTAGATATGAATTGTTTTTGTTTCGTTTCTTTGCATCAATCCAATGTTGGATTCCCTTTTTTATCATCCCACATTCGATTCGAGTATTTTGACCATATAGGCGAGCTTTTTTTTTTCTTAGTAGGCTTATTAGTAGTGCGATTTATTTTCCATGGTGTTTGACCTTTTTTTTTTTTTACAGTTTGTGGTTGACTCGTTCGAACGTTTGATTTGAGCAATGTAAATTATCAGAACTTTCGAATGATTGATTCGAGCATTTTCATCACCCATCCTCCAGTGGAGTTTACAAGTTGATTGAGCCTTTTTGGGCATCATTGGCGAGTGGTTTAAGCTTGTATTTAATAAGGGAGATTTTGAACGTTGAATGAACAATTTTGGCGACCAAAGTTCAAACGTCCGATTGAGCATTTAAACAGTTGACTGAGCCATCAGTTGTTGGCCATCATTAAAGGAGTAGTTCACTTTTGCTGATAATTTACTAACCCCCATGTCTTCCAAGTTATCCATGTCATTCTTTCTTCAGTCGAAAAGACATTAAGGTTTTTGATGGAAACATTCCAGGATTTTTCTCCATATAATGGACTTCAATGGGTACCAAACGGTTCAATGTCTAAATGAGAGGGTTCTAGTGCAAACTGTTCAAAGGGCTTTAAACGATTCCAGACGATGAATAAGGGTCTTATCAAGCGAAACGATAGCTCATTTAAAAAAATAAAATAGCATAGTTTAAGATTTATAAGCTCAAATGGTCGCCTTGCTCTGTTATAGAGTTAGGATTAGAGTGTGATGCGTGTTCGTGACTCTCCGATTCGAACTCATTCATCAAAATGAACAAATCTTTTCCTGAGTCAACTCATTCATTTCGTTCGTTGAATGAACCAAATGACACGAAAAAAGATTTGTTCATTTTGATGAACGAGTTCGAACAGGAGAGTCGCTAACGCGCATCACAGAACAGAGCAAGGTGACCATTTGAGCTTATAAAACTTAAACTTTGTTATTTTTTTTTTTAAATAAGCGATTGTTTCGCTTGATAAGACCCTATTCATCGTCTGGAATCATTTAAACAGTTTGCAGTTTGTACTGAAACTTTTGTCTTTTGGACCTTGAACCGTTTGGTTCCCTTTGAAGTCCATTATTTGGAGAAAAATCCTGGAATGTTTTTATCAAAAACCTTAATTTCTTTACGACTAAAGAAAGAATGACATATATCTTGAATGACATGGGGGTGAGTAAATTATCAGCAAAAGTTTTTTTTTAAGCGAACTTCTCCTTTAAGTTCAGAATATCGGTTTTGACCTTTTTATTACGGAAACGATTCGAAGTTCGAACGTTAACAACTTGGCGAATCACGTGGGTATTCGAACCATTCGAAGAAAGAAGAACACATCGTAGGAATTATTTTTTTGTTGCTATCGGACATTTAAACGATTTCCACAAAATGCTCAGAATCGCGCGCAAGCTATGTCCTAAAATGCGGTCTAGGTAGGTGGTATGCTAGGTCTTGAATTGAAGCACCTCCTGTAAGAGAGAAAGAAAGAGAGAGAGAGAGAGAGAGAGAGAGAGAGAGAGAGAGAGAGAGAGGGGAGTTGGAGGGGGAAGGGAGCAGGAGGAAAAGCTCCGCCTCGTCTGAGCCGCTCTGGCGGAGGGAGATCGCAGGGAAGTCGGATGCTTTTTCCCATGTAGAGAGGGAACACCGCGGAGGTGATTCGCCCCAAACAACATTTGGGATTTTAAAACACAAACACGTTGGATACGGCGATTATTAAGAGACAAGATGAGGGAGAACTTGAGAAAGTAAGTGCAATGCTAACCCAAATAAATGTCGGCTCGTGCGAGTAGAGGACGCCAAAGGAGTTTTGCATTCGTCCATCTGCCGTATTAGTCGCTGCTTCTTTTCCTTGCTCGTTTTCCTTACAGCCTAGCAGGTGCTTGTTCGGTTTTTACAAGGAGCCAGTGCAGGAGGGAATGTCCACGTCTTTTAGCGACATGCCAGTTCAGCGCTTGATTTGTTTATTTTTCTAATGCCAAACACATCGATAGTTCCTGATGCATCTAACGTTACTGTGCCCTTCTTGCAGCATGCCGACTGATAAACCTAACGTGGCGTTCATGTTGTCATTTATGTTTTTGGAGGTGTATTTGATAGAAATCCTTATATTTATAACGACGCTTGGCCTTAAGGATCCTCCATATTCGTGCGTTTCCCATAAGTTAACATTATAGCACACAGAAGATAACTGTTTTGGTTTTAACCACACACTTACGACTGCGTTTGCATTCAACCATAACCAAGAGCCACAATTAGAGGTGTCTGCGTGAAGCGTGTTTGTGTGGGTACACTGTGCTGTTAGATGCGTTCATGCATGTAGGTGGGCATTCCTTTTTCTCGTCCAAACCCACATTACTGCTGTACTTCCGCTCATGCAGTGCCTTCAGATGTGCAGGTATGGTGTTCTCTGTGGGAAATTTGCCATCAGGCCATTGGCATGCTCTACTCTGAGACTACCTGAACCTAGAGGGCGCTGCCAGAGACTGACTGTGTCTCAAAGCCTATAGTGAGCTGCTTGTGATGCCCAGAAATTCTGTGTGTTTTCAAACTTTTTTGATATAAAAGATCACACCTTCTAAAAAATGATATACAAATATATATATATATATATATATATATATATATAGGACTTAGGAGTGGCTACAGAAAAAAAGCAGAAGTGCATTAAATGTAGTCACACAATTCTGATGTTGTTAATATTAACAATTTGAGAACAAAGTATAATTTTCACGGTTTGATGTGTTATGAAAAGCGATCATTAGATTTAATCAATGCTTTTTTTAAAATTATTATTTGGTCAGAACAAAAATGGATGTTGCTTTTACTTCCATGTTCATGACATTTTCCATGTGAAAATTTTCCTGTTGGTCAAACTTTCAAAAAGTATAAACTGTGATTCCGAATGACAGTATCCACTCCGGTGCGGTGACTGATAGACGCACATTCTCCTCAAAACATTGGATTCATCCACGCTGTGCCGTGCTGAGGCACAACTCACGTAAAGTTGATAATTCCGTGGATAACTGCAATTGCAGATTTCGAAACAGAGATAGCGACAAAAATTGCTTAACTTAATTTGGTGAGTTAAAGCAATGTAGAAACATGTTGTCATAACTTATTGATCATATAATTTTTTACAGTGTACATTTTTTTATTAGTTTAATTCAGAATTAATAACGCTTTTTAGTGCTTTTATTTGGAGATGCTTTAAATTGAACTAAAGTTTCCTTAAAGATTTTTTGCATTGTTAATTGAGGTGCTTTCAAACTTTCTTTTCATGATAGAATCAGTTTTCACAATAATACGTTTTCAACATTGATAATAAGATATGTTTCTTAAGCACCACGCATATTAGCACCAGCATATTAGAAAGTTTCTGAAGAATCATGTGACACTCAAGACTGAAGTATAATGATGCTGAAAATTCAGCTTTGCCATCACAGGATTAAATTATATTTTAAAATGTATTAATATAGAAAACAGTTTTTTTTTTAAAATCTGTTCTATGTTGGCTGATTAATAACACCCCTAGCAAAACAAATACTCTGGCAGTCCCACGGTAAATGGCATTGGTATTACCATGGTGCTTTTTTTTAGTATGGTTTCACCCCAAAATATTTGCATTTCAGAGACATTGATGTTTTCCCACAACTCCTTTTAAAGGTCTTTCATTTTGACCCCTCTGACTTTTTCAGAATTTTTTTCTTTTGGAAGAAAAAAATTGCATGAAAGTTCACTTTCATCTAATTTTTGTTGATGGTGTTTTTCCCCTGCTTTAACACTGTAGGGGCTGAGTATAATTTATAGTTTTGAAGTTTCTCCACCTTATTAGAATTCTGCAGAGCCACTTGCCTGGCTTAAGCCCAAAATCACAAACATCCTGGCCCATAGCAACACTTCAAAACAAGGCATCTCAGTAGTGTAAATTGCATTTCCACTAATGGATTCATTTAGAGCCATTGTAACAAAACAGTCAGGCATTGTAGAAATTGACTCCCTTCTTTTAAGATTTAAATGAAGAGGACCCAGTACTATGCAGGGATTTATTGGGTCAGATTGAAAACTAAAAGACTTAAATTAAACTAAAAATCTAAGTCAAAAACATGTTGGAAAAATGAATTTGGTATTTAGGATTGGGCATTTGGTCATTTAGCCATTTAGGATTTAGGATTGGGGATTTGAGGATTGAGGAGTGTTTGCAAATTAAAAGTCATGGCCCAAAAACTGGAGGCTGGGTTTGAGATGGCTGATGCACTGAGCCACCTTATGGACAGCAGAGGGCGCTCCACTGTAAGTGGCTAATGTGTGGAGGAGGAGGGTCCTGGAGATAATTGAGCGGACGTTTAAACGTCTTTGGGAAGGAGACGGTGACACAGACAAAACTGCTATGTGCCTTTGAGCCATAGGATCTGAACAATCATGAGCGAACTCGTTCTTCCGACCTGCGGCTAGTGTGCCAGTTAAATTCACTCTCTTGCTTCCCAAATAATACACTCACCTAAAGGATTAGTTATTAGTAACATTTCTGTGCATAATTTATTTTGTTAAACTACATAAATGCCATCTGTACCGTATCCCAACTGTTACAATAAAACATCAATTGAGCACATGCGTTTTTGTCATTGGCGTCATAGTTCTACTTTAATCAATGTGCTTGAGTATTTGAGTAAAATGACCATTATTTGAACATAATTGAGCTATTCTTGAGTTTGAGGACTACAAAGATTTATTTTTGGATGTAAAAAGACTCAAGGCCCTCCTCCACACTTTATCTCTGTCATAATCTATATAACTTTAGATGGAGGATGACTAAATATGAGTCATGAACACATTTATGGATGTTGTTGTGCCTTTTGTTGGCTTTTGGTATGTATTTATGTATTTACGACTCGGCTCGGTTTGCTTTTTCCACTGCAGTTTAGCACCGCTTCAAAGGGGGTGGGATTATAGACTGACGTTATAGTTGCGCCGTCATCTTGTCTACTGACCACGACACAGCCATTTCTTTTTTTCTAGTTGCGTGCGACGGGTGTTGAAAAAAGTTGTGCGAACAAATGATACTGTGGTGGCTATTTAAATCTAGCGGGTTTGGTGTCTTGTGTCGCAAATCCAATGTTGCTGGTAGTGACAATTCTCTCTGACCAATCAGTGATCTGTAGTGTTTACACATCACATTATAGTATCGGTACTTTAGTATCGGTACTTTGCTTGAAGGTTGTACTAAAAAAAGTACCAGTTATCAAATTCCCCAAAAGTGAGCCGTACAATGCAGCGGAAAAGTGCCTTTCTAAAGCATGTTTTTCAGAGAAAGGTACTGTTTATTGTAATTCACCTTGTCTTTTCTTTCAGTCACCAGACCCAAACAACATGTTGGGACCACCCAAAGATGGCAGAACTCTACCAGTCATTAGGTAGGCCCCGATTCAAGTCTGATGTCCATGAAGTAGAGCTGGATGAATTATTGAATATTAATAGCTTGTTCATGATGATCTTGCTGGTGACTTTCCAAAGATGATGCTAAAAATGTTAATAGAGGTCTTCATGTTGCATTTTACTGTGTATTAAAATGTCTTGGTGATTACAAATGAATATACACTAAAGCACACCACAGAAGGTGTTTTTATTTTTAAGGAATGCATTAATTATTCAGCAAGGATTCATTAAATTGATAAAAAGTGACTTTTAATACTTTTACATTTACAAAAAGTTGGTGTTTTTTTGTCAAATAAATGCTGTGTTCATCAAAAAATACTGGAAAAAAAACTGTTTTTCAACATTGTTAATAAGAAAGTTCTTGAGCAGCAAATCAGCATATTAGAATGATTTCTGAAGGATCATGTGACACTGAAGACTGGAGTAATGATGCTGAAAAGTCAGCTTTGATCACAGGAATAAATGACATTTTAAAATATATTAAAATACGAAGCAATTATTTTAAATTCTAACAAAATTTTACAGTTCAGTTCTTACTGTATTTTTTATCTAATTAATTTAGCCAAACTTTTTAATGGTTTTAATGTACATTTAAACCTGGCAATAGTGTCTGTAAAGTATTTGACTCATGTAATACATAAAATGTATAATATATTATTGTTATATAAATATGCGTAGATTAACTGTCACAAAGCTGTAACAATTTTTTTAGCCGTATAGCACAACGTTGCTATGAAGTAGTTAGATCTCTCACATTTGCAGTAATCTGTGTTGTAGTGTAATTGCCCTAAAGTAAAATGTCAGATTGTTAGTTGAAACATTTTTGATCAATGGATTAAAAATGGAAAAGACTAATTTGATGATACGAGCTTGACGTCTCTGCTGCCTGTTTTTCAGATCCCAACAAATAAGATCAAAAATAGAAATTGTCAGATGCAGAGATAAGAGGTTTTACTGTGACAGTAATGAAATGTTGCATGAACGGTTTGCTAAAATGAACATGTCCCATTTTCTCGTGCTAAACAGCGGATCTCAACAACGTACGATTCTCTGCATACAGGACGGCAATGAAGCTCAGGCGAATGCAGAAAGCTCTCTGCTGTGAGTTCACACAACGTACTCTTTGCAATCACACAACCCTGTTAATCTGTTTCATTTTTTTTTTCTGTAAATTCATTCTACTCATCTAATGACAATAAGCTAAAAAGTCTTTATTTAGGCTCATACATTTTGTGAAGAAAGGGTTCGAAATTTTAACTTCTATGTCTGTCAGATTTCATAGTAAGTTGTAAATAATAAAGAAAAGAAAAAATAATAACTATATATATATATATATATATATATATAAAACCCTAATATAACGCTATAACTTGTAGGGCTGTGTTCAAAATATTGCTTTTTTATCGGTTTTACTCAATTCTCATTTTAATGGTGAGACTTTTGTTTGTTATGTTCAGGCTTGATAATCATCAATTTGTAATCAATTTTTATATAAGAATTTGGATTTAGATTTATCAGATTTCTAATATAAAGAATTATCAGTATCGGTGTAAATTTTCATATCGAGACATCCCTAAATATAAATATGAATGAACATCAGAAGGTATGTTGAAAGATGCAGTACAAGTTTTTGAAAGTATTGTCTCATGTAATCACTCAATAATTGTTTAAAGCTTGGAAACACTGTCACGTCATGTTTACCTCAGGAAAGCTGTTCAATGTCCATAAACTCGTTTGTTAGCTAGAAAAATTGAACTCTAGAGAGGAGCTTATTTAATATATTTGAATTATTCCGTCATGAAAACAAGTTTTTATGACAGCCACCTTTAAGATGTTTATATTTAAAAAAAAAACGAATTGAATAAACATAATTGTGATCAGAGTACTTTATCAAATCTTGAATTTTTCTGTGCACAGTGGATCTTCTGGGCATGTCTGCAGCATGTGAGGCCTTTGAGCAGCACAATCTGAAACAGAATGAGCAATTCATGGACATCATGCAGGTGATCAACTGTCTGACCAGCATCTACGACCGCCTGGAGCAGCAGCACAGCAGCCTGGTCAACGTGCCTCTCTGCGTGGACATGTGTCTCAACTGGCTGCTCAACGTTTATGATACGTATGTTTCACTTTTTGTTCTTGCTTTGCGTGTTTAAGATGTTATGGAATAGTTCCATTATTGAAAGCAGGTCATATGTGGTTGGAACAACATGAGGGCAAGTAAATGATGAAAGAGTTTCAAATTTGGGATGAACTAATCCTTTAAATATTGGAACACATGAGTCAGAGAGAATCAAGGAATTGGACTCAGTTGGTACTCAGCATGTTTCTCAGTAGGATCAGACTGAGCCATAAATCATGCATTGTTTGTACATTGAGGTGATAGATTCCACAGAAGCCCCCTGTCCTTCCCCCAAAGTAAACTGAGAGAAAAACGTTAGAGGTCTATTCATTCTATTACGCCTGTTTTTTTTTGTTTTTTTTTTACCTAGCTTGTCTTGCAAAGCAATGCTTTTCTCTGAAGATGAGATAAAGAAATGCAGTTGCCAGGGTTCCATTGGATACTAAAAACGTTTTCTAATTTTAAATTTGAGGACTAAAAACGTGAATTGTGGTACGACCTAACATAAATATTGTAATATAAAATATTAATATATACTAATATAAAAACACTTTTGTTTTATAACATAAGATTAATAAAACTTAGTCCCTAACTACATATATTTAAAACATTTTAAATATTGTAATTTATTAAATAATATATATATAATTTTTTACATTTTTTACTTCAAATTATTCGTAAGCATGCAAGAACAAATATGTGTTCTTCTGTGTTTACAATATTTGTGGCTAAATTAAATCTGTCTTAACTTTCATTTTGGGTGAACTATATATAAAACATATTGTTGCATTTTTGTATTGCGATTAATTATATAAACAATATACGTTATTACACCGCTAATGTTAACTGTTCTATTTACATTGTAATGGGATGTAGATAGTTGAATTCATGCATATTTTATCCTCCTAATCTTTTTGAACGAGAAACTGGAAGTAGTAAATCATAGACATTTCAAAATAAGAGTCTTTATATATTTCGGGCTTTAACTTTGATTTGAATTTATTTGATAAAATGTTTACAAAACTGTACAAGAAATAAATGCTACGTATGATTTGTATTGATTAAATTTTAGTACATATTTAATAAATAAAACATGTTTTACATATAGTTCACATAGTTTCAAACATATTTTGCTATTAGTAGTCAAGCAAAACAGATTTTTCTTTGTCCAAGACTTTAAAAGGTCTTAAAAAGCCTAAAATTTGATGTTAAAGGTTAAACATTTAAGACAAATTTGGAAGAAATTCTTTGTTTTTAAAAGCAAAAACAGTATATTTTACCAGTGAATGGTACAGAAACATTTAGAGTTGTTTTGTTCCTGATCTTGAATGTTATCTGCAAAAAAAGATTAAAAAAAGAGCGATTGCTTTAGTCATTCGTCACCTTGTTATTTTATTTTTTCCCCGCAGAGGACGAGCTGGCAAGATTCGTACCCTATCTTTCAAAACAGGAATAATCTGTTTGTGCAAAGCTCACCTTGAAGATAAGTACAGATGTAAGTTCTGCTTGTCTTGTGCATTTCCTCTTTTCTATTTTTTATTTTTTTTCCTCTTCTCGATGTCGTAATTAGAACCAAGATATTTATTTGGTTTACAGAAAATGTACTACTAGCAGTTTACAGCTCTCTCAGGTGTTGGCAGAGTCTTGTAGCATGTTGTCATTGTTTAGTGGTTAATAGCACTGCTGTAAACGCTGTTGTAAAGCTTTGGAGTTTGCTCTTTTAGAGTATATATAGCACACAGTATAGTGTAACAGCTGGGGGGATTCCAGAAATCAAGGATAACCTTCCATCACATATACCATGAACTCTTGGTTAATGGGGTTTATGCACAACAAACTTCCGTATTCTATAAAACAGTTTGCATCTCTTCTGATTCAGGTCTTTTGTATGTGCTTTGTTAAATATAGAGCTGTTCTACTAAAGATACCTTCAAAGGAATAAGCAAAGCATGACCCATGTCAAAAAGTTTGGTTTATTTTTATTCTGACTAACATTTTGGTTTTTAAATGGAATAAAACTGCAACAATAAAAAGAACTAGCTTGGTTAGCTGATTACCTTAAAAGTTCAAATATATTGCCGTCAATTCGTACTGCCGTTGCCACTTTCTCCACCAAGTGGATTTTTTTCTTTCTTCTTTTGCTTTATGGTGATTTACATTCTTATCACATATCGCCACCTACTGGTCAGTTGTGCAATCTATAGAGCAGGTTATGTTCATAGAGTAAAGGGGCTTTCGCACAGGAGGAACCTTTTCATAGTTCTTAGAAATATTGGCGGAAGTACAGAGTAGGATCTAAATCAGCACGATAGGAACTATCCGTGAGGTAAGTGTACGCCAAAGATTGGCTGAACGCACGTGAAACACTAGGAGCACCCGTCTTTTTTTTTTTTTTAAAGCTGTGCGCGCACAGATTATAGCCTATATATTTACTCTGCGAACATGGAAAACAGTGATAGATGGGCCTCTTAACCTTTACACTAAGGAGAAAATCCAATACAACTTTGAGGGGACCAAGCAAAACATGATTATTTCTGCTCAGCTAGCAACACTGGACATCAACCACACAGCATACGCTAATACCTTTTCATTACGTCTACTTTCTATGTATAACAGTTCTAATAAGGTACTAGACAGGACTGTTGGGGGCCGTTTACACTTGGCCACTTCATGCGTTTTCTGTGATAGGATAGATATCCGATCGCGAAAAGACCAGGTGTAAATGCCCCCCGAAACGCATTTGAGACGGATTTGAATCCGATCGCTCAAACTACATTGGGAGGTGGTTTCAGACGAAACTGGACATGTGTAAATGCATCTGGTTGTTGAAACCACATATGTAAATTTTACTTCTCCCAAAAATGATAAAAAATAAACGGGTGAGAGCGTGTTATAGGCTATATGTCTACATGTTATTGTAGTCAGATATGACGACGCTACTGCGACACGCATGATCACCTCAGATGAGCAGCTGAGCGCCTAATCAAGCCAATGCGCCACAGTCTATCGCAAATCATAGTGAAAGTAAGTCGCAGATGCTTAACACTACCATCTTCATTAAAAGTAAAAAAATGAAATGATCTTACCAGGGCTGTTGCAGCTCTTTCTTATTGCTGTCTTTGGTAATTTTGAAATTAGCCGATGATCAATAAAATGCAGCTCATATCTGTTGCTTTCGGTGACGTGCACTTCATTAAATCTGTATATAGCTCGGGAATTGAAGATCGGATTTATATCCGTTTTGCAAAAACACATTTATGTGACCGGGTGTAAATGGAATCGTTTATGATAAATCAGATAGCTATCTGATCTGAGAAAACACATGAAGTGACCAGGTGTAAACAGCCCCTTAGACAGATCGTAAATTAATAAACACAGAGAATGCGAACAGTGTGAGCTCAAGCTCTGCCGCTCTCAGCACCGTCAAAATAAAGGTCTGTCGCGCCGTCAAAATAAGTCAGAAAAAGAAGCACGGCTTACGTCATTTCAGAGTTCCTACTGGCGGTGCGAATGCAACCAGGAAAACGTTCCTAGGGGAACAATTAGTTCTCGGGGAGCCGCCTTGGTGGTTAGTTCCTTTTACTACCTGGTGCCAAAACCCCTAGTTCCTAGAAAAATAGGTGGAAGTACCCAGATTTTTGCGCCGCAGGAACTAGGAACAATTTTTGTTTTAGGAACTCCTTTTGGAGAAACCAAATTACCTCTTACTTCAAGAGTAGGGTCTAAACCAGCACTATAGGAACTATCTGTGACAGAAGTGTACGTGATTGGCCGAATCCATGCAAAACTCCAGCGCCCGCCATTTTTAAAAAAGCTGTGCAAGCACACATATTATAGCCTATATATTTACTCCACAAACTAACTCTACGAACATGGAAAACAGTGATAGATTGGGCCTCTTAACCTTCCAAGGGAACCATTTAGTTCCTGGGGAACCACCCTGGTGGCTACTGTAGTTCCTAGAATTAAGATCCTAGAACTACCCGGTGTGAAAGCCCTTTATGTTGCTATGTTCTGTTCTGTTCAGTTACATTTTTTACAACATCCCACATGGGACTAAAAGACACCACAAACTTAATTTACAAACATCTTCTAGTCGCATATACAAATCATTCGTAGAAATACATGAGTACAAATAAATACGTACACAGCATATACAAACAAATCCTCATCTACAAATCATCTCGATAAAGAGCTTTTTTCCTCTTCTGCCAGGCTCTCTCAAGATAGTTGGCTAATTTATGTTTCATATGTGAACAGCCATCTCAGCCTTTGAGCGTCATCCATATTTACCAAATCCAATCTCTGGTTTTATCTTACAAAACAAAAAAATCTCTCTGTTCGCAATAAAATGGACAGTAGAAAACAAAATGTAACTCATTTTCTATATCATTCAAAAAACACATGGGACCGATTCGTTTTTCCTCTTGTAAATTAACATATCGTCCTGTTTCAACAGTCAAAGTTAAAACACCAGATCTCACTTGAGCACACAGAGATATTTGCCTTTTGGACAAGTTATATACAACATAATTCTCTGTGCCATATTCTGGGTTTACCATCACAAAAATGCGCAATTTTGGCATAGCCCATATATCATTAGCCCACTGCTCTTTAACAAACCAATATTAAGCTTTTCATTATTAGAAAACAACTCCCCAAACCCATATTTACAGAACAGTTAACATATATTGTTTATCTCAGAGAAATATTTTTCTCGTCAACTTGGGTGACCACCATCAAACAAACCAAATGTGGAACGATTATAAGTTTTTGTGGGACATGTTACCAACACTAAGGGAACACATTTAACAAATCACTGGTCCACATTTTGATTGACAGCCGTAAGAACCTACTAGTTGCCGTGTTTACTTTTTTTTTCAACCATTGGATAAGATATGAAAAACGACTGTTGTATTTGTAGGCTACTTATGACGAAGCGCTGTTAAATATAGGTGAAAAACTACGCTGCAACAATAATAAATAAAATGCTTTCTTAAAAAGGCAAAAGAACGCATGCACATTTTCTTAATATGATCAATAAAAACCAATAGACTGATGAAAATGCGGGACATTTCCTCAATATGCGACGTGCGGGACAAGGGGTTAAAATGTTGTGCAGTACAACGCAAAGCAGGACCCTATCGTCAACCTACTAGGGTGAAGAATCTACTTACTCTGAAAAGTTGTCTCCATTTTTGGAACTAAAAGATGAGGTTATCTGCTAATTTATCCATAAACTTAGCCGGGGTATTTCGCTTAAAGGGTTAGTTCACCCAAAAATGAAAATTATGTCATTAATGAATCACCCTCATCCCGTTCCAAGCACGTAAGACCGCCATTCATCTTCGGAACACAGTTTTCGTTTTCTGCTCCTCCATTGAAAATGTGTACGGTAAATACAGACGTCATCAAAGTAGTCCACGTGACATCAGTGGGTTAGTTAGAATGTTTTGAAGCATCGAAAATACATTTTGTTCCAAAAATAACAAAAACTACGAATTTATTAATCGTTGTATTCTCTTCCGGTTCCGCGTTCACGAGTCCGCAGTGACGATGGTGACGAACACGTCAGCAGCGTCACTGCGGACAGAACCGGAAGACAATACAATGTTTACTAGTCATAGTTTTTTTTTTTTTTTGGATCAAAATGTATTTTTTATGCTTCAAAACATTCTAACTAACCCACTGATGTCACATGGACTACTTTGATGATGTCTCTTTTTCCTTTCTGGACAAGGACAGTATACCGTACATACATTTTCAATGGCCAGAAAATTAAAACTGTGTTCCGAAGATGAATGAAAGTCTCACGGGCTTGGAACGACACGAGGGTGAGTCATTAATGACAGAATTTTCGTTTTTGGGTGAACTAACCCTTTAACCTGCTCATAAATAAATGATTACTCGCCTAAGAAACTGCATAGCAGACCAGTCTAAACTTAGATCAAAACATGATGGTTTGACCCATGACCCATTTTGCTCATCATTTCCTCTTACACTCTAGTTTTATTCAGAGAGGTGGCCAGTGCCACAGGCTTCTGTGACCAGCGGCGCCTCGGCCTCCTTCTGCACGACGCCATTCAGATCCCCAGACAGCTGGGTGAGGTGGCATCTTTCGGAGGGAGCAATATCGAGCCCAGTGTGCGCAGCTGCTTTCAGTTTGTAAGTAACCATTGTCTACATTGATAAACCGGGTACGTTAAAGCAACCATTTAGAATATGCAATTTTGTGGAATTTTCTTTTATTTTCAAAACTGTGGTACAGGCGACCCTAATTGTGTCCTGTTTACTAAGAAACTTCCGTAATTGAATTGGGTCCTTTAAATTAAATCCAATTTTTCACAAATCTTCTTTTGAAAGCCTGCACATTTCCTCAGTGTTTTCATCAGTTATATTTTCTTTTGCTCTGATACGAAGGCCAATAACAAACCCGAGCTAGAAGCTTCTGTCTTCTTGGACTGGATGCGTTTAGAACCTCAGTCGATGGTTTGGCTCCCTGTCCTTCACCGTGTGGCGGCCGCTGAGACAGCAAAGCACCAGGCTAAATGCAACATTTGTAAGGAATGTCCTATTATTGGCTTCAGGTATGGACCTTTTCTTTAGTGCTATTATTCAGAATGACTGATTTTGCCTCAGGTGCTTTAAAAGTCTCAGCACTTTTTTTTATGAATTTTTAAGCATTGCACCAAACTTCAAGGCAAACGTTGATAAAGAAGAACTTTGTCTGTGTTGTGAGGCTCAAAATGCTGCAGTGTTTTCTCTTCTGTTAGAGGTTTTATTGGTGGGAGAACACAGTCCTACTTGTAGTGTTTTTGAAATCTGACTTTAAAGTCTACATGGTATCAAAGTTGACCCTGTTTACTTTCTTCCTGCTCTTATTTGTTGGTGTACTACTTTAAAAAGAGATTTTTTTTTTTGGCTCAGGTCAGACTCTGTCTTCTTTTATATTATGTTGCTTGATAATCTGTCTAATACTTATTCTAAGTTTTGCCTTGTTGTATGTTGCCTTGTGTCAGGCTGAAAAATCACACTTCTGATCTTATTTATTAACAAAATGTTCAGCTTTCCTATTCATTTTATAATATGTAAAGAGTTTAGTCATTAATACATTTTGGGGAATGATTTTAAGGACATTTTGTAAAATTTTCTGTGTTGGGTCACCACCATGATTCATTTTTGTAGCACTTAAATATAAAGTTTAAAATCCCCTGAAACTGACACAAAAAATGTTTTAAAGACATTTTCACTTATCATATCGCATTGATGTTCTGTGAAAAATATTGTGAAACAGGACTTTTGTCTGTTTCGTCCTTTGAAATCAGGGATTTTAGTCTATGACTATATAATTATTCTTTCCTCTCTGTGCCTCTAGTTTCATAAGCAGAAGACAAAAGTTTTTGGAGAACAAAAATTCTCCAGATAAACATGCACTGATGAATTTTACACTAGACAAGTGGCATTTATGAAAATGTAAACGGGGTCATTTTTGATATCATGCCAAAATAAGAAAACTTTTATTAACTCAGCCTGTCATTCAAAACCCATGTCTTATGGCCATTTCACACGGAGTCCGAAATTTTCGTATGCGTTTTTTCATATTTGTGATTCGGTGGCTCTGAATTGTCAAAACACCATTCGATCACCATTTAAACTACTTGCTACGGATGCGAAAAACGCAGGAAATTGAACCTGATTAGATTTTTTTTATGAAGGTGCGAAAGTTTCGGAAGCAGTGTGCAATTGTGATTGACATAACGTGAGGTCATATTTATTTTTTAACGAGCAAAAATTTCGGACGTGAATTTCGGACTCAGTGTGCAAGGACCTTTACACTTCTATTAAAACGTTTTTAGTGTTTAAAAAAAACGTTAAACATGAAAAACTAAATTACAATAAAAACAGTAGTATTGTAAAATATTATTGCAAATTAAAAGAACTGTGTTCTATTTGAATACGATTTAAAATGTAAATTATTCCTGTTATGGCAAAGCTGAATTTTCAGCATCATTACTCCAGTTTTTAGTGTCACATGATCCTTCTGAGATCATTCTAATATTCATATTCTGATTTGCTGCACAAGAAACATTTCTTATTATTATCACAGTGGAAAAACAGTTCTAGTGTATGTAATTGGGGAGTAAATGCTGACAGAATGTTATTTTTTTTTTGAACCCTCCCTTTAAAATCAGACTAATATGCTTACTATTAAGAGTAGGTGAGAACAGGGAACATCTCCACCTGGAGGATTAAGATGTAACTGCACCTTTCTGGGAAACGATCTTGCTGGCATGTTGCTATGGATCCATGATGTTTTAAATGCCACTGATCTTATTGTTTGTTTTGTCTGATCTCAACAGGTACCGAAGTTTAAAGCACTTTAACTATGATATCTGCCAAAGCTGCTTCTTTTCTGGCAGAGTGGCCAAAGGTCACAAGATGCAGTACCCTATGGTTGAATATTGCACACCGGTAGGTTTTTTGCATCACTGTGTGCATTGTAGATTACAGCATTCATTGCATTGCATGTAGAATTTAGTTTCTAGTGTCAATAGCAGTCAACACATTTCAAGATTAAAGTGCAGGTTATGACGTTTTGTGTCCTTTTACTTCAGACGACGTCAGGAGAGGACGTGAGAGACTTTGCTAAGGTGTTGAAGAACAAGTTTAGGACAAAGCGTTATTTTGCCAAGCATCCTCGCATGGGTTACCTCCCTGTCCAAACCATCCTTGAAGGAGACAACATGGAGACGTGAGACCAGCGATTTTTATTTTTATGTGTTCACTTCTTTGTGTGTATTAACATCAGGTATGATTGTGATTGCTGGTAGGACCGTTATTATAAAAAGCAACTCTAGATACGATCAAGAGCAAAATTACAGTGTCCTTATACTATTTTAAAGGTTCCTAATTTTAGGAAATTTATGAATGCAACTATACTGATGTTGTTCAGCCAAAAATTCCATAGCAAAACACTTAAATGGTACTAAATGATCAAACGGGATAAAACTGGTATGCCATTGAACAAAACCAATAAAGCTGACTGAACTCTTGGTAACCTTAAATTGCAGCTGCAAGAGTTTTGCTTGTTTTCCCTGCTTTACCGTGTGCATTGATCATTACTCGTGTTCACAGTGGGGGTGTGTATGCTGTGGAATTATTTTTCCCCCTGTAGAGGAGCAGACTAATTGTAAAGCGGTGCTAAATGCATACACACGTTATTCTTTAACATTTTTTTCCTTTTTCATTTCAACCCTAACACACAACCAACAATGTTGGATCAAACTATTTCTCAAGAAACACATATTTTGAAAGAGAGTTGATTGTGATGTGTATGTTATTGGCCACTGAAAAGCTTTTGGGTTTAACTGTGTGGGTTTGTGTGTTTGGTGCTTCTTAACCACGTCACCATCATGCTTTCAGTGCATCTACTTGTCCTGTCCATCATCTCATCTTTTTTGTCTTGCAGTCCTGTTACACTGATCAACTTCTGGCCTGTTGACCATCCGTGAGTACATCTGCACACCGACACCCTCACACACAAATCACATTGAGCACCTGCTTACTGGATCACATGACTAAGAGTGCCGTTTGGTGATTCATCCGCAGAATAGAAGTTTAGAAAGAACAGTCAGGATTTTCACATTACAGTTAAAATGTGACTTGACAAATTCACGTGACTGAAATTGAGTGCATTTTAAATTGTAAAGAAACTTTGAAAGGCTGGTGCTCGCTTTAAATTAATCTGAAGTTTCTACAATGAAATCAGTAAATTATGTTCCTATTGGATGATTCACTTAGATGGGCGTCAGCGCATGTTTATGCCCAGTATCATTTTAGTCAGCAAACATAAATGAATCTTGGACATAGGGGTGTGCGATATATATCGTTCGCGATAATATCGTAATTGTTGTTTAAACGATATGCAAAATCATATTATCGAGTAAAATCATTTTCAGAAACCAATCAAAACGCTGCATCAGTTGTTCATGAATTGACACATGACACATGAATTCAGAGCTTGCGGTGCTTGACAGAAGTTAAAATGAGCAAAGAAACTGTGAGAGAAGATATTCAAACACCAGCAAACTCACAATCCACGCTAGATTTAATTCCTAGATGTGGGTCGTCGTGATCTTCGAACAACCCACCGCACTTAATATGAGGATTATGAAAAGCTTCGCGAGTCAGCCGAACACGAACAATTCTGATTTTAAACAGCTTTTAAAGATGCAGACTTTAAGTCGTAGACTTTGTTTATAGTAGAATCATTTGTTTAAATCGACGTATTTTTTTCCTGCGTGCAATATTTGACAAATCTGAAGGGTTTTCTAATTTTACAGCTGTTGGACAGAACTTGTTAGTAATTTAATTGAGAATACTATGGGCAAGTTTTTTGTAATTTGGACTATAGGACATTTTACACAGGGGAATAATTTGTTTACAAAGGTTTTCTAGTGCTGTTTTTTACAGAAGTTTGCGTTTAGATACTTTTATTTTAATGTTATATTTACTTGTATTCTGTACAGTTCACCTTACAGCAGAGCAGTGATTTGTGTTGTTTCTACTTGAATGCTTCAGTTTTAAAGAATCCTTTCCAACAATATGTTTCAATTAGTAATATATCAATATAATATTGACATTGTAAAATGGTGCTAATAAAATATAAGACATTTACAAACACATTTTTGAGTAATGGAAAATATCGTCTGATTATCGTTATCATCAAAATATCGAGATATCATTTTTTTTGCCAATATCGCACACCCCTTTTGGTGATAGTTTATCATTTAAAGTACATTGTTGAAATCTTCTACTGATCTGTGTGAAATTATACACAAGTCTCCATGAAGCACTCATCTTTCATCATCAGAATTGTGAGATATTTTGGAACGTGTTCATCCCATGACTTCTACCATTCATCTTCAAGATTAACATGATACAGTGGTTTAGGGTATAAGGTACTCTTTTAAGCAGGGTTATCATTAATGTAAAAGTCACTGGGTGTAAAACTCACTGTTATATACAGGTACATGACCGTTCGTTCTATTCATTTCCTTTTTAATAAGGATCTTTAAAAAACATGGGGGGAAAAAGTCCTACCAACCCTAAATGTTTGAACACTAATATGTATTTTTCTTTAACCAGGAATGCAGCTCAAAATATTGGGAAAATGTTATTTTCTTTGACCAAACTGAGCTGAATCATAAGCTGCAATGAACTATGCACATCTCAAGAGACAATGTCACCCTAAAATAAGTTAACATACAAATCCACATGATTACTATTTGATATCATTGTTTAATATCCTTATATTTATATGGTATATTGACATCTATGGTACCTTTAACTTCAATGGAACTTTATAGCTCTTTATAGTGGTAAAGGTTCTTTTAAATTAATAAAATCTCCACACTAGGAACAAAAAATTTTTTTAAAGGGATAGTTCACCCCAAAATTGTCATTAATTACTCACGCTCATGTCATATCAAACCCGTAAGAATTGCGTTCAACACAAAATATCTTTTTGATGCAATCTGAGAGCTTTCTTTCCCTCTACCACATTAACGCTTCAAAAAGTTCCTAAAGAGATCATAAAACCATATGCATGAAGAGATTATCATTCATATGGATTCGTTTTATGATTGTTGCATAGACATCTACGGAGGGACAGAAAGCTCCAAGATTTCATCAAAAATATCTTTATATAACGAATGTCTTACGGGTTTGGAGCGACATGAGGGTGAGTAATTAATATTTTTGGTTGAACTATCCCTTTAAATACGGTTCACTAAGATGTTCTTTGGGTAAAACGAAATGTTTGTTCTATGGCATCACTGTGAAAACCCTGTTCAGTTTGGTCCTGTTCATCTGTGTTTTCTGATCTTTGCTCTTCTGTCACTTGTAGGCCATCATCTTCCCCACAACTCTCCCATGACGACACACACTCGCGCATCGAGCATTACGCTAGCAGGTGAGTCTTTTTTCAACATGGTTATTTTGGTGTTACTATGTGACTGTATATTAAGTAGACCACACTTGCATTGCATAAGGGCCGGGTAATGTGATGGGGTATACCGCGCAACGCTACAAATGTGTCTGCAAATTTTGTACAATTAATAGCGTGATTGATATATTTAGAAATTTTGTTTAACCAGAAATATTTCACAAATAATATTAGAATGTTGCTTGCAGAGTTTAGTTACAAACGAAATGCATTTGTGTTCATGTGAAGAAGCACGTGAGCTGGAACAGTGGTGCCTTACTGACATGACTGAAAGCAACTGCATGAGCTGAATGAGTATGAATGAGTACAGAATGATGTTGTGTTTTCACAGGCTAGCTGAAATGGAGACCCGAAATGGCTCATATATGAATGACAATGTATCGCCCAATGAAAGCATGTGAGCTTGCATCTTTTTTACACTCTACTGTACATAGTATTCATATGCATAGTACATGAATGTAATAGTGTGTGAAAGTACCTAAAACTGATCTACTCACAAATGTCTGAGCACCTGCATACATTTAAATGCTTGTGGTGGCATAACAACCTCTCCTTTCATATTAAATTAATTTTCATTTTCCGGGTGGATATCAGCTCTTTCCACTCATAATTTTCAATCACAATAAAACGATTACATGCAAATGCTCTTATACTGCAGTTTTGTTTGTGGTATTAAAACAATAGGATTGATTTTAGACCAGCTTACTTCTCACAAGCCGATTGAGCTGGCGTCTTTTTCACTTATTTAGAGTTTGAGGCAGCAAATGTTAATTGAAAACTTGAGCAATGGATGTAATGTAGTGAGCTGGAAATGGAGTGCTGTTGTTGTTATTATTATTATTGTAGGGATGATGAGCATCTGCTGATCCAGCATTACTGCCAGAGTCTGAATCAAGGCTCTCCACTCAGCCAGCCACAGAGCCCCGCTCAGATCCTCATCTCAATGGAGTCTGAAGAGAAGGGAGAGCTTGAGAGAGTTCTCAGCGATCTGGAGCAGGAGAACAGGTTTGATTGCATGACCGCTTTCTTTCTAATTCAAATGATTGGTTTTAAAAATGAAATGCAATGAGCTTATGTTTTTCATGTCAAACTGCATTTACAGCAGTTTATTAAATTACCTATTTTAATAAAGTGCCATGCTTTAGGTTAGTCGTGTTTTCCGCAAAAAATGCAGTGCTTAAAGGAGTAGTTCACTTTTTAAAAAAAAAACTTTTGCTGATAATTTACTCACCCCCATGTTATCCAAAATATCCATGTCTTTCTTTCTTCAGTCGAAAAGAAATTAATGTTTTTGATGAAAACCTTCCAGGATTTTTCAGTGCAAACTGTTCAAAGGGCTTTAAACGATTCCAGGCGATGAATAAGGGTCTTATCAAGCGAAACGATCGCTCATTTAAAAAAAATAACAAAGTTTAAGTTTTATAAGCTCAAATCCTCGCCTTGCCCTGTTCTGTGATCTGCGTTCGTGACTCTCTTATTCGAAGAGATCAAAATGAACGACTCTTTTCCAGAGTCAATTTGTTCATTTCGTTCGTTGAATGAACCAAATGCCTCGAAAAAAGATTTGTTCGTTTTGATGAACGAGTTTGAACAGGAGAGTCGCATAGAACAGAGCAAGGTGAGCATTTGAGCTTATAAAAGTTAAACTTTGTTATTATTTTTTTAAAATGAGTGATCGTTTTGCTTGATAAGACTCTTATTCATTGGCTGGAATAGTTTAAAGCCCTTTGAACAGTTTGCACTGAAACTGTCTTTTGGACCTTGAACCGTTTGGTTCCCATTAAAGTCCATTATATGGAGAAAAATCCTAGAATGTTTTCATCAAAAACCTTAATTTCTTTTCGACTGAAGAAAGAATGACATGGATATCTTGGATGACATGGGGGTGAGTAAATTATCAGCAAAAGTTTTTTTTTTTTTTTTTAAGTGATCTACTCCTTTAATATAAATAATAAAACCATATAATAGTATATAGTTAGGATAGCAAAATAAACGGGCTGATCAACTTTTACAACAGAGATGCTTTCTATATCTTTCTATATCAACTCAACTGTGTTTTGTAATATTAATCCATTTCAATATTTGTTTGTACTTTCGATCAGTGGTTCTCAAATTCACCATCCAAGTACTACCTAGAAGGCACGACTCTTCCCACACTGCTGAGTCAAGTATGTGGGCTACACATTGGAGTCTAATATTAAACACAGTGAGCTATATTAAAAGTGTGAATGCAGAAATAATAAAAACAGATTTAATATTTAAAAAAAATATAAGAATTATTTCAAAAATGAATTCAAAAATGTTTTTTTTATATTTTGTACACAACTATTCAAAAGTTAGGGGTCGTCAGGTCTCAGCAAGGATGCATTTATTTTATCAAAAAAACAATAAAAACAGTTATAATGTGTAAAAAAAATTTTTTATTGGAATTTAAAATTTTGTCATAAAATATTACAGTTTTAATGTCATTAAAGCTGAATTTTCAGCATAATTACTCCATTACTCTTTCAGAAATCATTCTAAGATGCTGATTTGCTATTCAAGAATATTTTTTTCTTAATATCAATGTTAAACAGTTGTGCTGCCTAATTTTTTGTGGAAACTGATGCTTTTTCCAGGATTTCATGCATCCTTGCTGAAAAAAAAAAGTTAATTTCTTAAAAAAAAACATTCCTTATGATAACTTTTGAACAATAGTGTATTTTGCTGGATGGTGTGCCAACTGTGCGACAAAACGTGAGCAGTCCGTGCTAACAGCAGATGCTCATTTATTAGTCGGAATCACCCGTCGCTATTTTCCGTGCTTCTTTCTGAAGTTGTTGTCATCATTGTGCAGGAAGCTGCAGTCAGAGTACGATCGTCTGAAGAAGGCACACGACCACAAGGGGCTGTCGCCGCTGCCCTCACCCCCACAGATGCTGCCAGTCTCGCCCCAGAGTCCACGGGACGCAGAACTGATCGCAGAGGCCAAACTACTGCGGCAGCACAAGGGACGTTTGGAAGCAAGAATGCAAATCCTGGAGGATCACAACAAACAGCTGGAATCACAGCTCAAACGCCTTAGACAGTTACTTGAGCAGGTGGGTGGTGCATATCCTTAAGAATGTATTGATGCTAATAGTCTCTGGCAGTAAATAACAACACTTTGGAGCTGTCGGTAAAGAAATAAAAATCAACCAGTTGTGGCAGCCTCCTGTCTTACACCTGAACTTGGATTCAGTGTAAATGTCTTCAGATTACACACTGGTCATTTGTAAGGCATCTTTCTAATGTTTGTTCATGTGGTTCCTTTTGATTGTCGACAGAAGAAATTAAATGCTCTGTGCATTGATATATTTTAATGTCAATATTTGGCTTTTAATGTTTGTCAAATTTGTAGTCAAATATAAGATATTTAATTTTTTGGGGAAAGTCAGTTTTAACAATGTTTTTCAGTATATTTAATGTATGTTAGGGCTGCACGAGAATGCTTCAACTATTTAGTTCAAAAATTATAATCACGATTCATATACAGATATTCCAGAGAAAGATTAGTATATATACTTTTACTTTACCTAATAGGCCTGTTGGTGGCGCATAGACTTCATTTAACTAACTCTGATGGCTTCATCAAATGGAAAATCAATACAAACTATATGATAGCTCCTAATCTTAAATCCAATCATTTTAAGTGTTACATTTTTACTTTCTGAGGTAGCATTAATTCACCAACCATGATTGTCAACAATATGGTTATATTTGGATTTATTACAGTTAGTCACAGAGAAGGTAGCAAATCGCTGACGCGGGATCGTGAAGGAACACACACTTGCTGTATGACACTTTTATTGAAGCAGAATTTCACAATGGACATCGCTAAACTTCAACATGCATGTTTGTCGGCATTGTTAGATCATCTGCGCTTTTATGCAGCCCGGAGTGTGCCATGATTGCCAGGTTGGGAAAATTAAAGGAGTTGTCTTTCTTTCTTTCTTCAGTTGAAAAGAAATTAAGGTTTTTGATGAAAGCATTCCAGGAGTTTTCTCCATATAATGGACTTCAATGGGAACCAAACGCTTCAAGGTCCAAAAGACAGTTTCACTGCAAACTGTTGAAAGGGCTTTAAACGATTCCAGACGATGAATAAGGGTCTTATCAAGCGAAATGATCACTCATTTAAAAAAAATAAATAAATAACAAAGTTTAAGTTGTTCCCACAGGTCCTTGAAATCCTTAAAAGTTTGTGAATCAGGAAAAAGAAATTCAAGGCCCTGGAAAGTTTTTGAAAATAAACGTACATAGATACAGGTCCTTGAAAGTGATTTCTTTATATTATTCCGGTCTGCTAATGTGTTATTTCGCCAACACTTTGTGGCCTATGCACACTAACTTTGCTTGATTATCGTTAATTACGCACATTTACGCGGTACGTTGAGTGTTTCCCGTGTGGGGTACTTTGTGTTGTATGTTGCCTTGACGTTCACGCGTGGATTAAACTACTATGATGGTACCTGAATGTTTATTGTTGGACACAACAAATGTGTCCCCACATTAAGTCGTTAAGTTTGAGGGTATTGGACCTGGAAAGTCCTTGAAAGATCCTTGAATGTGAAGTTACCAAGGTGTGGGAACCCTGTATAAGCTCAAATGGTCGCCTTGCTTTGTTCTGTGATGCGTGTTCGTGACTCTCCTGTTCAAACTCGTTTATCAAAACGTGTCATTTGGTTCATTCAACGAACGAATTGACTTGGAAAAAGATTTGTTCATTTTGATGAACGAGTTCGAACAGGAGAGTCACGAACGCTCATCACAGAACAGAGCAAGGTGAGCATTTGTGCTTATAAAACTTAAACTTTTTTTTTTTTTTTTAATGAGCGATCGTTTCGCTTGATAAGACCCTTATTCAACGTCTGGAATCGTTTAAAGCCCTTTGAAGAGTTTGCAGTTTGCACTGAATCTGTCTTTTGGACCTTGAACCGTTTGGTTCCCATTGAAGTCCATTATATGGAGAAAAATGCTGGAATGTTTTCATCAAAAACCTTAATTTCTTTTCGACTGAAGAAAGAATGACATGGATATCTTGGATGACATGGGGGTGAGTAAATTATCAGCAAAAGTTTTTTTTTTTTTTTTAAAGTGAACTACTCTTTTAAGTAAAATACTGGATAGAAAATGTATCCTTTTAGTGAAAATCTCCGTTTGGGAGATTTATGCACTTGACATCTGGCAGCTACGCAGGAAAGATAGCGGAGGCTAGCCTAGTTACCAATTCAAGATAAAGAGAATGTCAAATCGAGAGCAGGTCAATATCAGCACAATTATTTTGAATTAATCGAGAGAAGCAGATATCATCATCATGCAGCCCTAATATACATGTATATATATCAAATATATTTATAGTTGACGTTTCTCTTGAGTGATTGCAATGCATTCTGGCATTATCTTGCCTCTGATTCGTGAAGGACATGTAATATTTCCTTAGAATTTGGCTGAAATGAGGTGTCTTAAAAGACTAGGATGGCATCTCACTGGGTTTTTTTAGTGTGCTGTTTTTAGAAGTTACAAAATATGGAATAGTTTGATCAATTTGAAATCGTTGCAGGAAATATTTATGCTAAATTTAGATGCTGTCAGGGTGAATAAAGAAAATGTTTATATATTTTGACACAATCTTCCTGAAATGTTCCATCTGTTTAAAGATGTATTCATATTCTCTGCAAACGTGTGGATTAAAGGCTTTGTTTTAAAATAAAAATGTATATCAAAGATTTTTAATGTAGTTTATATTTAAAAATTGACCTTTTGTCTTTCTTTGAGTTTCGAAATGGCAGTATATGGAATTTTTCATAGATGTCTAAACCAAAGACCTATAATATAACATGGAATATTGTTGTTTTGTTTGAATGCAGACGTCTCTGTTAGTTGTCCTTGCAGGACACATGTTGGCATTCACTGTTGTGTATAATATAACAGCATAAATGATATTGATCATATTAAGAATACAGTCAACACTCAATTATTTTAGCATAAATACATGTACTACAATATTTTTCACCTTCACACCTAAATGTTGTACTTTGATAGTAATTCAAGGGTTTGGTTTTGTTCAATTCGATCAGTTTATTTGCTTTTATGGTTTGAATAGGCTTTTTTTCCCCATAGCATTTGATCTTGTGAAAAGGCCTAGTGCATTGAGATGGATTACTTTTTTATTTTGTAGTAATTGGCAGCATAGCACATATGGTGTTGCTTGTAACCGATTGTTTCAAGATACATAGTTGAATTTTTAGCTACCTTACTTTATTGATTGATACAATATTGCACTACAGGCTTTATTGATCCTGTTATTTTCAGGTTCCACAATACTTTGCCCTTATTGAAGCTGAGCATGAACGCCAGGTCTTTTTGGTTGCCAAAAGAACCTGTCATTCATCCTCAAGCGACCAATTTCTCTCTGTAATTTGTTTTGTGGAGTTTGTTTGATGTCAACTTCTTCAGAAGTCTCCTTCTGCTTGAATTGAGTGGAAATTGGATATTCTGTCTGCATCATGTCTCGATGAATCAAGCGTAATGTCTCGATGCATACTCCTCCGAAAACATTAGTTGACTGGGGGTCTCTGCCAAATGGAATGTATATCAGATTTTTTTCATAGAAGAAATGGCTTCATGTGTTCTCCGTGGACCCTTTGAACTAAAATCTCCAGCATCTCATGCTGCGTCCAGTGGCCGCTTGGCCGAAGCAAAAACCAGACTAAATGAACGTGGATAAATATCTCTCCCTTTGTTCAAAGCCAATGGATAATTGGCTCCACTTCTCTGATGTTTTTTGTTTACCATCTTCAGTTTTATCCAAAAAGATTTTTCATTACACTGACAAACAAGGCTTTTGCCTACCACTGTGTGTTTTTATTTTATTTTAATAGCATCAATTACTTACATTTTTATCTCTGTTATTTGTTAATAAACATGTTCTGATGTTTAAAATGCTCATGTGTTTGGCTTGACAAAAATCACCAGAACCATCATTCTGTATGCAAGAGGGATGTCTGGTCTTGTGCTATAAATTGTTAATGGTAGATGGTTTAAACACACTCATTAAAGCACATGTGTAATGCGGTTTTGGTAACTTTAAATAGTTGCGCAGTGACAAACCATTTCATCATTTAAGCTAATTATTTTTTAGGTACTGGTAAGATTTAATTGCAATTAAGTATTCATTTTAAGATACACTTGTAAATAATATATAAGCCAAGATGAGTGTGTACAGTGGTCAACATTTATGGTAATTGTAAAACTTCTAAAAATATGCTAATACTGTTCAAAAGTTTGGGGTTCGTAATATATATACATATATTTTTTTAAAGAAATTAACAAGGATGCATTAAATTGATTAAAAATGACAATATAGACTTTTATTGTTAAGAAATTTAAATAAATGCTGTTTTTTTAAATACTTTCTATTATTCATCAAAGAATCCTTTCAAATCACAGTTTCCACAAAATACTGTTAGTAATGAGAAACCTTTCTTGAGCACCAAATCAACATTAAAATATGAGAAATAATTAGGTGTTCAAGTTTGTAACAATTGTAAATACTTTGCATTTAAAATCCTAACATTGAGCTTGAATAGCTGCAGGACACCACTTGAATTCATGGGGTCAGATGATAAGATTATATCATTTTAGACCTTGTTTAATATGGATGTAAAGGACAAAGGACGAATATTTTTTTATGTTTACATCTGTGAATGTTTTTGAACACTATTAACTGTCTTGATAATGGTGTCTCGTCCACTATTATGTGTGTATCCTTGTGATGTTTTTTTGGGTCTCATTTCTAAAACCTGAAAGATGCAAAAACACAGCAACTCATGCTTTTGTTTTATATTGCAATTATGAATGTTTTGGGAAAGTTTTAGATAGAAAATATATCAATGAATGTTTTCAAATGAACTTTGGAAATACAGAAGCACAACCCAGTGCTGATGTCTGCGTCCAGTCCCCTGCCTAATCTATATGGTTCCTTTCTGCCTATGTCCTAGCCACAGACTGAGTCCAAGGTGAATGGTACTGCCCTGTCCTCACCCTCCACTGCCTCTCCGAGATCTGACACCAGCCTGGCCTCACTGCGTGTGGCCGCAAGCCAAACCACAGAGACCATGGGTAAATGTCCCTAACAACTTCAGTTTAAACCTAACCCTAACTAGATTTAACATGTTCTGAAATAAGAAGTAATCAGTGTTATGTCAGTCTTACATATTGACTTGTTAAAAGAAACGTTACATCCTTAGCATGATACTGAAATATACAGTACCAGTAGACAGTTGTGTAAACATACGGTGACATTCTGTTAAAATAACAGAAAACCCTTCCGTTTTGGTGTTTCTTAAATTATTCTGTGTGAAATCTAGTCATTCATACAATCCCCTCTTTCTGAACACTGTTAAAATGAAAATATTCATTTCTTATTTACAATTCATGTCAGTTAACTAGTCAAACTATGTTCAATAACTGTACTTTTGAAGCTTTCGTTGTAAGACTTGGCTTGAAGCCCAGGCTGGTTTCAGCAAAAAGATTTTCAGAACCGATAAAAAGAGAAAGGCAATGTTCTTATCTGTGCCAAACAAAAAGCAACACAGAGCTTTTATTTGTGCGAATACAAAAGAAGTGGGTTTGTTTTTTTGCCCTTAACTGCTAGCCAACATCTTATTTGTTGTCTTTTGATGGAGAAAACAGTCCACCGAGGTTCCAAAAAATCGTCTGTCTTTCAGTATTTGAAGAACAAACACCATTCATTTTACAAGTGCAGTCTGAGGTTTATGATTCAGATTATCTATAATGCCTTCCTTTGTTTTATTTTTTTAATTTATGTCATAAGTTCTATTTTTCAATATAAATGTACTCAAATTATGATTAAGATGATTGAGTACCTGACACAATTTAGTAGGTGGGGGAGGATACAGTATTTTTTTATTTATTTTTTACAATTCTGTATAAAAGGATGCCTTTTAATATTGAGGTATTTGGGTAGTTTATATGAAATTTCAAGTCATCGGCTTTCTGTAGTGTGATGTACTGTACCTCATATGAAGTGATTTCACAAAACATTTTCTAATTCTTGTTTAGTTATTATATGTTGTTTTAATTCTTGAATGCTGTGATCTTTTAAAACAGATTCATAACACAAGACCATTTAAACGAACTGCAAAAAAGTAAAAGGTGTAAAACAGAGCAACTACAGCACCAAACATTTTTACACACATACAGTATACATATTTTTCAACCTATTTTTTCATCTATTCTTATCGATCCCAACATGTTACCTCTTAGTTCATCTTTTCTGTACAACTGTTTATTTTTTACAGTTATAGTTTGTGTTGATCCTAGGTTGATTCATATTGTGACAACCTTGATTCTGATACACATTTAAAAGAAAAGTTGACTATGATATCACATTTTGGTAGATAGTGATGTTTTATAATGGCTTTCTTTTATAATTACTAATTTTGTGTTGGCTTTATCTGTTTTTATGACAAAAAATTGTTTCCATGTGACATGTCTCAAAGAAAAGTATTTTCCGATACATTAAGATACATTAAGAAATTAGCTTTAATTATTCAGTAAAACGATATGTATACATTGTCAGTGTTTTATTTGCTGACTTTAGCTAGATTCTTTGCATGATGAACAACGTAGTGATGAAATGCGTTTGTTCATTTATGGCTACTGTAGAAACATATCGGCGCAAAATGACTATTTCAATGTAAGGGGACCCGTGTTGTGTAGATAGAAATGGATCATTCTAAGGTAATAAAAACACAATGGTTCATTATGTAAGGTGAAATCATAGTTATGTATATGATATTCAATTTCTGCCAATAGATCCTCTTAAATATTACACAATGCACCTTTAACATTTGTGGAAACATTTTTATTTGTGTTGTACTCTGTATGAAAGTCCTCAACATCACCTTCAATCTTATCCTTTAAGTCAATAATACAGGAAGCAAACACTGTCTCTGTTTGAACATGAGATGTCATCGGCGGCAGGACAACTTCCAGCGTTTTTAAGGTTCTCAGGAGTAATTGGGTCACTGCTGTGTGTTTCAGGTGATGATGAGCTGTCCAGTCCCTCCCAGGATGCAAGCACTGGATTAGAGGACGTCATCGAGCAGCTCAACAATTCCTTCCCTCACAGCCAAGGTGAGAATCCATCTACACTGTCTGGTACGGGGAGGAACTAACACTTGATGCAGATGGTCTTAAAGGGAAACTCCACTTTTTTTGGAAATAGGCTCATTTTACCACTCCACCAGAGTTAAACAGTTGGGTTTTACCGTTTTTTAATGTATTCAGCCGATTTTCTGATATTTAGAAGAATATCATCAACCAGACAGTTTCTGGTCTCATTGACTTCCATAGTATACTATAGCTTTGCAAACTTTTACATTGACAAACAGCTTTATTAAACACTACATGAAAGGTAATATTTGAAGAAACATAATAGGGGCACTTTATTACTGTTCTATACATGTATTGCAGTTGTTTAAGTTGGCAGTAATTACAGATTGACAGCCGATTCAAGATGTCTGTAATATTTTAGATAATTTTTCTTAGCAATATGGAGAAAAAGATGAGACTCTAACAATTACAAAAATGCATTTAATAAATTACATTAGTGAACAAGAACTAACAATGAAAAATGCTTTTTATTCAATTTATTAATCTCATTTTAAATCTCAGCATTTACAAATACATTAAGATTTTGCACTGCACTGCAAATTAACATGAAATGCTTAACTAACATTATCAAAGGTTAATAAATGCTGTAAAAATTCTTCAGTGTTTGTTAATGCATGTATTAACGTTAACAAATGAGATCTTATCGGATGAATTTTGAACCACCGCCTGTAAATGTTTCCGATCCACTGATTAAATACTCTTTGCATGATTAAGTCACTAAATGCCCCTTTGTTTCTCATATTTCTACTTTTCCTATTGCAAATTGATGATGGGAGATGTTTTCAAATGATACAATATGAAAATACACCTTTTAATATACAGAATGAGTCTGTAAGTAATTAACCTAAAACAACTGATAAATTATTGGGTAATATTAATGTACATTCCTTCTTAACACAAGTGTTTCTCTTTTTGACAGTGACTCTTAACAGTGTATGTGTTGTGGGCAAGCACAGAATTGCAAATGCATAATAATAATAAGCAGACAAGATTTTATGAAAGCTAAACAGCTTTTTCTAGTAAACAGTGCTTGCTTGCTACGGTGCACATTCTGTTTAGATTCAGTCTAACTTCCTATCTCTACTCAACCTTTACTGATATTTCTTATTTCCTGTTTTCCTCTGTCTAAGGCGGTGGACGGCTAAACCCATGAGAGGTTAGTATTGTTACTAACTCTTTTCTCTTTTTACCCTTTCCCGTACTTATCCACTTTACACCATGAAGTTTTTTTCCAGGATGTTTATTTGTGTGTAAAAAAACAACATAATATTGTGAAATATTACAACAATCTAAAATAACAGTTATATATGTATGTGTGTGTGTGTATATATATATATATATATATATATATATATATATATATTAGGGCTGTCAAACGATTAATCGCTATAAATCGCATCTAAAATAAAAGTTTGTGTTTACATAATATATGTGGGTGCACGGTGTATAATTATTTTATACACGCACACATGCTTGTATATATTTAAGAAATATTTTCATGTATATACTGTATATAGATTTATATATAATTTATATTAGATATAAATATTTTATATATAATTAATTAATATTTTTTTCTTAAATATACATACATACATACATACATACATATATGTATATATATATATATATATATATATATATATATATATATACACGCATACAAAATAATTATACACAGTGCACCCACATATATTATGTAAACAGAAACTTTTATTTTGGATGTGATTAATCAAGATTAATCGTTTGAAAGCCCATACCTATATATATATATATATATATATATATATATATATATATATTTATAACATCACAAAAGACAGTGCCACATGATCATTCAAATAAATGTCTGTCTATGTATCATACATTGATGCTACTCAAGATTCATTTGTTGTTGTATATATTAGAACTGAACGATTCTGGATAAATTGAGAATCATGATTTTGTTCTTGTTTTAAATAGAGTTTGTGGTTCTTCCATAATTCTGAACTAAACAAAATAACATGATTTGCTAGAGGTTCTGGCAAAATGTTAAGTGCTGTGATCTATTAAAAATAATTCAAGTTTGAATGATTGATTCAATGACTCGCTCATAAAGACTTCACTTGCTTCATAACGAATCTCCTAAATCAATGATTCAATTACCTACATTTTTTTAACAGTTACTTGTTACCCCCTGGTGTCATTGCAATATAATTGATAGAATCTTTATTTGAAGTGTCAAGTCTCTTTTAAAAGGAGATTTGCTCTGTTTTGATCTCTACCGTAGACATCCGTTTTATATTCCAACTATCAACTTTTATCCCAGTACTTCTGTGATAATACATACACAGAAATAATGATACTGTGTGGTTGGAAAGACGGTTTCATACCTATACACGACAAGAGCTGTTCCTGGGTCAGCGGTGGTGCAAACACAGTTCTGAATTTTGAGGTATCATTGTCCTTTAGGCATAAGATCGCGTTAGTGTTTGAATTAAGATTGCAATCTTAACAAATCAAACATTTATAAATATCAAACTGACTGCCTAACAGAACACCAATGAAGGAATTATATTTGGTGTCGGCTTATTATGCAATGATGTAAGATGCAAATAAACACCCAAACTCATAAAACGATCTGAAATTTGTATTCAGTCTGTTCCTCTACATGTAACAGTTTTACATATAATGTATTGTTGCATTGCGTGTTCAGACTCTGACATGAAATCTGGTCTTTCCGTCTCCTGCAGGTCCTAATGTGGGAAGTCTCTTCCACATGGTCGATAACATTGGACATGCCATGGAGTCGTTGGTTAATGTAATAACCGAGGAGCAGGATTTAGACTGAAGATATCTTCTCCTCGTTGCATGCTTTTGTAGTGTCAACAACTGGACAGGATATGTTTACAATGGGAATATCAATAAAAATCTATTTTTCTGAAGGATCGCGGTTCCACATTGTAGATTTGATCTTTAGTAGTTTCAGTAGTTTCTTACGGAGAGTCTAGAATTGTTTATTAATAATAATAATTTAAAAAAAAAAGGTTTTTAAACTTCTATGCAATTGTACAAAAACAGAACGAAAGGTGCGTGATAACATGTAACATTGCGTGCCACGTCTTTGTACAAAGTGGAGCGCATTTTAAAAGTGTTTTATCTAAATGGGTGACTTGAGTATATGCAGGGGTTCTTTATCAACTCATTTTGTTTGTAACAAAATAACAAATGCATATTAAAAGGCAAGTCCGGTATCTCTGTATGTGCGTTAGCGTGTGCAAAAAGAGTGTATGAAACATGTCCTTGTGTGTCTTTGTTTGTTTTGTATGTAAGCCGGCCCATGCAGCGACTGCAGATATCATGAAAAGAAAACCGAGGCGCTGATTAAAGGTGCAGTAAGCGATTTCTGAGAATCATTGTTGATGTTTGAAATCAACCCAAACAAACACACCCCCTCCCTTCATTGCTCTGCCGGCAAATTGCAAGAGTGGATGTCTCTTTATTATAGCACAAGCGAAGCAAAATAATGCTGCTGGAAAAATAAAGCGAAGATGATGACCTATTGACATGGAAGGTCAAAAAATGAACATAAAATACATAAGTATAGACCCCTTTTCAGTTGGTAAACATGGTGACGTTTTTTGTGGGCGGAGCTTAGGTGGAGGCAGAACGATCCCTCTGTCCGCTTCACTAAAGCTAGTTAGCAAGGATTGTTAGCTGGTTTTTTAACAATGACTCGTCAAAATCCGATTTTATTTTAATGTGTAAGGTCACTCAGTGTCCAGGACCACGTTTGTTATTTTCAAAAGTTATTTTTAACGGACGGAACCAGATTGGCCGACCCTTACCCTTCACTCAATGCATGGACGATCTGGCAGCATTAACGTTACGTTACCTCGGTTGAGTGGCCTGACTTCTACACCTACCTTATAGAGAAACCGGTCGTAAAGAGAAACTGAGGGCATATAAATCTTTAGATGCCTAAAACTATATGGTCCTGTACAAGACGACGACAATGTAAAAAATGACGTTTCGGTGCGATTTTAATGATGTAAATATTTTCTAGAAATAAAAGTTCCAAATACAGCATATTAATTTTTCATCAATTCTTGCACCAAACAACACAACAAGATGACATTTAATAATAGTAACAATAATTTAAGCTCCTTATTATGTAGCCGAATTTGTGCTGGTTTGTATTGGCCGCCTCCAGTTTTCACTTTGCCTCCAGCTAGCGCCGTGACGTCGGCGCAAAAGGGGTCTATATACTAGCAGGAGTTGGCAGAAACAACACAACCTCCATGTCCATTGGTTCCTCGAGTCTTTCATTAACATGGTTCCTAAAGCCCTTGACTGATCATAACCCTTCTTTTTCAAGCGATTTTCCTCTGAGCTTTTCTCTTTTGTAATGTCTCTCAGCCATATCTCTTTCTACAGTCTTTCTTCAAATCTCCCTCCTGTTCATCATGAGTGGACACGCCCCCTGCTTCTGATTGGCTACAACTGTGTTCTGGCATTCCGTCCGATCCACTTTCTCCAGCGTTTCTCAGAAACCCCTCACTGCACCCGTAAGGTTAAATACTGTCTACCTCACAGAAATGCCCGTCCATACTCTGTCCATGTTTATTAATGGAGCAATAAGAATCGTAATCATAATATTTATGAATTAACGACAACTTCCTTGCCAGAATATTGTCCACAGTCTCCTGCTAGAGACATTTTAACCCTACTGCTTGAATCGTATGGTGTTAGTTATATTTCTGTAAGTAACAAAAAAAAAAAAAAACTAATCGTTTTGACCGAATTAAGGTGTTTAAGCATTAAGTTTGAAGCTAAAGACAAATATCCTTGCGATTAACCTCTAATAATCACCATCTTTTAATACTGGAATGAATTGTACATGAAGGGCCATGTTGTCGTTGTCTGACTTTAAATGTTCATCTGAGGTTATTTATTGACGTTGACATCTAAAAATGCAAGCAAACAATAGCACGGTTTACAGAAATCCACTTGAGATGATGAAACGACACGAAATATGTCGCTCTGCATTGTTTTTTTAACACATCTGAGTTTGTTTTTGTGTCTTTTTATTAAATCTTTATGCTTTGTGTGAACAAATATATCGAAATAAATGATCATAATGTATATGTATGCACAATTTATGACCGTTACAGTTACATAAGAGTTTTGCACCTTGGGAGATGAGCATGTCCAGAGTACTGCATATTTATTTCTGAGATGTGCTGTTTGATTCTAATTCTTGTTCTGAAATCTTACATTTTATTTGTAATTACAAAAGGAATATTTTACCAGACAATGAAATGTAATTGCGGTTTTCTTAACTTGCCACTGCATTAGTTGATAAAAATGGAAACACATTATAGCCACCATTTGTGTTTCATTATGGATTCACATTCACAATACTCTATCTCTTATGAAAATGTATAGGAGAAATTAAATGTTAGATATGTAATTCAAGCAACCGTGTGGCTTTGTCAGTTGACCAATGAAAATTTATCAAATCATTTTAAAAGCTTCAAAAAGACAACTGAACGGTGAGGAAAGTTACACGGCCACTTGGGGCAGTGTTGAGTCTGTTAACTTCCAAACCACAGGAGTTTCCATGTTTTTCCCCTGCTAGTCGACAATTTTGCTGTCTAAGAATGAATGTCATTATATTCTCACACAATAGAAATTGATGTTAAAACGTGACTTTTATGAAAAAAAATGTTTGTCAGTCAAACTTGATTCTAATTGGTCAACCGTGCCATCCCAGAAACAGGTAACATAAAGTCTCAAGTCCATGTTTGTGTGATTCTGTTAGCTGAAAAAGATTTTATATATATATATATATATATATATATATATATATATATATATATATAGTATAAATGTTTGTGTAATGGGATTGTGGAAACACTAGTGATTCTTTGTCAGTTGCGCTACCAGTGATATTTAACGTTATTTAAAACATATTTTCAATGATGGGAAATTTTGTCAATACATGAGGTAATTTTCATTTATTGCAGTCATGCTCATTTAGCAATACAAGGTTCAGTTGAATGTTAGCACTTTAACCTCGTATACTGTAGTCAAAGTCTGTAGCTGAACAAGTTTTGTGGTGGGTTTTTTTTTTATCCCCGTCTCAAAGAGGAAACAGTTGACTCATATTGTTTCTGGTTCCTCTTAAACACATGACAAATAGACTGAAATTGAACAGCTCCCGGACTCGACTTGCCTCATCAGTGATCTCGTCAGTCATGTATGTGAAGCTCAAGGTGTTGGCTCTCATATTCTACGTGACCAAGGATGTTCGCTTCACCTATTCTGGTCAGTATGATTTTCTTCTTTATAATGATTGCTTTTAGGTTATATTTTAAAATTCAACTATATATATATATATATATATTGTACTAAATCATTTTTGTTTGCAATTACTGTATTAATATTGTAATATATATATATATATATATATATATATATATATATATATATATATATATATATATATAGTATTTAGACTTATAAAATGTGCAGTAGTCTACTTTTGGTAACACTTTATTTTGATAGTCCCCCAACAGACCTTATACTGACTATAAGTAACTGTGCAACTACAGTACATGTCAACTTATTCTGTTAACCCGAACCCTAACACCTAACCTTAAACTAAAAGGTGATGATACACGGGGCAACATTTTGAGTAATGCTACTCGGTAATGTTGCTGTCAACGGGCCACCAGGTATGAGACAGGGCCCATAACTGATCTAAATAATCCAGATAGAAATGTATTGCCCATTTTCAATGGGAAAGTGCCCAAGCAACAATTGCTCGGCAAGATTGCCCAGCAACCCAGCTCAAAAAGTTTCCCTGTGTATCATCACCTTATTCAGAGTTAGTTGACATGTAGAATGTCTAAAGTGGACCATCGAAATAAAGTGTAATGAAACTTTTTAAATAGAAACATTTTGTCTTGTCATCATAATGTTGACAATTACATTAACTTAATCTTGTATGTAATTTAAACTCAATTTTATGTAAAAAATGTAGTAACTTAATAAATTCATGACTTGGGGAAATTAGGCATGTGGATTTATAGCTCCCAGCATGTTTATGATGTTGAAATGAAGTATCATTGTGAAGTATCACCTGTTAGTGTTTAACGCTGTGTTTGACATCTAAAAGAGTTCCTGTAATCTTGAGGTTTGTGTGGTTACCTTTGTGCTGATATGAAGAGTAGATACATGAAGGTAAAAACTACATTGACTCTGTAAGCAAAGACTGCACTAATATTTCTAGTGATAAGTAATATTTGACTTGTTTATACTGTCATACATTGTTTCCAGGGCTACAACTCGGTTACAAATTAGGTTTTTCTAACTCTGTGGAGTTTGTTGGATGAACTTAATTTCATTTGATGTTGCCAAAAAGATTAATACATTAATCCATTCCAAATTCCAAAAGATTGATGAGTGTTGCGGTATTTTATTTTTATGTTGAGTCTTTTTATTAGGAGTAGTGTGTGTGTTTTTTTTTAAATATAAACTAAATTTTTCAAGCAAAACATTCATAGCTTTTAAATGGTAAAACAACAGACGCGTTCAAAATGGTTGCAAATAAAAGTATATTCAAACACTGATTGGCTGGTTGTTTAAGGTTAGTGGAACATTTACATAACCTGTGGTTACACTGCTGCAAGACACCTTTGTGAACTTTCAAAGTTAATTCCGTGGACATAATCATTTGTTTCTTCAGAAATGTTGTTATTTAGTTCAGTGGGTTTTTAAATGGGTCATGACCCACTGGTGGTAGAGAGAGAAAAAAAATATGTAGCATGAAGTTTAACTGATGTGGCCTCTTCATGCAATGTCAGAAATATGAAAAATGCAATTTAGCTTTTTTCAAGTTTGTTGGTGGGCGTAACTTGTATTTACATTATAATAACAATGGGTCTATTGTATTGAATGTAATAATATGAAAAAAAGATGATGTTAACTAAAAGAGAACAAATGCATTTCCCTCTTATTTCACGAAGCCAGTATTGGGTCTAAGTTCAATTAGAGTATTTAAGTAGCTTTTATAAAAGTGCCTAAGCAAAAACAAACAAAACATGACTGATGTGCATCTTGAGACAAAACAATGAAAGTAATATATTTTAAGATATGTCAGTGCATGTTGCGTTCAGTTAAAACAGCTAAAACATGCATTTTATTCTGGGACTAGCTTAAAGGGATACTCCACTTTTTTTGGAAATAGGCTCATTTTACAACTTAAGCAGTTGAGTTTTACCGTTTTCGAATCCATTCAGCCGATTTTCTGATATTTAGAAGAATATCGGTAACCAGACTATTTCTGGTCTCATTGACTTCCATAGTAGGAAAAAAATATACTATGGAAGTCAATGAGACCAGAAACTGTCTAGATATTCTTCTAATTATCAGAAAATCGGCTGAATGGATTCGAAAACGGTAAAACCCAACTGTTTAACTCTGGGGGAGTTGTAAAATGAGACAATTTCCAAAAAAAAAAAAAAAAATTCATCTGTGAAACTCAGGGGAAGTGTTACACTATTCATTCTTTATGAAGTTCTCTACGTAATGTATTACTAACTGACTGGTGACACACTGTTTTACTTTAGAAACAAAGCTGGCTGGACCCCAGAATGTGAAGGTGACCTCCATCAACATGGGTGCAGTTATCAAATGGACATCTCCACATAATAAGATGAGCAACGTAACATACACGGCAAGATATTTGTAAGTACACTCGAAATACATTTTAAATACTCCAACATGGAAGAAAAATATAGCAAACAAAATGCTTGCAAATTAGCATCAAATGCCGTGTTTGATTGCTATGAAAGTCACTGAACTATTGTTCTACTGAAATCTGATACTTCTGAGCTTTTGCAGAAGTTGAAAACAATAGGCCTATTCTTTACCAAATAACATATTTACCTAACATACTTTGTGTTTGTAATCGGCCCTCTCTTTGCAGCCTGAGAGATGAAAACGCTTCCCTCTGTGTGAACACCAAAGAGCTGGAATGTGATGCAGGAGAACTGCCAGTTATATTTGGGACGTACATTTTCCAAGTGCGGGCAGAGGATCAGGAGCTGCTCTCTGAGTGGGTTAATGCACCCCCATTTATACCTAATAAGCACAGTAAGTGTAATCCATAATCTGCAAATCTGTATTTGCCGCTCTAGTTTGTGCTATACGCTCTGTTGTGTTAAAGGTGCAGTAAGCGGTTTCTGAGAAACAATGTTGAAAGTGCATCGGGCCGAGCGCCACGCCAAACTTGTATCAAATCTACAGCATCCACTCATGATGGGGGAGAAGAGAGAAAGAGAGGGAGATTTGAAGAAAGACTGTAGAAAGAGATATGGCTGAGAGACATTACAAAAGAGAAAAGTTCAGAGCGATATCACTGGAAAATGAAGGGTTATGATCAGCCAAGAGCTTTAGGATCCGTGTTAATATTAGAAAAGCTTTCCAGTTCCTGGAAAGACATAAGCGGGAAGGCCTGAAAAGTGACGCAGAGGTTGTGTTGTTTCTGCTTATACGTTAGTAACATTGGTTTTGAGTGTGTGCTGCTGGCGATTAACGATGAACTCCTGCGTGTATATACTTGTGTATTGTATGTTAATTTTTTGTTCTTCCTTGTCGTTCTTTGTCATCATTATCTGCAATAGTTCTCAGAAATCACTTACTACACCTCAGTAAAGTCAATATAACCTTCATATGTAACAATTATTTAAACTGCTTTTCTCTCCTGTAGGTATCATAGGACCCCCTACTGTGGGTCTTGTCATCCAAAATAATAACTTGGATATTCATGTCAAGCCCCCAGTCCTGAAAGTGGGCAAACTCGCAATATTTTCAAAAGTGACCTACGCCATAAAATATTGGACCGAAGACCATGAAGATGCGGTATAAAAATGTTTATATTCTTCTGTATCATTCTGTACATAACTTCAGAGATACTGTATGCATTTCAGCTTGAATCCTATATTTGCTTTACACTTGCTGTACATGTTTAGACAACAACGATGTACTAAAAACAGATGACAACGTTGTCACAATGATTCCACTTCATACGGATCTGCGAAAATGACTAAAAAGGCTGTATTACGCTGCCTGGCCAGCAGATGGCGATGTCACTTTGTTAAGAAACACCCCATGAAAACGTAATATTCATGCATGCATGAACACGTAATACGCATGACGTCACCGTTTTCACACATTCACGTTTTTTGTTTACACAGAGACGGCGTTGTTTATAAAACTTTTGAAGTTCACGTTTTCAGGTTTTCAAAATGCTGTTGTGTAAATGAACAGCCAAAAGCATAAAAAAGCATTGTCTGAAATAAACAACATTGAAAAGTATTGTCTGAAATAAACAACAAATTAGCAAACACCATTGCACAGCTGCAGGTGATAGGTGCGTGGGAGAAAAGACCAACTAAGTAGGTCAAAAAATCTACAGAAAAAAACAAGGAAGTCCCGCACATTATCAGTACTTGCAAATGAGTATCAAAATTTTATTAGCAACGTTTCAGTCTCACAACCTTCATCAGGCATCTGAAATAAACAACCGAAATTAAGTCTATATATATATTAAACAACTTTTAAAATGCTAAAAACATTTCTCATTTTCATTTAGCTGAATAACTAAAACTGAAATAAAAATGATTTAATATATATATATATATATATATTTAAAAAACAATAACTAATAAAAATGACAAAAACGCAATAATATTACTAAAGCTTTAACTAAAATTAAAATGGAAAAATAGAAATAAATTAACTTAATTAACTATTTGAAATTATTAATAAAAACTATAATAGTACCCAAATGATGCTAAAATGTTTTTTTTTAATTGACACAAAATGAAAAGTTTGTTAGATTGATGAGTAGACCATTGAAAGTATGTATTTGCTTTATTATAAACAGCCCTACTGAAATTAAAGAATCATTAGATATAATGTACAGAATTTATTCTCAAATAAATTCTCAAAGTGTGTGTTCAAACTCTGATATATTAACATATATACCTTGTTGTCAAATAGGAATGTTTTATATAATGTGGAGCCTCACATGTACAAGCCACAGATAAATAATCCATATCTTCAAAATAACCATAAGATGATCTGTGTCCCTGATAGGCAATAGAGAGGAAGGTTTCTGAAAACAGCACCGATGTTAAACTGACTATTAAAGGACTACATTCATGGAGCAGATTTTGTGCTCAGGCAAGGGTGCTTTCCACAGGCTTCACAACTTCGGGACAGTTCTGTGAGGCTGTGTGTGTGACCAATATACCTGGTAAGTGTGTCTTCATCTACACCTCTCACTCATATCAAGAGATGTAACGTGTATAAATGTATAAAGTGTTTGATGTTATAATTAAAAAAAAAAAATTATGCATCTAATGAATAATTTGCTGCCAGCCATATTATTATTGAGACTTGACACTAGCACAGGATATCAGTAGATTATAAAATGTAGTGGACCTTATACGACAATTTATTACCATAGTACTCTGTGATTGATCAAAATAAAGTAGAATTCAGATGAGAATAATCTATTCCAGACAGCCCTGCAAGATAACGATAAAGAAATAATCATGTCATCTATTCAATATGAACAGAATAGGTATAAACTAGTGTATAATATAGTTATACTATATAAGACTATAAATGCATAGATAATATTGTGCTTTACAATATATTTTCTATGAACAAAATATGCCTTCATTCAAAAACTGCAGATATAATCTGTTAACTAAGAACCAACATGATGATGATGATGCTGCGTGTGTGTGTGTGTGTGTGTGTACAAAGTGACACCAGTGCTCACCAGCTGTGTGATAGCTGCTGCCGTCCTTCTTCCTCTGGGAATCCTGTGCGTCTGGTTCATCTATAAATTGTACAAATACCTGTACCCAAAAACCAACCTGCCAGAACATCTCAAGGTATTTTAGTTTTAGTTAATCTACTTCTACAATTAGTCCCACTTTATATTAGGTGCCTTTAACACACACGTACATAAAAAAGCTTAGTTTCAATGTTAGGTAAAAGTTATTGTGTTCATGTTGTATTATTTAAACATTTTTTCTGTTATTGAGGTGAAAAATGAGTAAGTTAGGGACAGGTTTGGCTGATATGAATATAGGTTTAAGGGTTAAGAGGTAAGGGAAAGGGTCGACCGTGTAATTATAGATTTTTAACTTTAAGTACGTTGTAAAAATATGTATGTAAATACATGTATTCTATCAAATTATTCATTTATACAGTAGGTACACTTTAACTTTTGAAACTGTAACTGCATGCATTGACAGTTTATCTGTTTAATAAAATACCATACTCACCTGTTGAGTAATAAAAACACCCTCTCCGCTTATCTTTTACAACATTTCAATTCCCTCAGTTCTCGCCATCTCCAAAAGCCAAGTTGATGTTGATTCTTGTTTTATTACGAGCTCTGACGTGTTCTCTTTTTTGCCAGCAGACTCTCCTGTTTTTTTAGTTTTTTTTTTTTTTTTTTAAAGGGTGATTCCCTGTAGCCGGAGCAAACTTTTCTCTATTTACGAATATGACAAGCCATGCACAGGCGAGTAACTCAAGTACGCAATTTCCCGCAAAAAAACATCTTTTGGCAGGTCTAAAATATAAACATTTAAAACAGACGATACCCCGATATTCCCTGATGCGTTCGAAGCCATTACTAATAAACTTGCACATGTGACCGCATTACATTATTTTTTGCGCTACTGCGATTCGTGATTCTTTGTTGCTGCATGTGTTGCTTGGCAACCTCTTTGGAACTACATTGCTTGGCGAAGGAGTAAATGTGTTGTATTATTTTTTATGAATAAAATAAATATTAAAATGACTTTTTATAGAGTAACTGTTTGATAAAAGCAATAAGCCCCTTGAAGACGTGTTTTACAGTGAATTTAGAACAGCTAAGGGGCGTTGTTAGGCACGACACGGAGCAGAATCACGGCTTCTTGTTGCTTTATAAAAAAAGACAAAAAAAATTTTGGAAGAACTTTTTTTTTCTTTTTTTACGAAATAAAGTTAAATATTGTACCTATAAATGTTAGTACATTATATTTAAGGACACTTAATGTAAAGTGTGAGGCTTCAATTTAAACAATAAACATTTTATTTCAGCTTTACTGAAAATGTTTTTTTTTTTTCATATAGTTTTAGTTAAGAATAACAACACAGTTTAAACCATATTTTTAATACTGGTTCCTTCTAGAATCTATTGGTACCATCATTTTGGAATCCTGAGGCAACCCAACATTCTCCACACCAGAAAGAACAGCATGATAAAATCAGTGCCATATCTAAAGACCATCTTTATGAAGCGCTCTGTGAGAAAAGCAAGATCTCAGAGGACAAGGACTCTGGGTTAGACTGTGATCTTGGTCCAATACAAGAGGTGGAGGAGGACTACAAACGGCTCATACACATGAAATCTGCACCATCATTTTACCCTAATCATCTCTACCCGTTATGCTCGAATATCACACTACTGACTCATTTGAATCAACCCGACTTTGGAGACTCCACTAGCACTCAACCTTGTTACTACAATGTAGCAGCCACAAGCTCTGAGCTGAAAAACAATGAATGTATTTGCTGAAGTCGCCAACAAGCTGAAATGTATTTACTTAAGAATAGTGAAATTTTCTGCAGCAAATATACGCATATGCACTGCCGTGGTGAAATGGCTGTCTGTTGAATGTATATAATTTCTTGCATAAAATGCTGTTTACTGTTTAAAGTACTTTTTTGAGAAACTTTTATTATCATTGTATGGTTGTATTGCTATTATTGTGAAATGTAAAGTGAAACAGAGCTGGATTTTTCTTCCTTGAATTACACTTCTCTGTTAGCCCAGTTAATGTAGTTTTATAACACAGTTTTATGATGTTGTTAGCACTGAGCTTCATGCATGCATATGTTATGCTTAAATTATATTTGTAATAACTTTACTAAAAAAAATTCAATATTTTTTAGTTTCATGAAATAAAAAAAAGGTTTTTGAGCAACTTCAAGGGTCTTTTTTCCTCATTACAAATACAGATAAACGGACCCTATTCACATTTCGTCATAATTGCAAATATAATATTTCTACTTGTTCCATTACTGAAAAACGTGATACATTTTCCATGCCTTTCCAATAGAATAACGAATTTTTCAGAGAAAGATGTCGAAGCCGTTCGCAATTAATTCGTGTTTTTGTCATTACTGACTGTAATATTCCAACACAATGTATTACGCAATATTTAGGCTATTTAAAAAAAAAAATTAACAACATAATGTGCGGTTTAACCATTGGTCTAAATTAATATTTTTGGGAGCAACTTCTAATGTATTTTATTATCATTTTATATAGCCTATAAAAGTCAAGATAAGAAGTTGGTGGAAACAGAAGAAAAACAAGTAAAACAGAATGGACCTTTTTGCTCTTCGTACACTCTCTTGTTGTCATGGTGACGGAATTGTTGACGTGACTTCAATGGAGGATCAGCAGGTAACGTTAGGCTACGTTCCCTATGGCTACGTTGTTTGACTTTTTTGTCAAGTGCGTTTTTAAATATTAATTTCGACTCAGAGAGAATTTAATTAACAAACAAGCGAATATCCAAACCAAAGTAACGTTATTTAAAATAAAACACTTTTAATTTCGACGTTCTGTGTTTTACACTTAACGTTACAGTGTCAACATCTAACTTCCGGTAAGTTTGTAATAACAAACCATTGATTGGAAATTTCCTGTTATTTGCTCTAATATAAATAATTGATTTATGTAGAAGCTCTAAAGTCAAGCAGGAGATATTGGAGCTTATATATTTATATAAATTACATACATAAACACCATTTATAATAATTATATAAGACTTACACGACTATTGAATGTCACACTGCACTGAAGGATAACTTTACTACTGCTTGAAAAAATGGCATGTCAACTATCCACTCACAGGTGTAGATTGTTTGTTATGACCAAGAATCTCTGTAACGTGCAGTTGGCATGGAGGTGGTTCATTCTGCCTCAGAGACTTTCTCCAAGAGTGTGAAGAAAAAAAACCTACTTCCTTTAAGTCAACTGCTGGAGGACACCAGAAAGAGTGGAAATGTCCCCCATCACCTTCTGGAAACTAGTAAGTAACACTGTTGTTGTTTTTAAAATCATATTTATTTCTTAAACATTAAGTTTTATGTTTGAGCAGGCCACTAACAATTATTGTATCTTATGAAACTGATACACATTTTTAATTTCCCATTCATGTATAAATGTGTCTTTGTATTTTTTTCTTTCAGGGGTGTTTGCCAAACTGAAGAGTAACAGTATAGTTCAAGCCGAACCATCAGAGCTGCACTTCAGTGGCTTTGAAGTAGGAAAGGATTATAGGAAAATCCTGGTTGGTTTATTTATTTTTTACTTCGTTCATATTCTTGCTAAAACCAAATAGAATTTTTTTTTTTTTAGTGTGAATTTTTTTAGTTCTAATTTTTTGTTCTTTTTTTTTTTACCCCGGAATGTTTCATGACCGTAATGGTTATATAATGTGACTTGTTTGTGTCATTGGCCTTAAACACTATTAAAAATTCCACTAATAGTACTCTGCGGTCAGTGGGAAACATCTCATGAGTTGTAGCTGAATGCAACATTAGAGAAAGGGAACAATATGGTAGGAAGTATGACGTAATGACAAAAGCTGTTGTTTTTTTCCCAAGAAACTAGTCAATGTCTCCTCTGACGTGCTCAGTGTCCACATTTTACCCCCTCAGACAAGGCACTTCCAAATTAAGTACACCAAAAAGGTAACCATCAACTGCCTTACAAATATCACTTTTACAGATAGGCTTTAAAAATTGTATAATATTTCTGATTATTTTAGTTTCATGAGCAAAACCTGTCCAGAAATGCTTGGGCTATATTTCCCTCTTATAGTTTTATTTTATCATTATTTTTAAATACATGTTATTTTTCACAAAGGAAATTAGGCTTATTTTATTACCATTAAGATTATGAAATTCACTCATACCATAATGTTCAAAATATTCAGTGCTGATCGTACTCCATGTTTTAAATGCAGTGCCGACTGGTTCCGGGTCTGGCTTACACTGTTACAGTGCTCTTCCGACCGGATGAGTGGCGTTACTTTTCTGATAACATCAGGATTCATGGCCAGGTAAAAACATGTTTTTGTCTAATATTTGGCCATGCAAATTCTGTAAGGACTCAGAACAGCTATCATGTGTCTGTGTTTTGTGTTTGTGTCAGGGAGAGGAGAACTTACTGGTTCCTGTTCATGCGTATCCTGTTATCAATGATCTTCACATCCCATCTCACATTAGTCTTCCCCCAGTGCCACTCGGACAGAGGTATACAATAATAATCATATCACACCAATAACATGTAAAATAACTATGATAACATTGTTGTTATAAAATAACTAAGATATATGTAGATACAAACTATTGTTCAAACGTTGGGGTCATTTTTCTTTAAATAAATTGATATATATTTTAACAAAGAGACATTACATTACATCAAAAGTCACAGCATAGACTTTTACATTGTTAAATAAATGTGTTTTTTTTACTTACTATCCTGAATCCTTATAAATTTCAACAAAATTATTCAACATTGATCATAATAAGAAAGGTTTCTAATATGCTGATTTGCTGCACAAACCTGTATTATTATCAGAATGATTTCTGAAGGATCATGTGACACTGAAGACTGGAGGAATGATGACATAATTTGTAAAAGACATAACTTTTTTTTTTTAGTACCAGTCATGTGATTCCACTAGGCTGCAGTTGTCCAATAGACTTTGAGTTCCAAGTGCACTGCCTTCAGCCCCATGAGTCCTTCACTGTAACACCACTGTCAGGTAACCACTCTGCTGTTAGAGAGCAATGGAGACCAGTATAAGTGCATAAATACTGATAGAACTCTAGTTGGTGATCAAACATATACTGACTTACTTTGTATTTCATTTACTGTAACATCAGTATAAATAACAGATGTTATCCGTGTTTTAATCAGGGATCATTCCAGCTAATGGAAAGACCACGTTAAAAGTGACATTTACACCTCTGCGGTATGGTACTGCTGACATCACACTACAGCTGATCATCTCTCAGTTCAATTCCAAACCTGTCATCTGGACAGTGACGGGTTCCTCATCTCCATACCTGCTGCTCAGGTAATACATACAACAGGAAAAATAAAAGATTGCAATGCACTCATAACACTTAAGTAACCAAATAGGAACATGCCATGTTACTTTTAAAATTAACCTTTACATCCTAAAAATGTTAATGTTATTGTAAAAATGTTGTGTAAATGTCTAAGTTCAGATGCTTTTGCAAAAACATTAATGGCATTTTTGTTCTCTCTATGCCTCAGTAAACCTGATGGAAATGGTGATGATGATCATTTTGTTGAAGAGCGGAAGGCTGCTGATGGAAAATCTCTGGCTGTTACATCCTATCATAAGCCGAAAATATCTCCTTCCTTGGAGAAGGTGAGAAAATATATTATTGTTCTTGTTTTTATTTATATTCTGAAAAGATCAGTTTCAACTATTGAGTATTTAGGGCTGGTTTGGAGGAACAGCCAAGGCATGCTGTTAACCAGCAAAAAATCCAGCACCCAAAACAGAAAGTCGTGCTTGTCTTTTCAACGGGGTCTAAATGGTTTAAGGAATTTGAATTAGCTAAGGTTAATTTCATTTGGGGCCTTTAAAAACAGTAGCAGAGAGGTTTGTGTGAGATTGAATTACAATGTTAATTTTGTTGTTTGCACTGAGCTTGCTGAATCCAATTAGAATTGACTGGATACCCTTTCAGCCGTCAAATATGGGAAACACATACAAAGAATTACAATCATAAGGCAGCAAAAATTTTAGCTGTGGTTTTGTTTGATTTATTAAAACTATTTATTTTATTTAAATCAGCAATTTATGTAAATCAAATGATAATGTAAATTAAATGATAATGAAGTAATGAGTGTTGGTGGTAGTAATAATAGTAATAATGAAAAATTCTGGTTAAAACTATCATGAAGCAATCATCTAGTGATTAATCTTGCCGACAATCACATTATTCTGTTTTTACTCTTATAGGGCAGCAAAAAGAAGAGCAAAGCTGATCCACAACTGCAGGTTTCCACCACAGATATCACCACTCATGCAGGACTGGTTAAAATGCTTCTCCAGCCACAAGACAAAATAAGATACAAGGACCTCCGGGAGGGTAAGAACACCACAGTACTCATTTAGAGGACCTATGAGGTGCGTGTTAACAACTAAAACCGTGGAAATGAAAGTTTGGCAAAGGCAGCAACTGCCATGCTGGAATGCTGATGTGTCCACTAGCATTGGCCAATCAAGACCAATGTTTTTGCCCCTGAAAGCCCCGATTTACTTGATGCATTTTTTTTCATTTGTTCTTCGTTTGGAGGTGAAAAAAGAACTTTGATATGTACTGTTAGCGAGCATCGCGACACTGCTGAGAGCGAACTTTGTAAATATGTGCGCTTTCCTCTCAATAACAAAATAAATAAATAAATAACAGCGGTGAGAAAATAGCAGTTAAGATGCACAATGTGGGATATGTTTGCACAAGCTCTGCAATATGACACTCTAATCGCTTTATGTAGCACGATGGATGGCTTTAAAGCAGCAGCTTAACCATATTAAACATGAAAGAACTGACAATTAGAATTACAAATTCATTTTCTACTATAAAGCGACTCTCCAGTGTGTTCATGTTTTTACTCACGGATGTCTGATCTTGACAGATTGAGTAGAAGAAATGAACCGGAGAAGAGTTCCACGTCAAAGAAGGCGGAGCCATAGAGCACACTATTGTGTAATCGCTTTGGCAAACTGTTTCAAACTCCAAACAAACTTTTTGGCCTGATTTTGACTTCACATCAGTTCGTTCTCCGATTTCGCTTGAAGTGTATCAGGGCCTTTATGGTGGTTCACCAGCATCTAACCAGCACTAAAAACCTAAAA